CACTCGGAGTAGAGCTCGCAAGCTGTGACTCGAAAAAATGCGATGGGAGATAATCATTGATATTCATTAGGCTAGCTTTGGAATTCGATGGAGTTTGAGGGAATACGCTCGAGGGGTAAACTGCACTCGAGGTCAAGTATGCGGGAGGTTGTTCAACAGTCATGGGGTGCATAGAAGACATCATATGTGTCGTTCGAGTCGGTAGCATCACCCGGCATGATGGCCTCCTTGGATGTGTCATCGGGCTCGTTGTCGTTGGAACGGCCTGCATATTCAATAATCATGGTGAGCGCATCATAAAAACTTAGTACATGCATACGCTCACCATCAGAAATGTTAATATTAACATTGTCTTCGGGGTCGAGGACCATGTGAGTCTGGGTTTGCGAGGTTAGGGTCCAGTGTAGGAGCGCTAGATTCGTTAGCGTTGTCATTAAGTATAACATTCGCGTGCGTCGAGGGTCTTTGAACGTTAGCGCGAGAGATGGGACTGTTGTTATACACTAAGTCACCCTTGCCATTGGACATGGTGGTAGGTGAAAGGGTTTTCAATGGGTGGGATAAGGTTCTGTACCGCTGACAGAATCAACAACGTCGTCAGCGTGAATAGATGAAGGTAGATTTAAATAATTACCCAAGGTCCTAGTCAGGCTTTTAGTGCCGCTGGACGTGGGATGGGTTTCTGCACTGAAGTGAGTGGTGGGATTGTCCATGGTGTCAACATAGGTGGCCACAACAGAGGGCGAATTGGGCACGGTGATAGTGCCAACATAGGCGTCAGTATGGATAGGCGAGCTGGGAACATCAGTGGTCCCAGACTTTTTGACAGACGTGGAGGGAGTATTAGTAGCCTCAGCGTCAATAGAAGTAGGTGTGGTTGGATGAACGTGGGTCTCAGTGTCGTGTGGGATGTGTGTGAAAGGGTTGCGAGGGGATACTGTGATCCCTGCGTCTTGCGAGAACGGCGCTAAGGGAGCATCAAAGACGCTGGGAGTGTTGGCGGCAGGTTGGAGAAGTCTGGGAGTGCCAAAAAGGCCAGCACTGACTTCTGCGACAATAGGGATGGTGGGAGCATCAGCGATCCCGCCAATGGCATCTGCATTGGCATGAATAAATTGTGAGTGTTCGCTGATAAGGGAAGACGCTAAGAACTCACTTTGTCCCTCTCCTTCCCAGCTCCTGTCCTCCACTATTTCTCCTTCTTCCACTGAATTTCCATCCCAAGGGTACCGGCGAATATGACGGGGATGCGGGGGTAGGATTCAGTCGGGTCGAGAAGTGGGGAAGGGCTAGCAGGTCGAAAAGACATAGTAAGGGCGTCGTCCATAATGGTCGTGGTGAATCGGAAATTGCCGGAGTTCCGCAAAAGGAAGTCGGCAAGTTCGGTGCGACTTTGGGTGAACGTGTTGTCCGGCATATTCCGGGCGTGAGACGAAATGTCTGATGTAATGATGGATGGTTGATGCCTCGCGCTGATTTTCCCAGGCACGAGGCTGATTGGCATTGGCCGTAAAGTCATTTCTGGCCCGTTTTTTATAGAGTTTTGAATTTCATTTATTTTCAATTGGTCTGAGTAAGTCAGAGGGTTACTTAGAAATCTCTGACGCATCAAATGCTCGGCTTGGAGCACATTTTCAATTTCCTGAGTAATATGATTGGAATTTCCCGGGGATGGATTACTAATTTTAATTTCGTCCAAATCCGGTGATTCTTCGATGATCTCATAGAACATGCTAGATTCTCGCAAGTTTCCGATCCATGTAGCCGGTTCAAAATCCCAATTTGGGTCATTCCCATCAGGTGTACACAGTAACTCGTACCTGACCTCCAAATTTAGCGGATCTTTGAATAGCAACCATGTGCCATCTTTCCTCTCATCAATAGACACATAATTACCACGCTGCCATGGTCGGCCTAATAATAAACTGAACGGCACGTGGTCTCCAACAAATAAATTCGCTTGTGTACTAACACCTCCACAGTTTAGTGGCACATTTTGTACAAGTCCGCGTAGTTTGCCTTCGCCGCCGTTCGCGTCATTCATAGATATAGACTTCGCGATGTCGATAGGTCTGTTGATAATGGTTTTCCAAATATGTTTATTCACAATATTTAATTGTGAACCGGTGTCAATAATCGCGTTGATGGCCTGGCCATCACATTGCATAGCTATTTTGATTAATAAACCACGCGTCTTTGTCCACACGGAGTGTGCTTCAATTTTCGAATCGTTTCCTAATGGCTTCGGCTTAATCGCGTTAGCCAGAATACCACTAAGTTCTCGGGAAGTTCCGAGGAGTTCTCCTACCTCCAATCGGATTGGTGTCTTAAGAACCGTCTCAAGAATTCGCTCTGGCTTTACTTTAGCCGATATATCTGAGACGCGTTGACGTGTCGCACCTCGCCGATCAGGGTTCAAGTTCGGTTTATAAGTGTTTTCCTTCACTTTGTCGTTCTTTTTCATTTCTTCGACGTCATCCATGATGATGTCATCGCTATCCCAGTCCTTGTCAATACTTTTGACTCGTTCCTTTACGATAGGCTGGGCTTGTTGATACTTTGGGACTGGAGTGGGTTCAGCGCTCTTAGCTTTAGGTTGGATGGGGTTCCTAGTTGACGTCTTCTTAGATACGCTTTCCTTTCCCTTGTTTTCATCCTTCCTTAGCGTCTGTCCTTGCTTGGGTGGAAACACCTTCTCATAGCGCTCTTTTCGTCCTTGAGTAGAGTTTCGCGTAGTCCTTTCAACTGGATACACGTGGTACTCATCCTCAGAGTCTTCGCTAGTCTCTTGGAGGTAAGTGTTCCTTCCAATTTCACTCTTGTCAGTCTCCGTCTGTGACTCGGTGTCATATTCTTCAATATACGCGGTAGATTTCTTACGTTTCACGCTTAACGCTGACGGTGCGTTTTGTTGACTTTGATCATCAATTTTGATGAAGTTAGACGTAGGCATTTTGTTCTCTCTGTTGAACGCCTCGACAATAGACTCCTCTGGCATTCTCCTAATTATTCTCCCATCGGGCCTAGCTACTTTGCCTCTCTCAGTTCTGGTGAGCTTACCGTCTGTCACAAGCTTTGTCAGCTGTGGACAGTTGGTCATGCTGTGCCCTGTCTCGCCGCATCCATAGCATTTTCGCTCTTGGAATGGTGTGTCAGGGGTAGAATAAAACCTAGAACCTGGATTGCCTCGGTATTGATAGTCCCCTCGGGTCGAACTAGTTCTGCCATCTGTAGTCGCATTGTTCCTAGCAGTTGTCCGGTTTTGCGAATAGACAAAGTTGTCTCGCTTCTTAGCTGGAGCAGCTACCAAGTCTTTAATCGTAGGGTCCATCCTAGTTGCTCTATAGTATAGCAACGCATAGTCTGGGTCCTCAAGTGAGATTGAACTCATTTGCTTGATAAGTCCCTCTATCTCGTCCAAAGGTTCCAAGGAGTTATTTCCCTTAGGATTAATACCTTTCTGATCTTGATAGGAACTTTTATCATTTTTAATTCCTTTAGACTTTACTTTCTTAGTCTCTTTCTTCTTCGTATGCTTTCTTTGGGTTTTGGAATTCTTACGAAAAAACTCCTGTTCAGATTCGCTTGATTCCGTGTCTGAGTCTTCGTCCGAAGATTCCTCACTCGATTTTTCGTCGTCTGTGCCTGAATCGATATCAGACACTAGTAAATCTGCATCGAACCTGTCTCGATGTAAAAGCTTCTCTGCAGTGATCGCAACTTTGTCAACTGGGAAGGCTAGCGTTAAATCTCTGTCTGGCTCGCTTGCCATAAGTCTGGACTCGATTTTAGTCCGGAGTTTTTTATTGATTCCCTCCCAGAAGTAACTGGCATATTCTTCGCTTGTAATTTTGCTAGCTTGCTGGAGCCAGCCTCCAATGCGGATAAATCCCCTTACGTACTTCTTCCAAGCCGTAAGACTAGAGATTCGCTTATCACGCATGATTTTCACATAAGAAATCAGATCCTTTCTCCTATATCGTTTAGTGTCCAGGTCTGCATCATAATACTTCAAAATGTCCGCCTTGAGCTTGCTCCAATCCGGAGTCCTGAAGCTCAATAATCCTTCGACGAATTCTGTGACATGGCGTGACATATACTGTGTGACAGATTCACACTTATCAGAGTCAGAGACTACATTATGATAGTCACATAACTTTTCGAAATGTTTCAGAAATCCTTTAACTTCTGAATAGCTCCCTTTGAATTTTGCCGGTGCCGCTTTGGTACCCGGGTTAGGCATTGTCAACACGGAGAGCGTCGTCATGTTGAAAACCTATACGATATGAATGATAGTAAACGATTTGGTGCTTCGAAGAAAATCCGATGTTTTATCAATTTTGCTCAAAGTCTTGACAATACGGTAGTTTCTTTTGCAAAGCCAAACAAATAAAGCCACCCTCGCGGTTGGGCTCCAGTGATGTCTTGTTACTTGAGGGTCTTATATAGAAGCGTGTAAAAATGCAGTGACAATCACAACTACACTTTCATAAGACTAAAAGTTGCCAGCTCCTCAAGTCCACGGTCAACGGATTTTTGTTACTTCTCGGTTGATAACGTGTCGTTCGTGGGTGGTCAAAGAGTAAACAAGTTACCTCTATTTGTTTGAAGAAACTATATAGAAATGCAACTGTGGATTTGTCGTGGATAGAAATATGATAGGTATGTTTCACCCTAGTAGGTCGTGTTTCAACCTATGAAAGTCTGTTTCAACTTTGTCGTGTTCTCCTGTTTCGTGTCTCTCTAACCGTAAAAGAGAGAGGTATTCGTTAAGTATGCGTGGAGCTTAGCTCAATAAAATAGTAATAGCAAGCAACCTAGTTAATCGTATAACTAGCAGTTACTTTGTTGAAATGATACTTGCACCCTCACTATGTCTTGCCTTAATCTCACTCTCAAATAGTGGGATAGGTTTAGAGTGGAAGTTTAACTTAAATTCGTACTTCACCGGCACTTTGACTATGTCTTGCCTTAATCTCACTCTCCAAATAGTGGGATAGGTTTAAAGTGGGAAGTTTCAATGTCTTCTAGGCACCAATGGCCTGCACTTATGTGTAAAGTGGGAAGCTATATTCACAGGGTGTAAAATGGGCTCCTTTTATACCTTTTTGGAGGCCAGATTACTAAGCATGATTCATCACATGGATTGGTAAGAATGTGCTTACAAACCATACCATTTGGTGTGCTGAGTCAGCTTGTTTACTAAATACATTATAAATACAGTGCTATCTTACAAAGCATGATAAATCAAAGGTATGAGTCATCTCATGGATTGGTAAGATTGTGCTTACAAACCAAGCCTTTTGGTGAGCTGAGTCATCCTGGTTACTAAGAAGATTATAAATACAGTTGCAAGTCTTACAAACCATGACGAATCAATGACAAAACATGATGAGTCAGGCTGAATCCTTACAAATCACCTTATTTCCCAGTCACATGACCTGATTACAAACATGATCAGTCAGCTAGTGAGAAAGTCTGATGAATAAGCCAAGAAAAATAGAAAGAAATGGAAGGTCACAGAACAAAATAGAAATACATAGAAATCCCCGTGGATGATACGAGAAATGAAACACGAGAAATGAGGCTTCAGAAAACAGACTGATGAATCAATGGAAAATGATAGAATCACTAGGTGATATGGTAGAGTACAGTTCATTATACCTTCCTTATCTTTTGTATAGCACACATGTCATGGTATGAACTGCATACCATGCATGACAGCGGGGTATCCCAACTCCACCCTCGAGTCGTTTCAAAATGGTGTATTCGTGTTGTACAGAAGATGAGTGGCTGGCGATGGGTTCGAGTTTTATCGCAACTGCGTCATCTTTGATGATATTTCGTGCGTGGTATACAACAGCTAAGCAGACCCAGGGTTCATGTTGAGTTTTGCAGTTGTAATCAGGTTGTGAACGATGTACCGTATGAACCAGATCCCACAACTTCTCCGAGTCTGAATCTACCGTCGACTTGTATTGGGACCTTATGATTCATGGTACGTGATAACTTGAGCCTTGAGGAGTACAAAAATCCAACAGGGAATCCAACAGGGAACAAGACTTAAAAATAAGATGTGATTCCATCAGCTTGAGCCGCCTTAAGCTGGCTTCAAGCCAGCTCGAGCCGCCATTCATGAATTTTGGCTTACAGTTGGTTTGTGGGACTCCGTGCAGCTAATGAACCAAACCAAACTATACATAAGTGGCCTAGCTCACTAGGATAATATAGAATTTTCGGCCGCGTGAAAAACACTAAGCACAGTGAATTGCGTGAACAAACTCGTAGCGTACTACAGAAAATCGTACTACTGTATCTACACCGATGATTTAAGGTTTAAGCCACTTCTCGGCTATTTCCGAGTCACGCTCGTCAATCTCTAAGTCCAACAGATAACCCAAACACTGACAAACCAGTGAACCCCAAGCCGGAGCGCGCCATAGCCGAACTGCGGTTATTGTTACAGTAACATGAAGCCCCTATCTTTTTCTGACCCTTCACCTCGTCACAACGTCACACCTTCACCTCTTCACGATTCACCATACTGCTTGACGCACTTCCTGATCCCCGCCGACCCTGACCTTCTGTGACAGAAGCTAGACGCTTCCATTTGGACCCTTGATCTATGGCCTCATGGCCTTACTTCCTTTTCCCTTGATATTCCCACAGAACCCTATCCCTGACCTCATGGCCTCCTGCCTGAGCCTGCCTTCCCGATATATCATTTCTTGACCATTGTACGATTACCAGACCTGCCCTGAACACTGAGATCCTTACCTATATATAGTCGATCCACTTGTACTATTATTCCTTAACTTGATTCTACTGGGTTTTACCTTGACTTGTATATTCTCTTGAGTTAACTCTCTTGAGTCTGATCACGAAACCTCTATACTCTTGGATCGCTATCCTCGAGTCCGATACATCTTCTCTTAGACCGTTTGTCTTTGAGTCGATACCGATCCCTCGTCTAGACTTAACCGTCGAACACGAAACCCTTCTTCGGCCGCTGCCTTAGAAGCTTACCTCCCCTTCTGTTCTGTCACAACCTGACGGCTTAGGCTACCAGGTATATTGATGTTCAACCAACATATGACGATAGCTTAGGACCGTTGTCCTTCGCTTACCCATCCCAGTCCGACTACGACCGTTGTCGTAACAGTTATACTATCCCATACCATCATTCCCTGTAATATGTCCACGGTTACTAATATGCAAAAAGTTCATAGCACTTTAACATCGTGCTTAAGTGACATTGAAAAAATTCAAGGATGCGCAGAGTACCTATAAGTGATGTTTTGTAAAAGTAGAATAAAAGATTTTGGAATATTGCAGCTGCAAGAGATGAAATAGTGGTGTTTTGAAACCTTCTCCCAACACAAATCATCCAGATCCCAAAGATCCTGCAAAGGTATTTGTAAAAATTTACCTAGAGCACAATGAACACCTTCTAGGGATGTCAGAAAACCAATTCGATAAAGGCTACTCTCTTGCGCTGAGGTGCTACAGTGGTAGAATCAACGACAAGTACAATAGCGTGACACAGGACAGGGGAGATGTGTAAGTAATTCAAACTCCTCCTCGGCATACAGGTATTGCCCCCCGTATTACCCGATGCCAGCATCCTGCGGAGAGCGAAAGTCGACTGTGCGGCTACTGTGCCGAGGTGTGACAGGACGTGACAAAATGTTGCAGATTAGAGAGTAGACCCTGAGTTTTATCGGGTTTGCTCCGACATCACACCACATCATCCTAAAAATCAGTAAAAATCAGATCCATGTAGAGGAGATACAAACTTATGACGGAGCAAATTTGCGAAAGAAAATGTGATGTTGCTGAGGAGCTACAAAAATTTTGCTGAAAATTTTGCATGTTATAGGGAATGATAGTAAGCAGGCTATCTCATTGAACGAAAAATTCAAACACAAGACTTCGAAGTTCATCTACCCCCCGTGAATTTTGTTGATATACTAGTTTGGAAAGAAAAGCCTCTGCGATCTAAGGACCCTGTTTTTATCCAGTCTTTCGAGTTCACGGGCACAAAAATTGCAGAGGTCCGCGCTTGGATCCAGGCACAACCTCCGGCCGTCCCTTAAGCTTCATACTCCAAAGCAACTTGAACTCCGACTCCTGCCCAGATGCACATCGGCACCTTAATTACTTCTTTATCCTCAATTGGTGAGTTCAATTTCTACCAGTCTCTTGGGGATATTTACAGAGACAACCGCTCGTAGCTTGGCTTCTTAACTTGCGTGGCTCAGATATCCCTTTCAGTACTCTGTTCTACGCCTACCTGTTCATTTCTCTTGATAGGGTTGTCCTATTCTTATATTCCGTCAAGCTTACCGACGAAGTGGAGGATCACCTACGTGCCCTCAACATCGAGCGGAAGGAATATAATGACATTTGGACCTTCCTCCGCCGACGAGAATGGGGCAAGGGCAAAATCCTTATCTTTCCAGAGACCTCCTACGCGGTCTCCTCAATGCTGACGCACTTCTGTTATACCGTCGTGCCATCCTTTATTGAGAACATCGAGACCATCAAGAGTAAACCCCGAATCACTTACGCGTCAGCGTAGGGTTAATGAACTTGTTCCCCAGAGCTGTGTCAGCAGTATGTCATTCCATCTGAAGTAGAGGATGGTATTCAAAGGGCTATTCACGCTCACCTGGAAAATGCCCCGCTTCGCCTACTCAACACCTCCACTGGGTGTTTATGTGATCGACAGGCACAGATAAATACCTTCAAGGGGAGCACAGAGTACAAGGAGCTTTTATCTTCATCGATGAAGCATTCGCGCCTCCGAACGGAGCTCATCAAAGATGCGGTGATAAAGTACTTCCAGTGGGCCATGCTATCGCATAGGTGGGAAAACAAGGAGCCGCTGCTGCATGACATCCAGGACAAGGTCGTGTACGATTTGGATCCAGTTGGAACTGTGGCGAAGCTGCAGACGTTCTGCAAAGTTGCCCGCGATGCTGGGTACTGCTGGGCATGGAGCGATACGTGTTGCATCGACCAGAATAATAATGTCGAGCTCCAGCGATCGGTGAACTCCATGTTTGTCTGGTATCGCCAGTCAGCTCTTACGATCGTCTACCTGTCGGATGTGCCGCCATCAGCGAAGTCTGGCGCACTCGCAAGAAGTGTTTGGAACACGCGAGGATGGACTGTTCAGGAATTCCTGGCACCCACAGTCGTTCTCTTCTATCAAGCAGATTGGACTCTATACCTCAACGACCGCTCTCCCAATCACAAGGACTCTGGCATAATTATGCGGGAGTTGGAACATTCAACAGGCATAAATGCACGAGCCCTCGTCGCCTTCCGTCCGGGCATGTCGGGTGCGCGAGAGAAGTTGCAATGGGCATCGACGCGTACCACGACATTGCAGGAAGACATCGCATATTCACTGTTTGGAATTTTTGGCATCCATCTACCTGTAATCTATGGCGAGACAAAGCAAAACGCGCTCGGTAGGCTATTACAGGAGATCGTGGCTCAGTCGGGTGATGTTACTGCCCTTGACTGGGCCGGAAAACCATCCGAATTCAATAGCTGTCTTCCAGCCGATATTACCTCGTACAAACCCCCACCATGCACGCGGCCATATATATCCGAAGACCAGATGCAGATATCAGTCTCGTTGCTGCGAAATACCGCTGTTGTAGAGCTTGCCTCGACATTGTATACTCGGCTTGACAACCTGACCGCTCCTCGTTTCGCGAACCGCAGGCTGCATCTGCCTTGCATCACATTTCCTGTTACAGAACTCAGACGGAGGCGAGGTCAAAATCGGGAGACGTGTTTTACTTACGATGCCAAGGCGGACGGGCTTGAAGACCTGCTGATCACCACGGAGGACAAGCTGATTCAATTCTCCCCAGCACGGCCCACTCAACAGACATTCTTATTTGTCCGTCCGTGGAATCATTACGACCTCGGGCTACCTGACTTTGCAGACGATGTGCGGAGCGTGGGCGATTGGTCCGAGTCTGAGTTTCTGTCAAATAGTTCGTTGGGCGGATACCCTGGAGAAGATGGGCCGGTTGATAGGGAGTCTCACTTGCGAGAATTGAGGTTGATCGTTCGCCTCGGACAACCTTTTGGCGCGCTTTTGCTGGCGCAGCAGCGCGGTGGGGAGTACAAGAGAATTGCGTCGAGTCGCAATATCATTGCACGGGTCAGGGACCTGGCTACTGTTCATAACATGATGAACGTCAAGACCCTAGAGATATTGTAATTGCATGTATTTTGGATGACAGATATCTGACGCGTTGTCGTTCATACCATGGCAGGACCTGTATGTTTTCAATTGTACCTTCTATCCGCATAGCTCATTTTTGTAGTTTCAGATACCCCTCTGGACCTTAGCCTCTGCAATTCACGGAAGCAAGCTGGGGATAGCCCACGCACGTCCCCATCATATAATGAGATGAAGAAAGGCCATGATTCGCGCCCTCGCTAGGGGTCCCACTCCAACGTTGTTTTGCGACTGTCTATCTCAATGAACGTAGTTAGTGTGTTGTTAGCAGCCGCTGGTATGCATCTAGGGATCCTTGAATTATTTGAATGGACACAGTTGTCAAGACTGCGTCTCAAAGGCGACACATGCATGCATGAACATTTGAACCCTGTTGCAAATGGATATCACTACGCTACGCCCTCGTTCGCCTGTAAGTTGACTGCGCCATACGATCTCGCCATGCCAACATGAACCGAATACGTGGCTGTGCTAGCGCAACAATGATGTCTTTTTCCTTCCGCCTTGACGATCGACGTTGAATTTTTCTTCTGCATCATACTTCGGATGATGGATAAGTCACCATGTGACGTTGGCTTCTATACCCCCCTTCGAAGTTCAGTTTCATTATCTTGGTCCGATACAGCGCCACTGCTAGCATAATTTCCAGGTAAGGCTCTGTCACTAACGTTAACTTTCCTAAGGCCTAGATCTCTGCGCAGGGGTGGCATGTACCTAGTGTACGTGCTCTTGGATACACTTGCCATTCTCTTATCTGTAGGTGACACGGTTTAAGCCAAAGAAGCGTTGGGAAGTGCGCCTGTATCTGGAATGTATCACTCCTTTCTCGAGGATGGGCGGGGAACTTGAATGACCGATCTGTTCTGCTTTCCTGCTTTTTTCCGTGCCAGAGAGCATGTTGTCAGACTTGGTGTCCATCTGTGTCGTTGTCGTCGTAGGCATACCGGATCTTCTTTACTGTACCGCCTTTGACGGGGTAAGTGAACAGAAGTAGAAGATTTTGTGCCATCTAAGACGATTGCCTAATTTGTCGCGTCCTTCCCCTGTTCATTTGGCAAGCAAATTAAATCTTATTTGTTCTTCTTCGACCTCAACTGCTCGCTCATCCTTTTCCACCAACTACATACTTGTTATCTTCCAAAACGCTCATTATCTACATTCTTTTCTTTCTTTTTCTTACCATGTCTCCAGTTTTCCTGTCTTCTAGCCCAAGTATTCCATCCACGCCGTTTTCTCTGACCTTGCAGGTCATCCCGCCCGCTCTTACGCTCATTCTGCCGCTAGTCTCGGCTGTCCTTCTGGCTCGTTCTTCACCTTTTAGTCGAAACAGACTCGTGTCAAACTTTCTTTTGGCGCTCAATACTGTCCTATCAGCTCTTGCTGGCGGGTTCGGCCTCGGAGCGTCACTAAACAATGGGCAGCTCCTTCAGCGCATTTCGAATGTCTCGCTAGCCTTGCATGTGTTTCTCTGTAAGCGTTCAATCAGCAGTTTAAATACGCTCGGTGCACTGATATCTCCTCAAGTATCCATGAGTTCGCTGTACGTATTGTTCGTGGCCACCACGCCAGCTTCCCTGGTCCCGCACCGCGCCTTTCGCTTCGTAGCGGTTATTGTAACAATATTCCTCGTCTTCGGTGAGTAATTTTTATTCATCCCCTTCGTCAAATTCGAATGGCGTCACAGAAACAATCGCTGCCTCAATTACAAGCACTCCTGCTTTGCTTTCACCCACGTTCGCTCTCATCTCACGAAGTCTTCAATTTCCCCTCGCTGTTGGAGTCTTCCTTGATATACGCTCCAATATCTACCGGAGCGCCGTTGCAGCTCCATTCACGAAAATATGCGAGAAAGATCGAGCAGGTCCCGAGGGCCCGACCATCTTGCCGAATAGATCTGGACGGGTCAGCTCACCTACTCCCGACACATGGCCTTTTCCAGGCTCACTGGCGCATACTGAGCCGACGAACAACCAGTCGTCGATCAAGAGTATAAAAGCGGTCGCAAATCTACCCCCGTCACTCACACTCACACACACAGACCAAGAAAATAGTGTGATGCCTGAGGAAGCGGTGGCGACCAGCTGGCATTGCAAGGAGATGCGTCTGCCCGTTACCATGTTAGCGGCGCTGGCAGCGGCTGTGGTGTGTGCTGCCTTGAAAATTGCTTCAGCAATTATTTCAGAAAATTCCTCGGCCGCTCTGCAAGCCCGCGATTCGCTGACAACATCTCCGTATTACGCGCAACCATCGGAAAGATTTGACGTAACGGTCGCCGCTGGAATTTTCATCGCTGACTCCGTCTGTTCGCTGGTCTGGGCGGTGGGAGTGGTCGCCAGCCTTTATCGTGAGCATATATTGCTTTGGTCGACGGTCCGTTTGATACAATTGGCTTATTTATTTTATTTTACAGTACTTCCGTCTGTAGTCAAGCAGACCTTGCCAACTTCTCTCAAACGTGCAGGAGACTCTTCGGTACCGCCGAGACCTTTGGAATTTACGGGTCATCGCACCCCAAAGCATTCGCTTTCACGAGGCATGTCTTCAGACTCGGCCTCCGATTTTCTCTCCATGAGGGATCCTTTCGCTTCCCCGCCTCCCCCGCCTCCTCCCACCGTCGGCCTTGGACTTGCCGATTTGAATCGTGTGCAATTCAGTGACGTGGCGGCTCAATATCGTTTTCCCGCGCCCAAAGCGAGGAAAGCAAAGAGAGGATGCAAGAGACGAATGGGAATGAGGGTGAGAGCATTGGAACACCAAGCCTCTGCACAAACTCTGCTCCCTTCTCGTCCCGTTCCAGCTTACATCATCGAGGGAGAGCGTGGTCTTGGAGATGAGGTCCTATTGGCCCAACTTCTATTGCAATCTCTGACGGCAGGCACTGAAGCGGAGGCGGAACCCAGCAGCCCGACGAGCGTAGCAGGGACGAGCCATGTGTTGTCTTTCCCTGAGCCTACCGCCCATATTGAGAGGCTGGGGTCGAGGTGGAGTGCTAGCACGGCGGCTCTGTCAGTGTCTACTGGCACTGCTTGGAGCGAGAAGAAATCGAGGGCTTCTACTAGCACTTCTGCCTCCGGGCTTGCGTGCGGGAGGAAGAGTTCGGAGGCGAGGAAGTCGACTGCTACAGGGATCTCGGCTTCATCCGTACCATCGACCTAGGCCTGGCCCTTTACATATGTTCGCGCTCACTAGTACTCCTTCCCTTGACTTCTCATTGTCCCTTACGGTTCTTAACTCCTTTTGAGTAGACTCGACGCCCATCCAACCTTCCGCGTTTACGAGCCACGCGGTCATCACTGTCCTTACTCGTCGTCACTGTATTTTGATCGGCCTCCAAACCTAGATGTTCTCGTCATCGCACTCAATTCTCTATTCGACTTTTGCATGGTATCACCTCAATTTCATCGCACCGTGTTGTACTCCACATCTTTCATCTTTCATCTTTTCATTTTTCCACGTTCCCCTTAACTTACTGCTCCTTTACTGTATGTAACACTGTACCCTTTCACGGTAGTGTCCCCCCCCCCACATGTTTTTGACTTTGTTGTCGGGTTTGTTCTAATTTTTCGCATGTTCAACGCATACGCACGGTTTTTTTTCGCGTACTTTTCCATGTTTTTTCGGGATGTAGTTGTTGGGTAGTGTACAGAATTTTGTACTTGGAAAGTCGAATCGCAGATCTCAGCCACTTGATTTGTATTATTGATGGTTTGCTTCCGCGGCCTGCTGATCATGGTAAAGTACATCCATGGAACTTTTTAGTGTACTTACTAAACTGCGCTCACTCTCGAGACACTCGGGCCCAGGCCTCGGCGTTCGGATTGATTATTGCCCCGACGCATGATTCCTTCAGTGATACGTTTATGGATTAGCGAATCACATGCACATAAGTGTAACGAGAGAATAAGCATCCTTCGTAAACGAGCAAACGCCTGACTATCATAGGTGCGAAACGCCACCCTTACAGACGAACTGAACGTGCGACATGGCCTAGTTTGGGCTGGTGCAGAGTACTGTGTCAGGGAACGCGCTCCTTTTAAGTAATTTGTTAGCTTCGAGCGTGTTTGCAAGGAGTTTTTTTATCGATTACTTGATGGACAAGCAGGGTTAGGCTGTGCTGAAGCGCTCAACTGAAGCGCTGCCATACAGCAGTCTTTTTTACACGCATTCTGAACCCTCGATGTTGGCCGAATGCGGTGCAGGGAACTGTTCTATGTGGACAATAATAATCAGCGGGGATCTTATCTGATGGGCCATGTCAAAAAGCGAGCTTCGGGCGGAACAGCCACGGTGCCGAGGCTATACTTTGATCAGTGGGTTGGAAGGATCCGGAGCGCTAGTAGGGGTGAGTTATGTAATTGAAAACGGGCTTGTGTGGCGAGACGGGGATGGAGTACGGTGGCAGACATTGATTATGAATGGATATCACGGTGCGGTGCTGTGCAATGCACGTGGCGATGATGCGTGAGCACGGTAGAATCGCCATCGAGGCAGACAAGGCGCCTTTTGTGTCCCTTTTGGGTGTCTCCCTGCCAGTGAATTGAGGAAGGGTCCAAGCTGGGGATACCTCTATTGGGTACCTTCTGCTGAAGGTGGGAATTTACGGCGAGCTGAATTTCATTCGTTTTGTCCAGCGGGAGACCTCGTGCCACTAGTAGGCCTTGGCGCCTTTGTAATAGCACTAGCACTGGTTTCACCTGGTTATGTCAACGAGTTGTGGAATGGAACCCCGTAGGGTCATGAGGAGACGCGGCCTTACAGTATTATTTCCACGTCTTGACATTCACGAGAAAATCAGAACGCTTGCTCGCTCAGCGACATCGACAAGCACGTCTGTCGACTTATTCGGATGATTCCGCTCCAATCCCACTCGGTCCCAAACTCGGCAACGTCGCGGAGTATAACAACATGGAGCATCAGATCAAAAAGGCGAGTATACCATATATCCGAGTTGTTGTTTGACCGTCGATAGTGGAACAATCTTGGAGGCCGGGGTCTCCTCTAGAGCTTCGAGTTGCTTCGTGCGGAAGACAAGCGTAAAGGGTGCCAGCATGTACTAGTACTTTTCGGATGTTTTGGCCTGCTCGCTCCCAAAATCGCTCCCCGTTTTTAATCAAATTAAGTAAGCCGCCGGAAGAGGCAAAGCTTAATGATAATTTAGAACTCCGACAATACTTCTGGTCTGCATGCCTTAGACCTATGTAATAGTAGCCACCATCGTTCTTTACTCTTTCTCTCTCCTTCTTTCTCTAAGAAGGCCTCCATCCTTCGTCGTCGTCGCTACGACGCTGTCGCTCATTTGGCCTCTCCACTCTCCAGACAGCAGGTGTAGTAGGCTGCCACCATGCTCTACTTGACCTCCGATGCCTTTCCAATCTGTACGTGTCCCCTTGGTTGGTTTACGACACTTTCACTGCTCATGCTCACCTTATTGTACAGTCGTGCCATTCGGAGTCATCGGGTTTGTCCTCGTTTTTTCTGTTTCTTGAAGTAAGCTGACGGCTTTATAGTTTCTACCGCTACCTCTGGTACATATTCCGCATCATTGCTTCTGTCACCTATCGCCCTGTCCCTCTCCCCGAAAACCCAACCTACGTAGCCTCTGAAGATGTCACTATCATCGTACCCACCATCGATGCTGGTGACGAATTCAAGGAAGCAGCCCACAGTTGGCTCGCTGGCAAACCCAAGGAAATCATCATCATCACTGAAGAAAAAATGCTCATCCCCCTTCAAGAACTCGCCAACGCCGTTGACCCGGACCGTATTCGCGTCCTCACCGTTCCTTTCGCGAATAAGCGATTGCAGATGTCACACGGCATTAAGAATACTACAACAGACATTATTGTCTTTGCAGATGACGATGCCATTTGGCCACCGACGCTTTTGCCATATGTGCTAGCGTGCTTTGAGGACCAGAAGGTTGGAGGTGTAGGCACGAGTCAGCGCGTCCAGCCTGTAGGCGAACGCATGACAGTCTGGGAGGTCCTCGCGGCATTCCGTCTGACGATCCGCAACATCGAAATTAGCTCTAGCACGCATATCGATGGTGGTCTTCCGTGTCTTTCGGGTCGCACAGCCGCCTACCGAACTGTCATCCTCAAAGACCCAGAGTTTCTACACGGTTTCACGCACGACTACTGGTTGGGCAAGTACCAGCTCAACTCTGGTGATGACAAATTTTTGACGCGGTGGATGGTGAGCCATGGGTGGAGTACCTATGTCCAGTGCTGCAAAGAGGCAGAATTATTGAGTACGATGAAGCCCAACTGGAGATTCTTGAAACAGGTGTTGCGTTGGACTCGAAATACCTGGAGAAGTGACCTGCGCTCATTGTTCATGGAACGACATATTTGGACCACGCATCCATACGTCGCTTATACCATGGTGAGTGGTGCCGATGACATCATCAAATCATTTTTAACCCATTTTTATCTCGTTTCCAGGTCGACAAGCTCTTTAACCCCTTCACGCTTCTGGTAGGACCCTGCCTTGTCGGGTACCTTGTCTGGAAAAGTACCATCGCCGTTGCAGACGGAGGGTACCATCTGCCTTGGTGGAACATTATCCTCTCCTACTTTGTCTGGCTTCTCGCAACCCGTACCGCTAAGCTCCTTCCCCATCTCTGGCATTCGCCCAGCCACATCATCTATGTCCCCGCATTCATCCTCTTCGGGTACTATTTCGCGATCATGAAGCTGTATGCCCTTTTCACGCTCCATGAAACTGGGTGGGGAACTCGTGCAGGCATTGGCGACCCGACAAAAGCCACAGCTGCCACGGACGCTGGCGGCGTCGGTATTACCATAGTACAAGAAAAGGCCTATTCTGATGCGCCTAGTTCGAGCTCGAGCCAGCAGTCACCATACCATCAACCAGCAGTGGAGATGCAAACCGGTTATGCCCCGCAAGGGGTATACGACGGGCAGACGGTGTATGGGCGGTAACAGTTATGATTGCGATGAGATTATGACGTATGCATACTTGCAGCACAGACACTTTCATACACCAGCTGGGCCACCGTGGAACATTATGGTAGATCCCCCTCATCTCGTTCGAGTGGTGAAACGCATTCATCCTCACCCTCGTATCTCTATTACCCGCAATCGATAACACGACTAACGTATATCCTCACTGCGATCCTCGTACATACCACACCCACATTACCTTGCTTTCATTCTTCCACGGGATTTCCTTACTCTAGCTGGCCATACACATAATACCCACAGGACGCTCTCCCTACATTGCAGCATAAATACGTCATGCACTGCATACACTCATGTTGGTTTTCTGATGCCGGTCGTTTGTGCTGATCGACTACTTCGTGGGCCCATTGATTGTTATCTTTTAACATATATTGATGCAGCTTGGACTAGATCTCTTGTGTACAATTATAGTTTGATGTGTTATGCGCTATATAGATGAACCCATACAGAGTATGGTCAATTCACAGTATAGCACGCATCAGTTGAGATAGCTTGGTGCTTAGCCAGTTCGTGTAAGCCTGCCACACTCGCGGTTGCTCATCAAATCTACCCATGGCGCGCAAAGATCCATCAGACTTGGAAACCAGCAGGCATGATGAAATCATTCTATAAATATTAAATTCAAGTATCACAATATCTACCTCTCCTCAGCTATACCCCGGGCAAGGCACCGGAGGGAGGTACGAAGAGACATTCCTTCCCTGCATCCTGAAAAGATGCTGCCTGATCTCCGAGATTTGCGTATTGATCTGCACCGTATTCTCCGGATTACCATACTGCAGCGTCTCGCCATCCGTATGATTCACATAAATCGTACAATCGGGAACCTGTCGCAACAAGATCAACACATGTCAAGAAGTTAACAGAGCCAGCTGACCCACATCATGCATAAACAGGCTCCAGAATAGGTCTCCGCTTACGACACGGCTAGCTTCAATCGAACTGAAGAACTCCGGAAGTGGAGAAGCAGAAGCGACGTTTCCGGTCCAATCGTATTCTCCAGCGATGTACACCTTGTTTACGGATTGGACGAGGTTGATGTCACTTTCGAGCTTTGCGATGTCGGGTGGGTAGAAGTGATCGGAGAAAATGTCGATAGTGGGGATGGAGAGGTGTGTTGCGTTGACGCCGTAGGTCCCGTCAATGACAAGCTTGCCGGGGGCGAGCTCCTTGATGTATGACTATATGTCAAGCGGCGTAAGGGTCGAAGCTATCGAACACCAGAAGATCGGACATACCGCAATCTGCTCTGTCCATTCGTTCGGGACCCACATGTCTCCAAAATTAGGTCCCCCGAGCTCGTTACCGGTCTCGTAAGCAAAGATCGTGGGATCCTCGGCGTATGTCAAGCCCGTGAACTGGTTGGTGCGAGTAAGGATCACTTTGATGTAGTTCTTAAAGTCGTCGATGATGGTCTGGTTAGTATAAAACTGCATGACCTCGGGGTTGGTGGAGTCGTATCCGGTGAGGTCGAATCCAGCCCAGCGGAGGAAAGTGTATTTGCCACCATGGTAGTAATCCTGCGCGCAAAAGCTATAAGGAAATGTAATACCCCACAGATGAACTCACGTAGTTGTCGATTAGCGGAGCAAAAATGCGGAGACCATGCCGTCTTGCTTCATAGATGGCCCAGTCTATGGTATCGAACGCCTGCTCATTAACGACGCCCAGTTCGGGCATGACGCTCAGGGGATTGCCGACACTGATACCGAGGGTGTGACCGCGGAGAGTTGTCGCACCCATGATCTGAAGTGTATTCATGATTTCCGTGATGCGTCCGAAGGTTGGATAGCTCGCTTTGAAAGGCGCGTAGAAAGGTTGGCCGGAAGGAGGTATGACATTCTCATCAAGACCGAGCCAGTAGACGTTGGCACCGCTAATGGTCCATCGCTCGTCATTGAGCATCAAAGAAGAGTCACTGCGAGTGATAATCGTGTTCCGTATGGCATCGACGGAGGGGGACTGTGTGGATGTCTTCATGCCAAAAGCATTAGAGATACAAAGAAAGGCCACCAGAGCTGGGGCAGCGTCCAGTAGCTTCATGATGAAGGTGAGGGTGGAAGGCAACCACGATCTGGCGAAACTGCTCGTCGCATCAATATATCGGCAAAAATCTTTGACGCCAAAGCAGCGACAATTCCCCGTGGCACTCGTGTCCACCATGAGATGGGAATCGACGAGAGCATCAGTCGGCGCCCCTGCATATGCCATAACAATACGTCCGATGCGTCAAAAGTTTGATGATTAACACCCGCCAGTCTCGAAGTTTTGCGTCTTGTTGTGAAGGCCACAGCTCGTCCGTTTTCAATCAAGACACCAAGTGCAAGGGCGGCAATTTGAACATGAACCTCGCAGTTTTATCATCTACGGACAAATAGATGCGTAAAAGTCCGAACTGAGGAGAGAGCAGCCTAAGCAAGGCTGTTGATCTGCGATGTGGAAAGGTCAGTCGTGTCGTCTATTGCAGAGGTTTATTGTTGAGGAGGTTTATCGCGAAGGATCGAAGGTAAACCTATGATTTAAAGTCAGCTATGATCAAGAGACGGCGAGGCATATATACCTGTACAGGTGTCTCCAGCAAGAAGTCCACATTATACGAAGGTGGCCCGGGATTGCACCAATCAGAAAACACGAGTACTTGAACGCGACTTGCGGCCACTGAAAACAATTATATCATCGGCCACGGTTCAAGTTTTGAACAAGAAGGAATGACTGGTTTCCTCCTTTCATGTTCTGACTACCGTGACGGGAGACTATCATTCACGCCAGTCATAACAGGAAGAGGGTTCTACGCGCGGGAGGTTAGCATCGTCCGACAGCTTGCTAGCCCAGCTGTCCTTCTGCCGCCATTCAATATTCATCCGGACTACGCCTGAAGATGAATATCAGTCTCTGAAATCAGAACTGGGGAATAACAAGTCGATGTTCATTGTCGCCGATAATGCAGTCTTCATTTCATCCTCGGGTTCCGGTGGCGGCTGGGACTTCAATTGGATGGGGACGCCCATATCGTGCAATTGTGCTACCCTGGACACTGTGGACAGTGGAGAGAAGCGAGAGATGCACGTGGAAGTCACGACATGGTCAAAGTGCAACTCCGACCCGAGTTGGGGCAAGACCTAACGAAGAAATTCGATGCTCCCGGTCTCGATTATGCTACGCTGGATCGTCGTACACGTGTCTGTTACACAGGGCACCACTTCTATCTAAAGAATCATTCCCACCTCCCAATCTTGCACACCCCCCATCATGTATGTAGTCGTTCGTATCACCCTTGGGCCTTGATGCACTCGATACTGGGCCCCTGCAGCAAACTCATATTACATTCCTCGAGGCTAGATAGAGGGTCCTCCCCACAGCGAGGTAAGTGCGTCCGCAATATTTATCCGCAAATTGCGCACTGGTCGTCCACAGCTATTAGGTGGCATTCGCATTATTCGAGCGCTCAGGCTGCTATCACAAAATCGCTACCGAGGCCATGCATAATGCCATTCAAGTTGTGGACCAAGCCAGACACGGATTTTGTAAGGAACCCCATGATGTCAACCCGAAGGACATTCATGTAGCTCTCTCGCTTGGATCCTTGTGGCTCTACATTTTCTCCAATTCAAGATTATGGCGGCTTCTTCCTTGTGGTGAACGGGCGTATTCGTTTTCTCGAGGACCGGCTTCGGTTACTCACTAGTCTCCATTAGCCAGACCATATAGGTGGAAGACAGGCCCCACCATATATGGCTTGAAGGAGAGCATCAGTTCCAAACCTTGGGGGAATACTGCGACATCTCCCGGTGGCAAGTGACCACTGCCTACATCGGCAACCTGAAGGCGACCACTTTACGCTGGCGAAGGGCCAAACACCATGATGCACGACGACGTGACAATACCAAATGGCATCGAAATCACTTGCACGGGGATCAAGTCCATGAATTCCGGAGTTATTCCCTGACTTTGAACGGGCAGAACCCGGATTGTCGCCTTGAAGACGGAACGAGCTGCCTTCCTTCTCCATCGAAGGTCCGACCAAGGGAAACTAGATCATAGCAAGCAAGTTTCATCTTAATTCTTAATTACTATGTGCTTTTTTGTGGTCCGGTTAATGTCCAAGAAATACAGTGACTTTACGATGTTGGATATCTTATGGATGGAGTAAGTGTGGAAGTGGGAATAATGAGGTGTACTACGTTGGAGAGGCGGAAGCAAGGTGCAAATTGTTGTGCGCACCCTCAGTCGAGGAAGAATGACTGATATCTAATCAAACCCCTCTACCGCCATATTCCACTTCCAGCGCCCTTCCGCGAAACCGTTAGAAGTGTCCTCCAACAGGATCTCGTTGCGTTTCGCGACATAGACCTGAAGAGTGAACGAGGATGAGTATGAGATAACAACGTGTAGACAAATAGCATACCGTCTTATCAGTCACCTTCTGCCGCAAGGTCGAGATGGCTTCTGGATCAATCGGCGATTCAAGCAGCTCCGATAAATCCTCGACCGCTTTTTCCAAGTCCCTAAGGAAAACCGGTTAAACACATCCGTGGAATGTAATAGAATAAGGGCGAAGCCCGGATCAAAAGCTTTACCTCTGGTTGTCCTCGAACAACTCTTTCTCATTTCCCTTGTCCAGATAAAATGCCATTGCGTACGTCCATTTTAGCGTCGCGCGGCATCGTTCTGCCTCTTCTACAGCGCGCTTCATGAATTGAACCTCGATCCACGTGAGCGAGGACGTTATCTGCATCTCTTCCATCTTCTTCTCGGTCTTGTTGTACATCTCGACAGATAGTTTTGCGGACTGTTCGTGATTCGCCCACCGGTTGTAGTAATGGAGGTAGCGCTCTAGGGAAGCACGGGACCTAGATTGCGCATCACGTGCGTCCACACCGGCCTTCTCGTCGTATCGATTGCACGAGTACCATGCTGTGCCGTGTTCAGACCAGGGGCCTGTTTGGAAGAGAATGTCAGAATCAAACGAGGCAAATGTCCGAGACACGTACCCATGCACACCCAGCAAAATTCATGCTTGCATTTCTTGCAAGTCATGTGGCTGACAAATCGGTCAGCGTATTCTCATATTCCCCCAGATGAGACACGCACTTGCAACCACCATTCTTCTCTATAGTACTCTGGCACTTACTACACTCCTTTGTGTTACTCTTGATCCAATTTGCGGTTTCGCTGTCATCCCTACACTTCTTCAACCACATCTTGGCGACGGGACAAATAACTGGGCGATGGTCGCTGTCGACAGAGCACCCAAAGCAGAACTTATGATTTGCACCGCAACTAACGGTTGGCACCATAGTTGTGAGGGATGAACGGGAGGAAGCAGAAGGGCACGAGACGGTGTAGGTGCACGATGGGTAAGGACAATATTTCAGGTGCGGGTTGGCACCAACAAAGTGCCGGACGAGCAATTCCTGGAATCGCTCCCGTGTCCGCCCATCCTCATCCTCACCAGAAGTTGCTAAAGTAGATATAATGAAGTGGTCAGGTGCGACGAGTGCACAGCCTTCAGCCATGCAACGGATAGCATGCTCGCCCTCCTCGCGAATCTTGGAGGTCATGTATGCCGTCCAGCAGCCTGCACAGAAGGAATGGTCGCATGATAGAGTGAGGAATGACGTCTGAGAGTCGTCGAAGCAAATGGGGCAAACCAAAGGTTCGGCCTTGAGAACTGGATACTCAAGGTAATGTGAGTTAGATGTATCGGTTGCGGATGACATACCTGGTGTCTGCCGCATTGTTCTGCGGCGGCTGCCCGATGAGCGGATGGGTGCAGGACCGGTTACGGAGGGAGAGGCACGGGAAGGGGTGGATACACCAGCTGCGACAGAAACGGAGGATGCATTATCCATATACTTCTCGATGAGGCGTTCCTTATTCCAATTCATGTAACGCAGCAATAAGGAAGCCGTACTCTCCTATACATCACGAAGAATAGCAGATAGAACCATCAGTATGAAATCAAACTTGAGACATTCATACGGACATCGACGCCGAATATGCTTGATATGTGGTCCACATCAGAAGCCGAGAGCTTCTCTACCGCTTGCTGGGAAAGTGACTCATGTTCAATTTCATACGCCTTTCGAGGTGAATGCTGAGGGACTTTAAAGTCGTCCGCGAACTCCATGTCCATGTCATCATCACTGGGTGCTGAACCTGCGATGTTGTCGGCGATGGATTGAGCCACTATAAGAAGGGTAACGCACCATCGTCACCTGTGCTGATCATATCCTCATCATCATCATAGAATGCATCTTCGTCGTCTGAGTAGTCGTAGTCAGAAGACATTGTTGTTGTTGTGGACGATGTCAGAGGTGTTGTCTGCGGCGTGGGCCGGTCTGCATCGATTAGCATGCCCTGTAAGGATTACCAAAGCGGATAATCTTATTATGTAACCAATCACGTGACGAACTACCAAGTAATTTTGAAGTTCCGCTCGGCAATAGCGGCAATGTCATGTGATGCGTTGACTCGTTTCGAATTGATGTGATCCAAAAATGTTACATGCTGCAAAGATTGAAGTTCCTAAATTCTCTGCGTCAGATACCATCAAGATATCTATCTAGACCACCACAGCATCCCATTTTCTTGCTTAGAACGATGGCATCAGAAAGTACTGCAGGAACACACAAGGATCCCGTCACGGGAGAGATGATTTCCAAGACGTGCGTTCCGAATTATTTATGATTATGATGATATCTGCGCACTCACAGATCGCACAGTGAACTCAAGCGTCGCGAGAAGCAGCGCGAAAAGGATGCAAAGAAGGCCGAGAAGGCTGCTGCTGCACCACCGCAAGCTGCACCTACTAAGCCTGCAGCTGCAAATGATGACGACCTTAACCCAAATGTTAGTCATCTCTGCTGGCAATCGAGCACTGATCTGACTCAATGCAGCAATACTTTGAGCTGCGTGCTCGTACGATCCAGAAGCTTAAGGAGACTCAGTCCCCCAATCCCTACCCGCACAAGTTCCATGTCACCAAGAGTATCACCTCTTTTGTTGAAGAGTACAGCGAGGAAGGCTTGATCCCTGCCGGCCAGAAGCTCGACAATGTGATTGTCGCTCTAGCTGGTCGTGTGCATAATATCCGGAGCAGCGGCAACAAGCTGAAATTTTACGACCTACATGGCGAGGGCTCGCAAGTGCAGATTCTCGCGAACGTCCGGTGAGGCTTATCTCAAATCACAGCTAACATGTATTGAATCGTATAAAGTGATGCGGAAGACTCGAAAGAATTCATGTCTACCCAGGCACTCTTCCGGCGCGGTGACATCGTCGGTGTCATAGGCCACCCCTCGCGCAGTCAGAAGGGCGAACTCAGTGTCTCACCCACCAGTATGGTTCTCCTTGCACCTAATTTGCACCAACTCCCATCCGCCCACTTCGGTCTCAAGGATCAGGAGACCCGTTACCGCAAGCGCTACCTCGATCTCATCATGTCCCCCGGTACGCGCAACATCTTCATCACCCGCGCACGCGTGATCAATTACCTCCGTCGCTATCTCGACAACCTCGGTTTCCTCGAGGTCGAGACACCCATGACGAGCATGGTTGCAGGTGGTGCCACCGCACGTCCGTTTGTAACACATCATAATGATCTGGATCTGGACTTGTACCTCCGCGTAGCGCCTGAGCTGTACTTGAAGCAGCTCACTGTTGGTGGACTCGACCGTGTGTACGAGATTGGACGTGTCTTCCGGAACGAAGGCATTGATTTGACGCATAACCCCGAGTTCACTCTTTGCGAGTTCTACATGGCCTACGCGGACATGTATGACCTCATGGAACTGACAGAGAACCTTCTCGAGGGTATGGTCAAGTACCTGAACGGCGGAAGTACGATTGTGAAGTACCACCCCGAAGGCAAGGACGGCAAGGAGCTCGTGATGGACTTCAAGACGCCATGGAAGAGATATGACATGATCCAGACGCTCGAGAAGAAGACAGGAGTCAAGTTCCCCCCTGGTGACACGCTGCACACGGCGGAGACCAACAAGTTCTTGCGAGACTTGTGTGTCAAGGTCTGTGGTTTGATCTCGACCTCTGAGCAACGTCGCTGATGTGTCACAGCACAATGTTGAATGCAGCGAGCCCCGGACTAATGCTCGGCTTCTTGATAAGGTTTGTTTCCTTCGGTAGTTTTTAACGCCGTCATTAACTCGCGTATAGCTCGTTGGCGATTTCATTGAGCCCCTCTGCGTCTCTCCCGCATTCATCAGTATGTCTTGTTTTCGTCTCTTCCCTCCTGTTCTAACCACACCTCCATCTTTACGCAGCTGGCCACCCTCAAGTCATGTCTCCCCTCGCCAAGAACCATCGCTCACGTCCTGGATTGTGCGAGCGTTTCGAAGGGTTCATGTGCGGGAAGGAGTTCTGCAATGCGTACACCGAGTTGAACGATCCATTCGAGCAGCGGTTGCGCTTTGAGGAGCAGGTAAGACGCGACCCTTTATTTTATCTACTGTTATTGTTACGTTTGCTCATCGCACAACTTCAGTCGCGCCAGAAGGATCAAGGTGATGACGAAGCACAAGGCGTAGATGAAGTATTCGTTGATGCGTATGTTCTGCTTCCGGCTCATTCGTGTGTTCTTCCTAAACCCATTCAATACAGGCTCGAGCATGGTCTGCCACCAACTGCAGGCTGGGGCATGGGCATCGACCGAGTCATCATGTTCCTCACTGACTCCCCTAGTACGTATCATCCGGTCTAGTGTTATGCAAGTGCTGACGGTTGTGTACAGACATCAAGGAAGTGCTTTTGTTCCCTGCCATGAAGCCTCTTGAGACGGCTGCCAATGCAAGCGGAAAGGAGCCTGGCCCAGCCGGGCAGTCGTAGAGCCCTGAGGCGATCTAAAAGTAGACGATATCGCAATGGATAGAATAAATAGTTGTACGTTGTGCTTAAACTTGAGGCGGAGTAATGATCCTAAAAACCAGCATCGGGCATTATCACTCAGGTCATTCAGGATGTTATGCAGGAAAGCAATATGACTTTCGGGTGCGCTATAAGGTGGCGCACAAACTACTTACTATGTAAATACTGAATAAGTAGACGCAGCTCTATGATAAGTTTTTGTTAGATCATCACTCATTGCTTCTCTTCCTGATACAATGCCATGAGTACATTTCCACGACTGGGACAAGTTGACACTTACGACAGCATCCTGACGTGCCTCGCTGGCTTCAGTAGTTGCTGAAGACTCATCTGAAGACTCGGGTTGTGCAACTTCTGGTGCAACCTCTTGTTTCTCCTCCTCGGATGGCGCTGAAACAGCCTCTGAAGGAGCAGAATCTCCGCTCTCCTGGGAAACAATTTCGCTCGATTCTGCAGAAGTCTCCTCTTCTTTAGCAATAACTTCCTCGTGCTCCTGAGCATCCTTAGGAGAATCCGTGTCCTTCATATCATATATAAAAACATGACTGAGTCGGTAAGAAAACAAACGCACGAATGCCTGCTCCATCGACTTCTTGATCTCCTCACCAGACACCTCGGTACCCTCATCATCTGTCATCGCGGGGGTCTCTGCAGGTTGTGGCTCCGCATGCTATGCAAAGCACCGTGAACACAAGTATCTTCCGTTTAAAAACTGCAGCATTACAATATCAATTTCGCGTGCTTACATGGCTGGCGGCGTCCTATGCAGTTCCCGTGAGTTATTTACTGAACATAACGAAAGATGGACATACACTCCGGTGTGCGCTGTGACTGTGCTCCGACTCATGGGCATGGCTAGTCTTGCGCGCGGACGGTGACAAGAGATAGAGCATCTAAAATCACACATCAGTCTTGCTTTCAATGTAAAAATGACGCGTTTGAAAACCCACCACCGGACCAAATACCAAAGCCGAGCCAATCTAAAGATTTCAAACCAATAAAATTCTTTCATTTAACTCAAACTGACGGGTACATTCCAGGAGCACGCACCATCCATGGTGTATCACTCCCGTAGTTTCCATGAGATGCGTGCGGGGCACTCGAAGCCATCGTACGTCTGCTAAACGCCGCACACGGTGAGCGTACGCTCTGGTTCGCCCTCATTCCGGAACGGAGGAAGGGGAAAGCACGTTGGACAGGACGAGACATTTTAGTGAGGCGGACCGTAGTACGGTGATGTCGAGACTCTGTAGTATCAAGTTGTGCGACACAAGCAAACAGAACGTGAACGAACGGACTCGGGAGTCGCAGAACTTATGTATAGGTGACGCTGAGGTGGTGTGAACTTTCGCGGATAAGACCGGAATCCCGCCTCTCGCAATTACTTGACCTTTCGTCCCGAGGCGAATACGAGAAACCAGTTGCTGGGCTACTCAACGCTGGGAGGGAGTAGATAACCGTCATAAAGAAGGATGTCGGACCGTGGTCTCTCATCTGGCGCCCAAGGACAGCACATAAAATTACTTATAGGCTGAATTCACGACACAAATGTTTCTACTGGGAGAGAGTGACACAGGCCTCGCATGCGGCGGAACCCAATTCTATGCATTGCGGCATCTTGTTACGAGGTCTGGGAACGGGGATGTGGAGAGGCCGAGAGATCTACAGCGTTGTTCGGATTCCAATACTTAACTTACAAAAAAGCTTTGACAGCTTTGTGCTGACATGCATCACGTCTTTCGTCGGCAAAGCGTTCCGCACTCTATCGGCAGATGCTTGAAAACGTTTGATAAACCGGTGAGCTGATCCGTTTGCATGATCAAAAGCAGACTCATCGAGGCTAGCTACATCAGCAAAAGACCCATAATTTTCGCTTGTCAAAAAGAAGATTAATGATTACGGAGAGCTTACGACGCTGGTGATGGAGCAACGCGATTGGTGGAACAGAAATTCCAGACGTGAACGCCGATATTGCTGCCATATCTGGCTGATCAAACTTAAGTCGAAGTTATCTCGCGCGGATAAGATGCGATGCTCAAAGATATGATATGATGGTAGTCGGTTGATACATGAATATGCTACTGCCTATACAAACTCGGTACTGAATGTATGATAGCTCTCCTTGTCCGCGAAGTTGTTCAGAAAGAAACGCTCGAAGGTTTCCAAGCAAGTCGCAGAGGACACGCCGTCGCCCACTGCCTCGCCATAGTCCGGTATCAATTCAACCGCATGTGTTACATCTGTCATCCGCACAACAGCCCCCTTCCTATGGCGGCCACCGTGTTCATCGTGCATGTACGCACGCTCCACAGTCCACATGGCGAGTTCGGGACGTTCGTCAGGATTAGAAACAAAGGGGAGATATTGGATATAGAGAAGCGGGTCGGAGAGGCACGATGGCAGTACCAGGTTGGAACCTCGTCGAATCATGGGCTGAAAAATCAATCGAACCTGTGCAACGCAACTCGCTGTGAGTGATATCAGTAGTGCTACAACATAAGCGCAGGAATAGACGCACTTATTCTGCCTTCAACGCCCGTGCCGTCAACGAGAACGGTGTCGCAATTGCCAAAGGGAAAATTGTCGCTGGGTGGGTATGCTTGTACTACTCTGCTGGGCATGATGACTCGTGGCTGGAATGCTGAATGAAGCTGCAGCCGAAACTTGTTCCACGTCTGAAAGCGCCCATATTTGGGGTCCCAGCTGGCACGCTCGCCGCTGGGCGGGGCTGAACGACGAATAAAATCAGCAAGCGCACGATCAAAGTCGGGGAGAGCGAATTTCGTGCGAATTTCAACTGGTGACAGCGACTTGTAATCTGGCGCGACATTCAATTGAAAAGCAGTGAGGGCATCTTCAGAGAGAATGCCCTTCAAAAAGTGGTTGCGGACTGGTCGTGGACCACGGACCGAGTTGACTTCGTCAGGGAGAACACGGGAAACCCAGGAGAGCGCAGGATTTGTAGTTGTAACCTCCTCATCTTCCGTGTGTATGGCATTGACAAGCGGCGCCCCCCGTGAAGTCAACAGTGCGTACAGGTCAAATATCTCCATTGATTCTTGGCGGTTAAGAATCCGTACACACTGCTCTGTGAAATCTTTGCTCTGCCGGGCTGTCCGCGGGAAAAGTTCCTTACAGTGTGTTATGAGCAAGCGCTCCGTCGTGTCAGCTGAAAACTGCATCAAAGTGCCCAATCTCTGGATCGTACCCTCGAAGCTTTGCAGTAGCTCAAGTTTCGGGATGAAAAAATCTTCCTTGGCGCCCTTCTTCCCCCTCCTCGCTGCGGCCTCGATGATAGCATCCTTGAAAGAGTGGAAGTCCGAAAGTGCCTGCACCATTGATTGAAGTGATTGGTGTGAATGAACCGGATTCTGGGCGAGGTAAATGAATTCCACAAGGGCACGGATTGCGCGAACGAATCTAGGTGGAGCGGCACCTGCGATCGAGGCAACGACAGTGCGTTGTATGTCTCTGTGCTCACGGCCCGTCATTTGCTTGACGTGCGTGATACCTTTTGCGAAGTGGCGCGTCCCGACCTGCTTATGCTGGGTCATGAAGCGCTTATCAAGCTCGTGATTTCCTACAGCCTCCTTAATCCATTTGAGCGGGTGATCAGCAAAAAACTTGTGGCAAGTGTGCAGAAGCTCGCCAGCGAGGAAGACAGACGGACATGCGAACACCCAATCACGCCAAAACGGCATGTGTACTCCGGACAGATTGACAAGTTTGGCTGCTTTCTGGAACTTGTCAAGCTCCCAAGGATCAACTGTTTTGGTGATATCGACAATGAGTTGTAGTGTATGCCGCCCGGTGCGTGGGGGGTGGAGGATCCCATCACCAAAATCCCGTTGTGTCGCCATAGTTATAGGAGATGCGTTTTTAGCAACTGCAGCGATCATACTAGCCTCCGGCAGGTCGCATACATGAGCCACGAGAGGCGTGAAAACATAGCGAATGTATCGGGAAGGATCAGGCATGAAACAGCCGTCCATTGCTGCGGCCTTGAGGTTGGCAAAAACGAGGTCCATGCATTTATGCCATAGCCGTGCCTGGAGAATGCTTTGATAGTCCGGATGCACGCGAAACTTGACAATCGGCATGTAGGCAACGCAGCGCCAAGCTCGTAATGTTGCCTTGGAGCGAACCTCGGAATCAATGTTGCCGATAGTGACGAAAACTGGGTGCATCTCAAGTCCCCCTGTGAGTCGTGTTACAGCAGTTTTATCGGACCCCAGGATAATTGGCACTTGAGTTGCACCGAAAGGAAGATGGTCCTGGAAAATCGTGAAGTCAATCCATAACTCGACGAATAAGATGAACAGAGTGAACAGACCTGAATTTTCCATGCCATGTCAGCGCTCATGTAATCTCCGTATTCACGTTGGTTTCCGACATTGACAATGTGCGGGTTGAAAGTCATATGATTCGCAAAGATCGGGTCGCTAAAGAGTTGTTTAACGACCTCCATCGCATCGCGCCAAACAAGCTCGATGGGATAGACTGTCTTGTAGCCCGAAAACTCCATTTTGGAAACTTTCCACTCCGTAAAACAAGGGAGCGAGTCCATCCAGTCTAAGAGTTGATCTTTCGTGGTGAAAGAGGGTCTTTCACGTGTGTTAAACTGTGGAGGTACGATCAGCATTGTGTCTATGGCTTGAACCATCCTTTACCCATTTTAACTTCAAAAACTTGGTGATTTGGGTTTGGTTGAGGTTTTCAACCAAGAACTTCCCTAATTCCCATTCACCTTCATCACGGAAAGGGTAGTGGTGGTTTATCTTCCGCCGATACGCATACTCATCATCTTCCAACCTATCGAGCATATTCCTGCCGACACCAAAGACATATCCAGAGCGTGGATGGCAAGTACCAGCTGCGGGCGTCTGATCGCTTGAATTGGCACCTCGACGGAATACAGGAGGGACAGGTAATTCTTGTGGTCGTGCTTCAGATGGCCAACAGGTAGACTGAGAATTAAGATGCAGAATTACCGCCTCGATAGATGGATATTCACCCAAGTTGCAGTTGGGGCATAACCTGTCAAAGGTACGTAGTACGCATCAGCATCGAGCCCAACAGAGGATACTCACATCGTAGCTTAAGCTTTGCCTTTGGCCTGTGCAGGCTGTGTTGCTGCCAGCTGTACTTACCCAAAAACTTGCTAAGTCTTTCGAAGTCCGCAGCTACGCATTTTTTCACACTACACAATCACTCGCTGGCGTCATCCGCAGGAGGCGCCAATGTTTGCGACTTCATCTCCCATCTCCTCCCCTCCTCGGTCAAGCAGCCCAGCCCCTACCACAGGCTCGAGCAGGAGCAGTGCAACTAGGGTTGAAATAGCACCCTTTGAACTATACAAAAAGCCAAACTTGAACCCCCCCCATGCAATGACTGAGTTAGGCTCTGGCACTAATTCTCCAGGTTACCCACATACTCCCCTCTCCCCAGTAGATGTGACTGACTTAGGCTTTGGCACTAATTCTCCAGGTTCCCCACATACTCCCCTCTCCCCAGTAAATGAGAAGCCAAATCATTCTATGACAGGGAGCCTATTGTATAGGCCTTCCCGTCGTGGTGGCCTCACATCCTCTTCCCCTTCCCGTCGTGGTGGCCTCACATCCTCTTCCCCCCGTCGCGGAAAGTCTGCTGTTCTCCGTCGTGGAAATCAGCGATCTCAGCCCCTGCGTGAGGAGAGGCCCAGGCCATACCCTGGCCGCCCAACTCCACTGGAGCTTCGGATATCAGCTCGTGTATCAGGACGGGCATGCAAACCAGAATTCACGCCCGAGGAAATTAATGAGGTATGTTTATGCTAATTTCTTTGTTACAAGAGGCTCATCTCATTCATATGGGAAAAGAATGAGACAGCGATACGGAACGGCTTTTCAGAACTGAGCTTTTCAACGCTCTACAAGTTATTTCAGGCAAGGCTTGCTGGCCGTGAGGCTGCACGCCAGCGTCTACTGTCTACAACGTGGGAGATCGAGGAGGCAGAGCGGTTCTTATCATTCAACCAGGCACTCCATGAAGAGAACAAACGCCGCCTCATATGGTCTGATGAAGAGTTGAAACGTGTTAGAGCCGTTTTTTCTGAGCGTGAGCACACAGAAATCGAGGACGACAAGAATTACCTTCAAGCTGTCTACGATGACGAATGCGAGATGCTTCGCGCTGTCGCCGCCCAAGCAGAAATACTCTCAAGGCACTTAGGCATGCATGCCAAGGATGATCTGCTGAGATCCCTTGGAGAAACCTCACAGAAACCTCGAATCGTCGGTTTGGTCAAAGAAATCAGCAGCTCATGTACTTCCTCCGATCTAGAAGGCAGTATGGGCAGTGCCGTTGAGGATGATATTGAGGGTTCTGATGCTGATAGCGATGATGATATCTCACCTTCCTAATCCTGCAATCGGTATGTAAATTTTATCATCCCCGCTCGTCATCCACGCTGATCAATATCATTCGTGGATAGCCGCCTGTTCATATCATTACTCGGATCGATCCTTTTCTTATTAAACCCAGTGCCCTCCAGGACTTCCCGCCCTCGTTTCAATTCAATTCAATTCCGGACCGCGTTACCTCTCGCCTCTCCCAATATGTAACATTTGTACAAAGTTTGCAAGTGTGTTGTTTTGTAGTACTGTCAATGAAATGTGCGTGTCATTTGTATCTTCTGACCACCATCTTCATGACAAGTAAGCGTCCCCCACAGCGCAAGGGCAAAGCAGCAGTCCCTAAACCACCTCGAGGATCTGGCCTCAACCCTTCTGGTTTTCCTCTCGCTAATCAACTCTACCTTCCAGCTGAGCAGCCGCACATGCCCGCATTCAATTTCGACCCATACGCACCGAGGGATGCAGGTAAGCACACGAGCCGGTTAGCACCCACCATCACTAATGATTTCACACAGATACCCAGGACCAGCCGTTATTCAATAACGCTGGTCCATCATACTCACCGTCGAATAACCTTGGTTTTTACTCGGGGGCAGGTCAGTCGTACAACGGTCAGTACCCACCATCACTAACGACTTCACGCAGATGCCCAGAACCAGCCGTTCGATGGTCCATCGTACTCGGGGGCATCCCAGCAGGGTCAGTCGTACGATGGACCATCTTACCTGGGGGGGGATTCGGGGGAACCAGGTACGAATACGACCGCGTCGTTGCCCACCTACTGCTAACGAGACCACACAGATACGCAGAGTCAGGGTCCACCGTTCTACGACGACGACACGCAAGACCGGCACCCAGCGTTCGACGACGACGCCGGCCCACCTTATGACTTCGGTTCGGACTTCGATTTCGACACCAGTGGATTTGATGGTGGCACTGGTCCACCCGGCCCCAGTGGACACGGCCAAACCAATCTTGACGACGTGAATGCGGCACGGCCCACGCCGGCTTGGGTGGACCAAGCCCCGGACCAAGGCATTGGTCTGGTAGACCGAGGTGGTGGTCTCGTGCCGTCGAACTGGAATACAGCGCTGATCCGGCGAGGAGAAATCCCTCGCTCAGAGATTGTTCACGTGCGTGTTTTTTTTATTTATTTGTCCCGTCAATTTATTAAAATCTTATGCAGACTGGGGGCCCAGCACGAACAACGAAAAAACGAGCATCTCGACGCTCGATGCCCGGAACGCCATATATCATACCACAACCCCTCTCCGTCACTCAACGAAACGAAACGCGTACAGAACCTCCGCAGGTGATACCCGCACCTCCCCCAACGACATCTCACGTGTCTCCGAAAATCATCACTCTGTCGCAAGATTCCATCGCAGACGCTGTAAATAAAGGGAAACAGTTGATTATACGGGAAATGTTCTCAAGGAATGCGTTGGGCCTGACCAGAAGGCAGCGCCAAAGTCTCGTGGAGCGGGCCATCAACGAGTCCATTCCCGCTTGTCACGAACCCAACGGTAAGTGTCCTCTACGACGATCTAACCTGTTTACTGATATTCGCAGTGGCATTCACAAACTTCATAACGAAATTACACCTTCGAAAGGTAGCGAACGCCTTCTCCTCGACGCGCGGGAAGATGATTTCGTTCGCGCGAGACGGCGTTTTCGTTGCGTTCGAACTCTTCCCCCCCATACAAAATCCTCAAGTAGCAGATACTTTTCGTGTCGCGAGAGTAAGCGCACTAATTCACGGTGTTGACCCGCTGTTGTTTATGCACAGGTATTCATTTAACGAGGCACGTTGGGCACGCTCTCTATCTACGGTACTTCTACTCAGTTCTCTTTTCAGAATGGCCTTGTCACCGTCCACGCGAAGTTCGAAAATCCGTTCGTCATGGCGCTTACCATTCGTTTCATCTGGTCCGGGGGCCGCCAACTATTTCTCGGCGATGCGCCGCTCAAAGCGTTGAAGCATGTCGTGGCGCTGAGCGGCGCTGCTACCCATTGCGCCTTGGAGGAGCAGGGGCGGGTGAAGATCGACGTCATATCCTTTGGCGAGACATCACACGGACCCAAATTCAAGGAGATACTTGCCGCGTTTAAGAGCCTCAGCCCCGAGGAGAAAGCTTCCCTAAAGATCTTTTTGCAATACATACTGGATGTTGGACCTTCGCAAGCTCGAGAGGGCGAGGACTCACTAGCATCCTCGCCTGAGTCGAGTGATTGGTTGTAGGTAGATAGCACACAGATGATCAGATAGCAGAATGTATTAGTAGTACTACTATCAGATTTTGATAATCGAGCAGATAACCAACGCATCTCGCATAGGATGGTCTCAGGGTTCAACATAACCAAAACGAGCGTGGTGAATAGCGCCAGGGTGCAACATAACCTAAAACGAGCGTTTACGAACGCCGGCCTGAACTAACCCAATCAAAAACGCTCACAAGCATTTGTGAGCAGCTTTTGGAAAAAGGTGCGTTTTTAGATGTACTTCGGATCGAATGTTGAGATGGGCGCGCATGTCGTAAGACTGCAATTGAATGTCCGTCGTGTTTCGACGCGTGAAAAATGTCGTTTGACTTGACAGTTTGTTGACCCTATGTATTGTGGGAGATGAAGCATCTAGAACGCGAGTGGAACGAGTTCTTCACTTTGATGACTGTTTATAGCACTCGTCTATTCCAGTATTTCTCGCGACAAATAAAGTTGATACTCACATTAATGTGATTTTTTGTAGACTTGTCGTGGTATACGATGGGTGATTGACTAGATAACCCGTCTGTGCTACACATGTTCACATTGTGCAGACGCGGCGCCCTTGAAGGCACAAAGAACAGTGATACTAAGCATGTGGATGGCATGCGAAAGACCTAAAGAGATGCCGCTCTAGCGTCTGACAAGTCAGGCTGTGTGCTGTGGCCATTATTAAACCTCGTAAGCGGATAGGAATTATCGGGTCGTTCATTCGCCAGCTGAGGATGACCCGTGATCCCCGAGTACAGAAGAGGATAGTCTCGTCCCGTGGCGGCTACTGCGTCTTGTCTGTCGAGTCACCAATGATAACGCCTATGTTGGTCTGTGCTATATTCCATCAAGAACGGATTTCTGCGCAGAATGGAATAGCAGGATAGGAAAAGCGTCATCAAAGAGGCAGTAGCCATGCTGTCAACTTCGGATAGTTGTATAGAGGTTGGCCAATCTGTGATTAGCACCAGTGTTACCCGTGTCTTTGATTTGCCACAGAGAATGTGCCCGTATGATGTCAGTCGTATATCACTAGTGGATCTTAGTTGGCTGTGGTTGCCACAGTGAGTCGGTGATGGCCGCCGGGTGGAGCTGAAGATCCACAGGCACTTGACCTCCTGTTTGCAATGGACGCTTCAACTCCGTCGGGAAAAGGTAGTGCAACATGTGCCGCAACAGCATAGCCTCAGTGATTACCCGTGGTGGAAGCCACGTGTGATGTTACCTGGAGAGAATGTGAGCTAAAAAGTCAGTTCAGGTATCAAAAGCCGCATCACGACGACGGTGACGGTCAGGGTGTAAAAGGGAATAAAGGACATACGTTGCGGTTGCTGTAACATGTTTTGATTTCGAGGTTCATAGGCTTACCTAAACAACGATAGTTTGATGGGACTGAAGTACTTTGATCTTCGTTGCCCAAATTCCTGTACGGTGTACATACGTGGGATATTAGGCCTGTCAGGCATGCCGCAATTGACCTTCTACTCCATCCTCAAGTTGAAAGACTCTAAACCGAAGAATGACCAAACGACCAGGTCATGCCCATTCCACTTCTGAACCAATCTTAATGCAGACCTTCGACGAAGCCAGCATTGACAAGGAATACCAGTTCTACGACGAAGAAGCTGCAAGAGTCAGTCAGAAAATTGACGAGGAGCTCAAGGTATATACATTCTGATTAACTAGTCACTCTTGGTCATCGAGATCTCCAGAGGGACTGGGCCCGCCGCAAGGATGCACAGAGAAGACAAGTCAAGGGTGCGTTCTCTTGAGGAACTTTGCCCACTCCGAGTTGACTGTGATCACGCAGTCATGCTTCTTGGTCAGGCAGAATCAGGAAAATCAACACTCCAGAAGCAATTCCAGTTGTTCTACGCTCATCATGCCCTCGACCATGAACGTCCCCTGTGGCGTCCAGTCGTGTATTTCAACATACTCAAGGCTGTCCGAATGATTCTCGACGAACTAGATCACGAACTCAACAACCTTTCAATCGATGACTCAGTGGAGGGTCAAGCTGTTGCACATGCCCTAGCCCCCTTGGGCGACCTCAGTGAGGAATTCTCCAGGCTACGGACTAAGTTAGTGCCTCTAGTTGCGATGGAGGATTCGCTGGCATCCGAACTCAGCGGCGGAGTCGCTGTGACCGGCGGCCGAACTGGTGTGTATGTTCGTGCAGGATGGCAGGCCCTCGTCACCCCTTTATCGCCCAACCGGAGCCGTGCACTTCCTGGTACTGGTGGACTTTCACCTGCTGTTGCTCAGGTTACCAGCACGGCTTCGAGGACGCTCATTGCTGTTCAAAACGAGGTAGATGAACTTTGGAAGCACCCAGCCGTTCGGATACTCCTCAACAACAGGCGAATAAGGCTTGATGAATCTGCACCATTGTATGACAACTCCTCTGGGCCCTTCATATTCCTCGTTGACTGTCCTTGCAGCTTCCTGGATAACATCAAACGCGTCGCGCAGCCTGATTACCTCCCGTCAACGGGTAAAGTGCATACTTGTTCTGAAATTGTTTGCAAATGTTGAACATATGTCTGATCTAGCCGATCTACTTAATGTTCGACTTCAAACGCTCGGTGTGGCCGAGCATTCTTTCGACATAGAACTGTGCGGCTCTAGATACAACTGGTTGATGTACGACGTCGGCGGAGCTGTGCGTGTGTGCCTATTTTTCTTGTTCTATTGTTTGGCTCAACAGGGTGCTTCATTTTTAGCGTGGCCAGGCGAGTTCATGATATTTAATGATCTAAACAGATTTTCCGTCTGACTCCGAACCATCGCATCAGCGCCACGCATGGGTACCCTACTTTGACGATGGTGGGTGTTTTGCTCTCATCGCGTTGCATTTGACGCCCCGCGTCCGCGGGCGCCAGACAAATTCATCGCCCGCAATAGGGAATTTTTACTAATCTCCGTTTTTCCTGGTTTCGGATAGCAACTGCAATCATCTTTTTGGCGCCAATCAGTGCATTTGATCAAGTATGTCTTTCTGTACTTTCCCCTCATGCACCTATTCATTGTACCTAAAATAGTACCTCGAAGAAGATCCGCGGACAAATAGGGTGGACGACTCGTTGCAGCTATTCACAGCCATATGCTCAAACAAACTCCTGAAGAACTCACATTTGGTTCTGATGCTTAACAAGGTTTTCATTTTTATTTACAGTTTCGACCGTGTGACTGATGGCATGACTGTACGCAGACTGATTTGTTAAAGAAGAAACTAGAAGCTGGCGTCAAAGTGCGGAAATAGTGAGATTTGGTGATCAAATGTCGCTTGGCTGTGCTCACAGTTCTGTGATAGTATCACATCATACGGCGACCGCCCAAACACCTTCGCCGATGTGTCAGAATATTTCAGGGCACACTTTATTCAAGTTCACAGGCGCCATGATATCAGTCGTCGAGCACTGTATGCTGTATGTATAGATCTTTCTTGTGTCTCGAAGTCACCCTGTTCACTAATATGTTGCCATCCAGCACTTCACCTCCATGCTAGTGAGTTTTCTTGTCATTCGAGGTTTGCACAAAACATAATCAATATAATTTAGGATATCCGGGCAACGCAGGACATCATAGTCAATGGTACGTTCTTACAGGCGTCTGCCCCTCACCGAAGTGCTCATTACCGGTACGTTAGTGGGAGAGGCTGTTATCCGATCACATATTGCAAAGACTGGTCTCGCATAATTCCCTCCTGGTTAATATTTCTTCCGAGGATATCGACATAGCACTATGTTTATCTGACTACCTTCCAACATGACACTTCCCTACCGACTAATGATACCTGATCCTTTCTTGCTGACTATTTTACCAACTTCATCTATTGATATCCCGTCCATCATTGTCACATTTCCTCATCTCTCAGCCTTGTTGCATATAGAAATTTCATATGGTTGTCTTTCAAGTGAAAGATGCCGGTCCGATGGCGCAGATGAATTTCCACACGCCCTTAGTGCCAGTCTAGCTGCCACTCTCACACTGCACCCTTGACTTGCCTGATAAGCAGTTTCAGTCTATGGTGCGTTATCAACATCTCCTGATGTTGGTGATTTTTGATCGTTCATGATAACTAAGATCTTCAACGCCTTGTCAACTTAAGAGAACTATCTGCAATTATCGGAACCATGCCGAAGATGAAATGCATGATTTGTGATGTGGTCATTGAGCGCTACGAGCTGCCGCATCATATACGAAAAGCCCATAACCAGATGCCTGGGCAGCCCAACCAACATGCGCCCGAGATACCGTTCGGGGAAAGGCAAGCCAGAGAACCCGCCCGGCCACCCGCCCAGCCAGTTCCTGTCAAAACTCAATCGGAACGCGAATCATTCCAACGGGAGATCCAAGATATCGTGCATGAATTCACCGCCTTACCGGATCAGCTGAGACAGGCGTGTAGAGAGAGCGTTGGGAACATGCCTGTTCTTGGGGTAAGTCCATCCGCGTTGCATCAATCAGTTGATGTCATGATTCGCGCTGCTATTAGGCGCTGTATGCGTACACCTTCACGCATCTTCAATTATGCGCTCCAGAGAAGCAAAGGTCGGTATCATATTGTTGGACCAGTGATCTAAATTCTCATGCGCAGCACCAGTCTTATCGCTGAACTTGAAGACTTCCGGTCTGGGTGGATAAGGAAAGGTGATGCGTGTCTTTTGAATTTGAAGGCCATGAAGGACAGGCTTGTCCACATTCTACAGATGGTGTGCAAGGCTTTAGTCAGTGAAAAGTCTACTAAGCGGTATGAACAGTCACAAGTTGAGAAACACCTCTGCAACATTCGCCTGATTAACGGCAACAAACTGCACGACCTCGACATCAACAACGTAGCAGCGTTGATCGTCGAGCATACAACGTCGAAGGAGCGTGCCCCCGCTTTCTATGCCCAGACTGATGACAACCCACAGTTCATGGTTGAGATACTTCAGAATGTGCGTAAGCGCTGGCTTATCGCACAGTCGCCCTTTGACATTTGCAATAGCTACTTGCGGCTCGATCTGAAATTGCGGAAAAGTATAGAAAATACTTGGTGAATGCTGTGTTCAAACTTTCCAGGAAATCTGGACGGTTCCCACAGAGTTTGCAACTTGGCCGCATTGAGGATTTAAAACATACCGAATTTCATGGCGGGTTTGGTTTGATCTATCAAGGCAAACTAAACGGCCGCCTTGTTGCTGTGAAAAAGGTGGAGGGTAAACGTTCCCCAGAACAATTTCATAAAGTCAGTAGTCTCGTTTCAGATCGCGACATAAGTTTACATGTTATCATCCCTCGCAGGTGTTCTCTAACGAAGCGGTGGTTTGGTACTATATACGACATGCAAACTGTCTACCATTCTACGGCGTATACGTCTTCAATGATGATGAGAAGACATGGTGTCTCGTATCCCCCTGGATGACAGACGGTCATGTTAAAGGCTACCTTAAGAGGAAACCTGACACTGACAGAGTGCCACTGGTAATTGCTGCTTTATTGTATACCGAGAGATCTTGCTTACGGTAGTGGAGATCCTGGATGTTGCACGCGGCCTAGAGTACCTGCACGCAATAGAGCCAGCAGTGAGTCATGGCGACCTGAAAGGCGTAAGTGTTTGTGCCATAACTATGAATTCTGGAGAATTCAAGCTTTGCGTTTACAGGAAAATATCCTGATAACGTCTTCCGGGCGTGCATGCATAGCGGATTTTGGAATTGCAACGGCTCGAGACGCTCATATTCAAATGACCACAACATCATCCGGAGTCGCAGGAACGCGTCATTTTATGGCTCCTGAACTCATAGAAGCACAAGATGCAGCTGATCTCCAGAAGTTGGACAGAAGGCGGTGCGACATGTATGCACTGGCTTGCGTCATTTATGAGGTATGAACAAAAATACAGTTCATTCGGCTTGACCTACAACAAAATTCGCAGATGTATACTGGAATGGCCCCGTTTCAAGCACACAAAAATCCTCATATCTTCGTGCTGAAGAAACAGCGGGAAAAACGGCCACAAAATGTTAACCAAGAGTTGGAGGACTTCATGTGGCAACTCATAGAAGCCCTGTGGAAACATGAAGGGAAAGAACGACCAACAGCAGAACAAGTGTGCAAGGAGATGACTTCCAAGATGGGTGCCCAGCGGAAAGTGCGCCCGTCCACCGAAATAGAGTGGGATGTAGGGGTTTTTGCTGATGCCGCCGTGACGATGGTGACAGAGGATCCTTTCGCGCTTGCGCATACATAGGCAACTCGTATGTCGTGTTGTATATATCCAATATCCTGACTGCTGTTGCTCGAATCTGTGGTAATTGACAGCACGGTCACCCGGCGATTCACTGAGGTAGAAGCACAACATCCTATATGGTCTGCTTTGATTTCGGTTCCCTTGCCGTAGAAGTTCTGCAGTGCGCACAGTCGTAAACGATTGGCGGGGTGATCTGAGCTGACACCATTCGCCCAATACCGAATTGACTCACCACTACCAAGTGACAGTAGGTACATGAGGACCGTGGGAATACATAAAAACTTTGTCCGCTGAGGATCATCATCGACTTGGCTAAAATATTCATTGTCATAGCCTTACTCCTCCAAAATGTCGACCAGCGGGCTGAAGGCGATTGCCCCTGTGCCCACCGCGGCAGATTTCTTGGACATTGTTCTGTCCAAGACTCAGCGGAAGACGCCTACAGTGAGTAGTTTGAGGATATCATCCAGAGCAATCTAATCATCTTAGTGTTCCAGGTAATCCACAAAAACTTTAAGATCAGCCGCATCCGTAACTTTTACATGCGCAAGGTCAAGTTTACACAGGACACTTTCGATGAAAAACTGGGTGCCATATTGTCAGAGTTCCCCCTACTCGACGTGAGTTTAATCAGGTTCTCCTGGGGATCTAAAATTCACAATCCCGAGGGCAGGACTTACACCCTTTCCTGGCATCACTCATGAATGTATTGTACGACAAAAATCACTACAAACTTGCTTTAGGCCAACTTCGCACCGCTCGACATCTCATTGATCAGGTTGCCAAAGATTACGTCCGACTTCTCAAGTTCGGCGACAGTTTATACCGCTGCAAGCAACTTAAAAGGGCAGCGCTGGGTCGTATGGCCACTATCATGCGCAGACAGAAAGATCCCCTTGCCTACCTTGAGCAAGTCCGCCAACACATTTCTCGTCTTCCCGCTATCGACCCTAACACCCGAACACTACTCATATGCGGCTACCCAAATGTGGGGAAGTCGTCATTTATCAACAAGGTTACGCGTGCGGACGTTGACGTCCAGCCATATGCATTCACAACCAAGTCTCTTTTTATTGGCCATCTAGATTACAAGTACCTGAGGTGGCAGGTTATCGATACCCCTGGAATTTTGGATCACCCGCTGGAGGAGATGAACACGATTGAAATGCAGAGTATCACGGCTCTCGCGCATCTCAAGAGCTGCGTGTTGTATTTTATGGACCTGAGTGAACAGTGTGGTTACACCGTGGAAGCTCAAGTGCGTATTGCAGCATACATTCTGCGTCTGAACTACATGTCAATTTTTTCCGCAGTGTAAATTGTTCCATTCTATCAAGCCTCTGTTTAATGGCAAGCCCACGATGCTTGTCATCAACAAAATCGACGTGACTCGCCTTGAGGATCTCACACCCGAGAATCGCGCCCTCGTCCAAGAAATCATTGACACTGAGGACGTCCAATGCATCCAGGTGTCATGTTATTCTGACGAGGGGGTCATGGATCTCAAGAACAAGGCATGCGACGCCCTCTTGGCACACCGCGTCGACTCGAAGCTCAAGGGCACCAAAATTAACTCCGTGATCAACCGTATACATGTGGCACAACCAAAAGCTCGGGACGACCTTGTCCGTGCGCCATTCATACCGGATGCTATCAAAGAGCGGAAGAAATACGACAGGGATGATCCTGACAGGAAGAAACTTTTGCGAGACACGGAGTTAGAAGAGGGTGGTGCTGGTGTTTTCAACATCAACATTAAGCGTAAGCTCCTCTCTATGTATCCTGTTTGCATCTCCTGACGCGTCATACAGAGGACTACATCCTCGCGAATCCTGAGTGGAAGATGGATATCATGCCCGAAATCATGAACGGCAAGAACGTTGCCGACTTCATCGACCCCGATATCGCCGAAAAGCTTGAGGCGCTTGAGCGTGAGGAAGAGAAACTCGAGGCCGAGGGCTTTTACGATAGCGACGAGGATATCTTTGACTCCGAGGACGAGCGCGAGGCAGTTGAGGCTAAGAAAGCTCTTGGGCACAAAATACATTCGCAGAACCTCAAAAAAGCCATGAAGAACCAGTCTCGTTTGCCACGCACGGCAGGCCTCCGCACGCTGTCTGAACTCAGTAGTGAGCTCAAGAAAGCAGGTTATGATCCAAGCAGCATAGAGGCGCGGGCTGGAATATTAGCCAAAGCCCAGGGCGCTAAGCGGAAGCGGGCTGAAGCAGACATGGATGTTGACATGGAGGATGGAGACGCGAGTGAAGGTGAAGAAGGTGACTGGATGGATGTTGAAGGCGAAGAGCAGACACCGAATAAACGGGTCAAGGCTAACTCGGGTGCAGTTGTCGCCAAGCACCCGCGAGCACCAAAATCAAATCGTCAATTTGCTGGTATGCGTGATGAGCAGGTTTGTTTTATCTCTGTCTGGCAGGCGAAGTCACTGAACGTCCTTTTTAGCAAGCTTCCAAAGCCGTCAAGCTACGGAACCTCGGACAGCGTGAGCGCAACAGGCTGGCCAAAGCTGGAGAGAGTGATCGTGTTATCCAAACTAAAATGGTCCGTGATCATGAACGCATCCTGACTTTCTTGCTAATCACATCCTCAGCCAAAACATCTCTTCGCTGGCAAACGGAAAGCTGGAAAAACGAACAGACGTTAGCCTGCTCGTCTTTTATGCTCTCATGTATTATTTTCATCCATACGTCATGCAATCTATTCCACTAAAGTACAACTTCGTCCTCGACAAGCAAAATGTCCAAAAAGAAGGGTATTTAGACCATCCTAAAAGGTAAGTACGCAGATGCGCACAAAGGTGCGCAAATCACAATATAAACGTTTGAAGTTCGTCGATCGTTCTGGAATATGTCGTACGTGTACTTTGAGGGACGCCCTGTGACGTCGTTTCCTCGGTTAGTCGTCAAGTAAGGTATAATATAGCGGGTAGTGGAGGTAAGGGAAAATATACGGAGGTGGAGGGTTTCGCAGGAACGGAGCATGTGGCGCAGGTCGAGAAAGAATTGGATGAGGGTCCACGGTTAGTCCCAATCAATGGTAATTCCCCCTGGGCCAGGAGCAGCGATACCAATACCTCTATCAGATTCGCGTTTCAGCCACTTGAGAGCACGCTTATCATTCTTAAGGTGTGGTTCGAGTCTCTCCAGGCACTTCTTGTTGTGATCCTGCGATAACGGGAACGTTAGATGGTCCGCAGGTGAAGGATCACTGATCGCTTACTTTCAACCACTGTTTTTCTTCCTTGGTAAGCATAGTTTCTTTGACCATCCGCGTTTGGATCGGAACACACGTGAGGCGTTCAAACCCAAGCCAGATGTCGCCGTTAAATTCGCCTTTCGTCTGGTCGCCGAAAACGTGAGACGCCATCGTACTGCGGTGATACAGGATCAACGTACCTTGACTCTGCGAATAGCCAGCGCAGATTCAATGCGCATTCCCCAGTGGCCGTCAAGATCTACGATTCGAAACATGATGAGTCATGAAGAGGGAATTTCGGCTTGCAACTCACAGAAACCGGGCTCGTTTGTTATGACGTGTCCAGGAACGAGAGGAACACTGCTGGAGAATCCGTGTGGACCTTCATGTACGTTCAAGAACGAGCCAAATCCGTGGCCTGTGCCGTGCTATGTCCAAATCACATATCAGCTGATAGTCAAGCCTACGTCAAGGAAGCAAAATACCATGTAATTAAGACCGTCCTTCCATAGTGCACGTCGAGCGAGAACGTCAAGTTGGGAACCGGTGGTGCCCTGCGGGAATACAGCGCTATCGATGGCAATCTGAGATTATAAGTTGAGAAAGTGCGGGGACTGATATGACCGCCAGTAACGTACGTGACCCTGCAAAACGCGGGTGTATGCCTCTGATTGGTCTACTGATGGCCTTCCAAAATGAACTGTGCGTGTTGTGTCACATGTGCCATCACGGTATTGACCTCCAGAATCACTGGGGTAAAACGAGGTTAACGGTTAATATCACGAAATTTGATGGGACTCTCGATGCTCACTTAAGGTAAGGAGTATTTCGGTCAATCATTCGGGCGCCGGATTTCGTAGGTGAATAGTGGGGAAGAGCTGCAAGATCCGAAATATCAGCGATATGAACCTGCCATGCTGTAGAAGTCACATACCCGCGTTAGGCCCGCTGGCAGAGATATTCTCGTACGCGAGACCCCAGTAGTGCTTGTTTTGCCTCCTGTACTCTGTGAGACGCCATGCTGCTTCATACTCGGTAATGTCATATCCTTGTTGGATCTTGTGCTCCAGCCATGCAAGCCATCTAACCTAAACGAGATAGCATGAGGTAAGGATCAAAATTATCAACCGAGGATACGCACATATGCAGCACCATCGCGAAGGTAGGCACGCCTCAAGCCTTCAAGTTCCACATCATTCTTGATGGCCTTGATATCGTCAATGAAGGATGGCACGACGGTATAGCGGAAGTGCGTCAGCATCAAGGAGATCGCGTAGGAAGTCTCTGGACAGATAAGGACTTTGCCCTCGCCCCATTCTCGCCGGCGGAGGAAGGCCCAAATGTCATTATACTCCTTTCGCTCGATGTTGAGGGCACGTAGGTGATCCTCCACTTCATCAGTAAGCTTGACGGAATCTAAGAATAGGACAACCCTATCCAGAGAAATAAACAGATAGGCGTAGAACAGAGGATTGAAGGGGATATCGGAGCCACGCAGGTTTAGAAGCCAAGCTGCAAGTGGATGTCTCTGTAAATTTCCCTAAGAGATATCGGTGGAAATGGTGCTCACCAATCGAGGATAAAGAAGTAATCAGGGTGCCGATATGCATCTGGGCAGGAGTCGGAGTTGCTTTGGAGTATGAAGGGACGGCCGGAGGTTGTGCCTGGATCCAAGAGCGGACCTCTGCAATTTTTGTGCTGGCTTCTCTGCCCGTGAACTCGAAAGACTGGATAAAAACAGGTTCCTTGGATCGCAGAGGCTTTTCTTTCCAAACCATGTCAATAAAATTCTGGGGAGGGTAGATGAGCTTCGAGTTCTTGTTGTTGAGTTGTGTGGTCAATGAGGTAGCCTTCTCATGGGAGATCATGCGCGCGTCTATACCAATCTTTGCATCCTTGGCACGATCCTGATATAAAACAAAACCCTATTAGGGAAAGCCTTCGAATTGAGCTGATGACACGCACAACCAACCAATCGATCCAATCTTTGGGGCCATCCACGGCCCCGGCAGTTATCAAGTGCCAGTTTAAGTCAAGTTCATCGCGAGCTTGCAACCAGTAGCGCGAGTCGGTCACTAAATAAGCGGCCGTCTTCGAGACAATAGCTTGGCCTGCACTTCCAGTAAAGCTGACAATCACGTAAGATCCGAAGTGGAAGGGAGAAGACAATTAACTCACCCAGAGATCCATGACCTACGTTTGTCGCCGGCTGCGACGTACTCGGATTGGTGGGGGTCCTCGCTGGGGACGACGCTGACATAGGAATGTAAGGCTAAAGAAACGCAGAGTTTGACTTGACTCACTAGTAATCGAGTTTCTCCTTTGCCATCAACTTCCTGATGTCATCCAATCTGTCTGTCGTGTCCACTTTCTCCTTGATGGATTCGACGTCATTAATCTTGCGGTCAAGAGCAGACCCGACAAGTGTGCTCGCAGAATCATTCGAGTAGAAGGGTGAGCGTTTGCTGCTGCTAGACCTGGAGGAGGTACGAGTCGGCGATTTGTAAAGTGGAGGTCTTTCTGAGTCAACAGAGGGTGATCGTTCCAACATCTCTCTCTCCCTCTCCTTGACTTTTCCCAATCCCCACCCATATCCCCATTTCGCGGATTTCTTCGAATCAACCCTCGTCAGAGCAGACTTGCTGTCATTGCGGGAGAGTTGGGAGAATTTGGTGCGGCTCTCGTTAGCAAGTGTAGGGACGTCGTAAACTTCTGAATCCGAATCAAATGATAGCTTCTCCACGTCTGACGCGAGGGTCCGAGTGGTGGAGTAGGACCCGGAGCGGACGAGCTTATTCTGGGAGCCTGTGGAATTATATGATCGTTTCGAACGATTGGAAACGTTGTCGGGCCTCGGAGACGAACGATAGGAATTGTCGTCGGACCTCAGAGAATGATTGGAACGGTTGTCGGACCTATGAGAGGATGTAGACGATTTTTCCGAGTCTGTACGGACTATGAGAGGGCTGGCTTCGCGAGTTCGTGAGCGATTCGTGAAAGGAAAGCACATGGGCGGTGGAGGCGGCGGAGGAGGCGGCGGCGGCGGCGGCATGATAGATGGCGGATGATGGAAGTAAGAAGCAAAGAGCCCGTGCTGGCAATATTAGTGAGCTCAGAACGTACTCACACGAGGCTGGACGGTGATTATCACCAAGGGTGCCATGGCATGCGTAAAATTGAAAACAGAAAGCATGGCAAGTAAATGGTAGCCTGTGGGAAAATGTGTGACTAAGCGCACTTAAATTGGTTACTGCAAACTCGGAAACGATCTCGGTCGCCGGTGCGGTCCTTACTTACAGTTGGTCATTTGTGGACATGGGAGACCTCGAGGACAGCTCCGTGGGGGTATAGTTAGAACGACGTCACAGCTGCGGAGAAGAAAGGGTTCCAAATGAGGGCCATTGTCCAGCCATACCACTGGGACGACTGGCGACGGGCAACAGATATGGCAGTGATCAATCCTGGGATCGATCCCGCGGGTATGAGAACGCCACGCACCTGTGAACGAAGTTTTCGTGTCAGCCTATCTCGAAAACACGAGGCTGGAACGGCTTGCCATCCCTTCCATCCAGCTTCGGTCCGCATTTGACTTGTTCCTGTCCTTGGTACTAATGTGTCAACAGGGTTGCAGAACCCACGAACTTCCACGGAGTCTGGATTGGTTATTCTAGATCCGAGATGAACTATGATCACAGAGATCATGAGGACATCGTCATGTGTATCACCAACGACGCGTTATCGAGTCACGACAAGCCTAGTCGAGTTTGGGGCAGCTCCTAGTGCAGTCGACAAGTAAGGCATCATCGGTCAGGCAATGGTTCAATACGCGGAGGCGTCAAAGACTGCGCATAGATGCACTGCCAAAGAGACATTGCGTCAGAATGGTGCATGACGCTCGAATTGACCTCACTGCGTGATATTGCCCAGCTTCCATTGGCGTATGTGGTTCTAGACACACATAGTCCTGGAATGAAGATAACCCCCTTCTACGCCACCATTATTCCAGCCACGCACAGAACCTAGAAAACTAGAACTTCCGAGTCATAAACTTACCACAATCACATGGTTGGACCCCTGGCGCTTGATACACATTCGTCATAAACCAGAGAATGGAACGGAAGTAAATCTCAGCTATTGTTCATCACCCAGACCTGTTAATATGGTGAAGCTGGTCTAGAAAAAGGGTGCGCATGCCCCAGTAGCGCCATAGTGGTCAAGAACCATCAAAATGGTGAGGAAGAGCAACATTTCCTGCCGGATCGCCAATAGCGTCACATCATTGGATTTGGCAGGGTGTTTCATCCATGCCCCAACCTGCTCCAACTGTCCGAGCTCACGCAAGTTTACACAGACACAGCTACCATAGGATGAGCCGATTGACGGCCCGAGTGTGCGACGAGAAGCCTGGTGGGAATCTGAACAAGAGATGACTTGAATGGAAACGCACCTTGGAGCCGTAAAGTTGGGACAGCGACGTTCAAAATATTGTCGAATGAGTTCACAGTCAAGTTGTGCGCCCGGTGCCAACAGCACTCTAGTCCTAGTACCAGCACAAGAATGACGTCGGGCAAACGTCCGAACGTCGAGGAGATATTAATTACATAAATAGTTATGCAACGTTTAGGTACTTATTAATTAATCCCAGCCAAAACCTACAGTTGGCTGAGCGTGGCCGACGATGGTCAGACGTGAGGATAATTTGTGAAACCCATGGTCAGACGAGACGGTTATCGTGATAGAATTCGAAGTTCATAGAACGTGAAATCTGCTCGTTCTGAAAAATAGAAAATGTTCTTCGTCGATTTCACCTTCCTGTCATGTGACTAGTTTACCATGGTCCATTTTGTCGAAATCATCACGCGCACGATTTGCTCTGTTTTCTCTAACATACGAAACGCAGGCAAAGCACGGGTCGCAAAATGTATATGTGACCCGCATTCTGTCAGCGTCTCGTGTCAGTTTACCTTCGTCGAAACCGTCCTCTGATTCTGTCCCACTACCAGGCTCCTCGACACTCACATTTCTGGCGCCAGCACTGAACAATGCATCGCTTGAGGGTGCGCCTCATTTCACCATCCACTCAGGCTACTACGTCTACAGGAGAAGTTTCTGTCCAGTCTGGCAAGAAAAAGAGAGGTCCGACAAACCCGAACAACCTTTTGAAGCCGAGTTCGGGATTGACAACAGCACGCAACCTCTGTGGTACCGAAGGGCAAGCCCGACGCAAGACGGGCACTGTCGCAGAGTTCACAACACACTGCAATAGCCTCACCGCCCAACAGAGCCCTACGCCACTTGCTCGAAGCTTGTCGACACTGTAAGTCTTTCTTTCTTTGGTAATATCATAATCTTATTCAACTGTAGGCTAAGGCAAATGTTGCCGAATTCGCAGCTAGCGGTCCCAGCGCATAACTCCCCTGCTCTCGTCTCGCTGAGTAGTAGTCTGACGTGGTCTGGCGTGAGCAAACGGGACCACTACCACGGCCTGCCACGATCTTCCACGTCAAATTTCCGCGGTCTGTGTTCATATTCGCTCATTTTCTACAGTAGGGATCGTGACTGGTGGTGATCACCACAGCTCACGTTATCTCACGCTCCGCCAACTGTAGGTTTTCATTGGGAATATCGTTAAGGGCTTGAATTTAGTGAACATTCATCGATACATCGTGCAACATCGACTGATCTGATGTGCTTCAAAATTTGAGACTACGAAGTTAAGGTATAATTAAATTCATCACCCAAGGCGATTTTCGAAATGTTGTGTTGTTGTGTTGGTGAGTGGGTGAAATTTGCCAACGCAAATACCGCTGTATCACTGTATCGTCATAAATGACCTTCTCAGATATTCATCCGTTCACTGATGATTCTCATTCCTTAGGCTTCAGGTGCCAATTTTTCAGGACGCCAGGTCCCCATCCCACGTTATGAGTCAACAGTGACTCAATACCGCGTTGACCCCGAAGTCCATGAATACCTCGAGGCCTCGACGTGACGCTTCTGGAAGTGACCGATTTGTTATGTTGCAAGAATGCCCAACAGGACGGATACCACTACTATTTAATCGTCGTACCGCCGCACTGCTTCAACTTTTCAAGGGAGCATGGGTGCTGGGTCCGTCACAAAAGGCTCTGCTGCCTACGCTCAATTTCTCCATTCGAGACCATGGTACAGGAACACCCGTAAGTTCCTCACAAGAGACAGCAGGAGGAATGAGGGTACTGATGGCACGCGATAACAGGCCTCATCATACTGAACTTTTGGATCGGTATCATGCAAGTTCCAGAACACATGCCGTTGTGCTCCGTTAGCTTAACCCTGACAGGTGGATAACATCCTATTCATATGGTTATGACGGTGAGCTCTATACCTCGCGTCATTTTCAAGCATATCCTGATTTGTTTGTAGCTAGTATGATGAGTAGGTGACTGCGTGGTTTTCAATACTATATACTAAACACGGAGCAGACGGGTTGCAGTCGTTGACGCAGTGGAATAAAGCGTTTGGTTATCCTTCTGGTGGGAAGGTGTGTCTAGTGGTGCATGTTGGCGAAAACGTACTCATCCGCCGGCAAGCTCGGATTGCTCAATGCCATCCAAGTAAGCTAATTATCACATCGGTCTCCAACTTGAAGGCTGGCTGACTGTAGGACTACATCAGACCATCGGTGCCTTGACTGCTTACCCATTTGCACCATACATGGCTGATGGCTTGGGTCGGCGGTTCCCAATAATCTTTGGTGCAAGCTTAATGATTGCTGCGACCGTGATCCAGACTCTTAGCCAGTCTGTGCAGATGTTCATTGGAGCCCGGTAGGCAACAAATAATGACTCGTAGAGCTATGCCTGATAGATCCCCGCAGTTTCTTGATCGGTTTTGGTCAGACATTCGCTTCCGTCGCTTCTCCCCTCCTTGTCGCTGAGGTTGCATACCCTTCACAACGTAGTCAAGCAACTACGATGTATGTCTCATTATGGTGAGCTATTTTCGTGATTCATGAGAACGGATTTTCATTACCATCATCCAGGTTCGTTGGAAGTATCGTGTAAGTTGTTCGTAACATAAGCTTCGCTTTCACCCCAGCTCACCGGTTGCCACCACGTAGCGCAGCGTGGACTGTCAGTATTTGTCACTGTGAGCAAAAAAACTAAGGTGATCGTCTTTGCAGACTTATGGCACCTTCAACATCCCAACCAGTTGGGCGTGGAGAATTCCTTCTGCGCTCCAGGGTGTTTCATCCCTGATCCAAGTCTTCTTGATCTGGTTCGTCCCCGAGTCTCCGCGTTGGCTCATGAGCAAGGGCAAGTGAGTTTGACTGTCCTCAAAACTTCACTGGTCCAACAGTGTGCTAAACTATCAGAGAGGAGCGTGCTCTTGAAGTTCTCGCTTACTATCACGCGAATGGCGACGCGTGAGCATCATACATTTTTTTGTGGTATCAGCGCTTGAACTAAGCCTATCATGCAGACAAGATCCTCTTGTACAGTACGAATTCGAAGAAATCAAGACTGCCATTGCATTTGATCGAGAGGTAACTGGAAATGTTGGCTGGCTTAGCTTGATCAAAACCCCCGGAAACCGAAGACGTTTGCGCGTTATCATCGCACTTGCTTTCTTCTCGCAATGGTCTGGCAATGGTTTGGTGTAAGTTCGATGCTATCTTGTATATGAAATAATTCTGACGGCATGTGGGTTCGCAGTTCTTTCTGTAAGCCAGCTTCATTCATGTATGGCGTGGATGCGCATGATTGGATTTGGCAGATCTGAACAAGGTCTTTATTGCAATTGGAAGTGAGTGACTCATGACTTGATGTAGGGCCAGCTCATCATCGTTACGTAGTTACAAGCCAGACAACGCAGTTGCTGTTTGTAGGTTTGGAAGAAGTGCTTGATGCTCGCTCGTTCACGAAAGGTTCTAGAATGGTATTCTCAACACCTACAACTTCATCGTGAACATTACTGCCGGCATTTATTGTGACCGTGTGGGCCGACGCCCGCTGTTCCTCACATCTTGTATTGGTGAGCCATAGTCTTGAGAAATCTACATATCGCCGGCTGATGTATGTCAGGTATGACCGTCTTCTGGATTGCCCAGACGATCTGCTTCTCCATCCACCAAGAAACTGGTAGTATCACAGCCGGATATGCTGTCATTGTTTTCATTTGTGAGTAGTATAATAGGAGCTGACTAAGTCTGGTGCTGACAGACTTTCGAGCGCAGTCCTTTTCTACGGATTTTGTGAGTGGTCCGTCGCTCTTGTGTTGTTAACTTACTTACGTTTCTACAGATAATGTTCGTGTTTCTTGTTGATGTGTCTTATTTCTCCAAGCTGAATTCATGTAATATCAGATTGCGTTCCCGCCTCTCCTTACCTCGTGAGTCATACGAAATCCTGGAGTGAGGCTCACCGTTTATTCTACAAGATACACCGTCGAAATTTTCCCGTACCCTCTCCGTGCCAAGGGTTATATGGTGTTCCTCTTCATGTTTTCTCTGTCTTTGATCTTCAACCAGTATGGTCCATCCTCTCTGTCCGTTTAAAGGTTCTCACATACGCAGATATGTCAACCCCATTGCCCTTCAAGCGTACGTCCCTCATGAATATTATTTCTTGCAGCTGCTAGCTGACATCACATTCTACGCTCAGTCTGCAGTGGAAGTACTACGTGAGCCTCCCCGCAATTTCTGGCATGTTTTTATTCATTCGATGTTCTATTTCAGTTGGTCTACATTTTCTGTCTGTGTCTCGAACTTGCGTTCTGCTACTTCTTCATCATTGAGACGAAGAACGTGCGTTCAACACTTTTGTTGGTCAAATATGATCTTCGGCTCACGAAATTTGTGTCAGCGCTCTCTCGAAGAAACTGCCGCGTATGTCACTGTAATCGTGACTACGATCCTCTACTCACCCCACGACTTCTTCCTCAGCATTTTCGATGGCGTAGAAGGCATGGACCAGATTCATGACAAGGCTGCTACACATGCAGACCCCACGCACCGTGTGGACGACATAAAAGAGAAAGAGACGAAATTAGAGTCTGCAGTTGCTCCGACGAATGAAGCAACCTCGTCCTGACAAGCTCAGCCCATCCGAGGCGGATTGAGCAACATCATCAAGGACTTGGTCTACTTCCCTTTCATTCTTCCCATTCTTCATGATTGTGATGCTTTATGACTAGTTATGACTGTGGTCGGTCCTAGGATCGATCCCACGAGTATGCGAACGCCAAAACGAGGCACATGGTGAACAACGTTTTTATGTCTTCTCGAGAACGCGAGATTGGAACAGGTTCCCATCCAGCCATCAAGTGACATCAATACAGCGCCGGTCCGCCCGCCGAATGGTTAACTCGTGATACGCTGACGTGACGTTATGCACCTGTTAATATTCTGCCAAGTTTTTTATGGCGGGACGATAACGCTTGAGAGCAAGCGACCAAGTCAATTCTCGCCATACCAGAGCTCTGAGTTCTCTGGCTTGAACTTGATATGCACGCTTCTCACCTTGACAACGAACGATGGGTGCTGGTCCCACTGTCATCACCGAAGCTCTGCTGCCTGCGCTCACATTCATTCGAGACCATGGTACAGGAACACCCGTATTAACATGACATAACAGGCTTATCGCACTGAACTTTGGGATCAGTGTCATGCAAGTTCCCGAACACATAATAATTTACGCCCAACCGGCTTACCCCTGACAAGTTCATAACGTCCTACACATATGGTTATGGCGGTGAGTTCCACACCTTGACTTGTTAGCAAACCTACCCTGAACTGTTTCAGGTAGTACGATGAGTGCGCAGTGACTGTATGGTCGTCGAGTTGATATTCTAAACGCGGAACAGACTGTTTTATCTTACAGGTGGGAAGGTGTGTCTACTGGCGCACGTTAATTGGAACATACTCATCTTCCGCCAAGCTCGGATTACTCAAGTAAGTTGATTGTAAGGGCCGCTCGGGTAGCCGGCACTGGCTAACTGCAGGACGACCTCAGAATATCGCTGTTTGCACCCCTGATGTCACGGGTCGGCGTTTACCTCGGTGCAAATGCGATGATTTCCGCCACTGTGAGCCAGATTGCTAGTAATTCCGTGCAGATGTTCATTGGAGCCTGGTACACACCAAATAGCTACACGCAAGAGTCAATCCCATTCCTGACGGTTATTACCTTTTCCACCTTAGTTAAACAACTCCAATGTATGTCTCGTTAGGGTGAGCTGTCTTGGTGAATCCCTGGGGACGGATCGTGTAAGTTTTCGCTATATATAAGTTTGACTTTCTGTCATTTCAGCTCACCAATTGCTATCATGTAGCACAGCACAACCCATTGCCTTTGACGCTTACGCCCGTAATACGGACCTTCTCCTTGTATCTGCTGACATAGAACCCGATGTTCAGTCTGCAGTAGAAGTACTACGTGAGCTTTCTCACAAATTCCGGCTTGTTTTTATTCATTCAATGGTCTATATCAGTTGGGTATATTACCTGGCTATGCTTCAAGTTTATATTCTGCTACTTCTTCATCGTTGAGACGAAGGACGCGCGTACACACTTTTTGTTGCTCATACATGATCCTCGGCTTACAATTATCGTCAGCGCACTCTCGAAGAAACTTCAGCATATGCTACAGTAATAATGACCGTGGTTTTCTACTCACGGCTTCTCCTCAGTATTTTCTTGGAGGAAGGCGTGACCCATATTCATGGCAAGGCTGCTGCGCATCCAGGCATCACGTCAATTGGCGTTTGCAGTGCTATGACGAACTATTTCCGTCAGACTAAGCCCATTCGAGGCGGATTGATTGGGCAACATGATTTGATCTATTTGCCTTCTATTGTATTGCACCCAGTAATGCATTCTTCTCCAGGTTCAGCTCTGTGGTGTTGCACAATTGTCGATTAGTTGTCATCCCTTGCCAACGTCGAACAGCCTGTCAGGCAGCGTCGGGCCTTTCTCGGTGTCATGTCGTGTCAATGTGTCATGCCATCCTTGGAAATTTGAATGGCCGGCTCACCAAATAGATGGCCGACACCACTGTGGCATGTGCTCAGGTCATAGCATCTATCCAACCGGCGTGTCCTGCCTGCCTCCAATAGTACTAGCATACAGAGTAATTTTTCCGTGTCAAGACCCAGAACATGATTAAGGTGATTTCAGCCTGATCAATGATCAATGATTCAGTATTCAGTATTATAATTGTATGGTACCAGGCACTTGTCAGCGTTGTTCGCTTCCTTGAATGATCTAGGCACGGAATAATTATATTTGATTCCGTGAATCGGTCGACGCACGGTAGCAATCTTAGCCAGAAATATGCTTGCCCAGCTGGCGCTCATCATCCTGTAAAGATATCGCTTGTATCTCCGTATCCTTTCTTTCTCTCACTCGTGGATTGCGAGCCAAATTGATGTCATGGTTTTCATACCCTCTCGAGATCAGCTCCAGCACCAGGTAAGCACTACAGACGGAAGCCTTTCGAATATCCCATCGTACTTACCTACTTATCACTGACAGGTTCTCTCTGTAGGTGTCCAATATTCTCAGTTTCTGGCGGCGAGGCTGAAATACTTAATACAGCCCCGTGCTACCGACGGCAGTGATAGTACCGATGATGCTTGGGGTCCTATGCAGATAACAGCCCCCATAATTGTTGGCGTTGCACTCATCATAATCTTTGCTGCGTACTTGATGTGGTACAAATGGTCAGACCACTTCAAAGTCCACTTTCGCCGAGTTCGACATGCAGTATCCGTCTCGAGACCTGCACAGGTCTTCATGCCTCAATACCGTCATCGAGTGCAGCATGCTAGCATTCCCTTTACACTGGATTCATCCATGGGCACCCCACGTTACACGCGAAGATACCACTCATATGTTCGATCGGACTCAACTGATTCACAAACACCACTAGCAGACTCCTTCGATTTCCCTTTCCCACCCCACAACAACTATAATTCCGATTCTTCTCGCAGGCAAATGCCTGAGGAGTCTCACCAACCTGGGAGGCGGTCATGGCGATGGTGGCGCCTTTTTGGCGTGGGGATTCGAGAGGTCAAGCCACAAGTACCAAGTCATCGCTGGGTGGTAGAGGGTCCTGATGAGAGTAGTACTCTGGGACACGGGGATGGGTCGCTAAACAGCCCAAGCTTTGCACCGAGACAAAGATGGATCGGTGGTCTTCCGCCGGTGCATGAACAGTCGATTGATGACGAGGGTGATCCCAGTCGAGGATATCATGGCGGGGTCATGCAAATTGGAGATGATTTCTCTACACACGAAGCACCCTTGACTCCAGCATACCACCAAGGTGTTACAGTGCCTGTGCCCCCTGGGTCAGCTCCCACTTCGGCCAGAACGGCTGCACCGGAATACAGTGCAGTCGAAGGTCCACAATCGATATCTAATTCACGGACCGTGACAACCGCGCCAACAACTTATATTCCACAATCCTCCTACTATACTCCAGTGAGTCCTGAATGTCGGTCGTCATACATATGTTTTCACTGACTTGTGTCGCCCAGGGACCTACCCACAGCAACTCGCCCGCCCCTCCGTACAGTTCGGCTTCACAAAGCAGAAATGTGTCCATGGAACATGTCATCCATCATGCCCGCTCTGACCTATCAATGCTCTATCCAGGGTCGGTGCGCGCCGTAGGACGGACTCTCCCGCATATGTACCAGCATGAACGACAAATGTCGACAGAGAGCATGCTTGCAAACTCATCTCCCATGGTACCACAGAGCATGTACTAATCAATCGCATTCCTCGATATCCAAGAGGATGAATAGACGCCTGTGGACGTTGTACTCAAAAAAAAAGAAGTTCGTCAAGACTGATAATATTTTGTATTATCACCACTCGTAGCACAACGCCCGTCCCCCCTGCTTCACGCAGTTCCATAGCGTCCTTTGGCCCGTACCGCGCCTATCCGCACAGTCGTAACTCCTTCGCGTTCGTCCGCTCGCATATTTTTATATTATCTTGCCGTTTTGTGCCATGTCTAGCACTCAGAAAAGGACTCATTCATCTCTTTGGTTGTATCTTTCCTAGCCATTTAGTGTGCTTGTCTTAGCTTTTCTGTTGTATCAGCGGTATTTTTAAGCCCCAACAACTAATCAATTGTAGTGCTGCTATCGTTTCTGCTGGAGAAGCCACATAATGAACTCAAAGCAGCCTGGAAGTGGACGAGGAGCACATGCTCTACCCCACAATGCGAGGCCGTCGGACAGGTGACCTCTCTTCGCTTTCTTCCGTGTACGATCTTCCTTTTTTGCCATAGCATGCGATGCTTATGAGTCCGAATGATGTAGCCTCGCGGGAGGTCGACGCCTCAAGCCGTGCCAAACCAGGGAGCCGTGCGTCGTGCAAGCCATCAAACTTGGAGTATCGCAGGAACGAAGTACATAGAACAGAACGACCAAAGATGCACCCCGCATGTCCATAATACGTACTACTACGAATGTATCCAACGCTGGTAGGATTATGAGCGGTGCGCGTGTGACCTGGTGCCATAAATAAATATACATATACAGGGTCCTTTCCATGGAGAAGCACAGGCGAGGGATTTGTCCTTTGATTTGAAACCAGCATCCTTACCAAATGTGGGCGTCTACTATCTAACTCCCCAAGCTACCGCCGGGATTGGTTTAAGGTGCGGGGAGTGCGGGATCACATCTGGTTTTTCCGACGACCTTCGCGTGTAACGAAATGCCAAATGTAGTGCGACCACCCCTCGAGAACACCAGCACCTGACATGATATGCAAACAGTCTCCAGAGACATGCTGGTACGACACGTATGAGTGATAAGAACAGTACGTGAGAGACTAGAATCGACTTACAGCATCAGGACGCAGTCTCCCCGGTCTCTCAATTGGAAGATAAAAGATGTCCGGGAACTCATGAGATGACGAAGATGACAGAAGCTCCTTGGAGGGGGAAAAAGTCAGCATCCTCACACCTCGCAATCATCTCGAGGGCACTGACCTGAAATTCTGTGTTGAAGTCCGGAATCCACGGCCAATTCCAAGGCACGCCGACCCAGGGCGTGATATCCTCCGTGGGGTCGAAGATGTTATGACAGTTCTCGTGGCCGGGTAGATACGCTCTGACAACTACCTGTTTTGGACGTTTGCCCCCTTTTTTACGGTATTCCGTGATGGCGTCCTGAACTTCACTTGCCCAAGCTCGTATCGCGACCTTGAAGAATGAAAGTACGTTCTGGATCCCGTTACCAGCATGTGCTCCGGCGTCATTATCGCGCAATGCAGCTAGAGTGGATATCGTCCAATGTCCGGCAGTACTCACAACCAGCGTGCCATAGTTGGCATCTGGAGGTGAGTCAAGAAACGCGTGCATGTATTCTGAAGGGGAAAGCGACCAAAATGGCTCAGTGCCGAATACAGTCTCTGCCTTGGTTGGTTCAAAAATGATATCTTCGGTGTCCAAGTCTGTGACTCCACCGAGAAATGCTGAGCTGTGATATAACGCGTCTAATTCTGTTCCATTAAGAAGCAGGTCAACACGTCGGAATGAAACGAGTGGCGTGTGTTCGATCGAGAAGCCCTCCGGCATGGAAATTTCGGATACTAGAGGTGATGAAGGCAACAGATACAGATGTTGTTGCCATGCATGGTCATAGGGGGCGTTTAGCGTGTGGTTTGGAGTTGCTCGGACATGGGGGTACAGCAGACACGACAGGGAAAAGAAGTGATTTTCACTTATGGAGTCTATAAAATCAGGGAAATGAGAATTAAATGGGCGAAAGGATGGAACTAAGCACACCGCCAATTAAAAACCATCCGCCATTCTCCACCATGTCCTTGATCATCGCTGCGCCATTGAGAGGCTGGACATTACACTGGCTCGAAGGCACCCATCTGTACGAAGAAACGTTGGGAAATCTGCCCCATTGTTCTTCGCGGTCTACGCCCAAATGCCAGCGGTATTCACGGTCCGCAGCACAACCCTCGAAGCCAGCCAAGGTAAGTGCCTGTTCTGGACGCGTTAAAGTCTCTAAGTCAGACGTCGGGCTGTACACCCAACGCCCGCTCGACCACTGTCCTGGAGTGCATGAACTACGCTGTCGCTGCTGTGAGAGTATTGAAGACCAGTCTGATATGCGAAAAGAATATGGAGAAGAGAATGTGTAGATGGCGATCACGAAGGTGATGATAACACCAAGTAAAATAAATTTCGTGGGCAAGAAACGGTGGCGGATGGCGAGCAATGAAGGAACTCTGAACATAATGAACGGCGGATAACTTCAAGAGGTGCAATAGGAGGCTACATACGAAATGTTAATGAGGGTTTAAGCAGATCAAGTTGCCACGCCGCATAACTCCTGGGCCTGATTCCTTGACTGCGCGCAACATATCTTGCATAGTTTACATAAACTTAGCAACGGTGCCATAGCAGGTATCTCATCCTGGCATGTCCACTGAGCCCGCGTTGCCTATACACCACCTGACCGTGTACTTTCGAAATGCTTCGACAACGGACATCCTGAAAGGCGACCCTCTGATTAGGATTGCAATCCCATCAGGGGTCATCGAGGATATACCCGATAACCGGGCCCTAGGGGGAATCCAAAAGATCGCCCTAATTAATTATGCTTAAGGTCCCACGTCGCAGAAAGATGTGACGCACATGGTGTAAGTTACCAGGAACGCGCGCGCTTTACGCTACACCCTGAACTGAACATAACTCGAGTTCGAGTTCATTTCTTTCTATCTGGGGTTCTTGGGTGCGTTTTTTTTTATACACCTCTGCGATATGCTCACGTCCAGAAATATTGCCCCTCTAGTTTTTTCGACCTAATACCTGTGCATCAATGTTTAACTTCCAATTGTTGAGAATAAAGTTATTACGGACCAGGTACGGTGTGCGACCCTATCCTACGTTTGTTTCGTTAACGCCACGACTTGGAGCTCTTGGGCTGCGACATTGCCGCGAGGTGATGATGTACGATGTACGTAGGCCCATCTTTCAACTCTCCGTCCGCACCAAACCGGGATTAAAATACGATGGATTTGCATAAATTTCTTTAACATGACCCATGGCCCTATGGGGAGGAGTTAGATACCACAAAAATTATGGAGGTATGATAGCCCGAGACACACCATGCATTCGACATCATCATGGTACCCGTTAATCTCTTGAGAAACACGATCAGTAGCGTGTGATGCTGATAGTAGAATAAGTACCTTTGGGAATGAATCGAAGTCATTATAGACGTCGTCGCATGAGGAAGGCCCAGTGGCAGGAAACGTGTTAAATTGACTTCAACCGTTTTATATCTTTCCGGAATTCGCAAAGCTAACTGACTCGGAGAGGTGCAAGTTTGCAACCGAGACTCCTGGCTGCACGTGATCTGCCCAATGCCTTAATGCAGGTAATAATATTTTGGCCGTTCGGGGATGCTAGACACTGATCTCAATGTTGTAAAATTTTCGTGACTCGCTGAGTGAGGAATAAACCATAGGGGATTTTAGTCAGACGGCAGAGGTCGCGGTAGTGGGAACTTGAATTTATTGCTGCCACTCCAGCTTGCGTGTACTGTGTTTCAGGTGTACTGCGTACTTAGTACTAGTAGAAGGTATCAAAAACTGAAGGGAAGTCTAGGCTACAGTCAATTGATGCGGGCGCTATTTATGAGTGTAGTTATGCAGTTGGTTATAATGAGATCTCGCGGCCCAGATTCAACGATAGTTTGATGGTATCTTATATCAGTATCAAGTGCCGCAAAACGATAGATATGGAAGAAATAGACTTTGCACTCATTGTCGTGACTGCTGTATACGCCAAGAGTCCGCCGGAGCTCGGACCTCATGTTCTGGGCTTACATGCCAATCTATTGAAATGCAAAGGGCCCTGAAGTCTAACGAGATGATACAAACACAGAAGGTAGGGTTGGAGAATGAAAATTTCTTGAGGGGACATGTGACTTGGACGCCAGTTGTCCGTCGTACGTTGATATTGAGACAGACGGAGGTACTACTGATGTCCCTGTCGCGGTAGCGAGAGCTAGTGTCAGGCTCACAGATTTGGTTCATTTGGGTGCCCACAAATCTTCCAAACCGGACGGCAAGGTAAGTATGCAAAAGGATACAAGGGATCCGTGAAGTGCGAGAGCTGCAGCATCGAACGACGGAGGACGGTGCAGGTGCCACACGGTGAGATTATGTTAGTGGATATCGCTGGCGTGAGTAGTCCTAGAAAGGCAAAATGTGGGGCCCCGCCTTGTTAACGTTGAATTTCAAACAATACCCGACCGTGACGTCGACATCGCGTCCATTATTCCGAACAACTTTCGGAATGCGGACTCAGCTTTAAGTGGAGCTTTAAAAGCTTTAAATTCCACCCAAGTTTCTCATTCTGAATATCAATTGTCTGCATTACCTAGCTCTACAGCCTCTACTACATCATGATCTGGGGTAAATTTTCAGCGGGGGTTTACATTAATGACCAGCAACTTGATGAATTCTGCGTCACTGTGTCCAATACCCCATCAGAAAACAGATTGACATGCTGGATTCCGTCTCAAGCAGGGCAGGTCAGTCTAGTAATGTTCATCACTGGCTTATATCCTAACAAAAGGCTCGTTAGTATTTTGAAGTTAGGGGGGCTATCTCTGCTCCGCAGTCCTCTGGCATTCATGCATCTGTTTCCGTGGATGGGTTTGAATGTCCCCCATGGGTTGTGCAACCACCCTGGACGGGTACAGTGGAATTTGACTGCCTCTCCGACGGAACCGTCGGAAGAAAGTTGATGTTCAAGGATATACAATTCACTGGTTAGTCCACAATATATAACGATGTCCGGAGCTTCTTCTAACACTAGCTACATTTCAGATGACGAGTCAATGATGGATCCGGAGTCTAACGAAATTGGTGAAATCATATTGACATTACAAAGGGGGAGGTTCAATATTTCAAAGCCCAGGAGGTCAAGGAAGTCGAGGACAGCCAGGAAGCGCAAGACAGTCAGGAAGCCAAAGGACAATAACCACATTCTTCCGAGTTGTATGGGTGAAAGGATGGTAGACGAACGCTTGAAAAAGGGTCGTGCTCACCAGGTTAGGTGTGTATTCGTCCCATGCCTCACTTCAAGTTTCTATCATTAAGATTTTGCTAAGCCTCGGGGAAGAAGTCCCGGATCGCGAAGAACAGACATCGTACCATCATGAATTTGATCCGGACTATCCTGTAACTACCTTCATTTTCAAATACACCTCGTTGGGTAGGTTATGGTATTTTATGTGTCCCCGCTCATGCTAACTCTCCCGACCCCAGAAATCCTGCGAGCCAAAGGTAGAGTAGCATAGACGACTCGTATTTCAGGTCCGTTGTCAGACGAAGAACGGTTGCGGGAATATTGTCGAGAGTCGCGGTGCTCGCCTGTCAGATCGTTTACTCGCAGGAGAATAGTGCGACGAATTTAGAAATGCAGATATATAGTGCATGAGTGATGAATGAAGCCGTGATATTGTCTGTCGTCGTTGAGATGAATGTGACTGGCATTCTTCAGTGATTATACGAATGATCTTCTGAATAGAGGTCACGAAGCTGAGATCACCCCTTGGCAAACTTGATCTCGCATCCATACGTGACTTCTGTGGTGATGAGAGACGCTGCGAGTCTTTTTTTTATATCCACTTGATCAACCAGGTACACATGGACACTGAAACGCAGCGGGGGGCCAATGTGTTGACGTGTCCTTCCAAGAGACTAACAACGAGCTCATGAGCCTTGTAGATATACAGATCCTGGTACGACAACAAGTGTTCGAGGCTTTCCTCGCCGTTCGGAAAGTGACCTCTCTTCGACATCTTCCGTGTACGATCATCGCTTGCACGTCTTGCGCCACTGGCTTCTAAATGTAACGCCTGTCATAATCAGATCCTGTGAATAGCCTCGCAGGAGGTCGGCGTCAGGCCGCAAAGGCGGAAGAACCATCAAACTGGAGAGTAGAGAACAGAACAACCAGGGATGCATTCCAATCCATTTCCAGAATATTATGTATCCGACGCTGGTAGGATTATGAAGTGCTGCAGGCATAGCGCCTGCGGCCTGGTGCCATATATATATAAATATAGGCGAGTGTCCTTTCCTTAGAAAACAGTATCCTTGTTTCCCAATCTAGGGGTATCTTTCTCCGATCTCTCTTTATGTGACGGGTGTGTAGTGGTGAGAGTGGGCCACGTCAGATCCTCCGCTGGACTTCACGTGTGACAAAATGCCAGATGTAGTGCGACCATCCCTCGATAACGCCAGCACCCGATATGAGATGCAAACAATCTCCAGCAGCATGCTGGTAGGACAGTTACTCATGAGAGGTACGAATAGTGCGCGAGATTATAATTGACTTACAGCATCAGGGCGCAGGCGTCCCGGTCTCTCGATCGGAAGATAATAGATATCCGGGAACTCGGATGATGATGACAGCACCTCCTTTAAGGGAAAGTCAGCATCCTCGCACCTCATATTCGTCTCGAAGGGCTGACCTGGAATTCTGTGTTGAAGTCCGCAATCCACGGCCAATTGTACCACTTGTTGACCCATGGGGTGATTGACTTCGTAGGCTCGAAGATGTTATGGCAATTCTCATGGCCAGGCAGATACGCTCTAACAACTACTTGTTTTGGACGTGTGCCCCCATTTATATGGTATTCTGTTATGGCGTCCTGGACTTCTTCTGCCCAAGCCCGCATCGCGACCTTGAAGAACGCAAGTACATTCTGGATACCGTAACCAGCATCTTCTCCGGCGTCATCGTCGCGGAATGCACCGAACACGGTTGTCGTCCAGTGTCCGGCAGTACTCACAACCAACGTACCATAGTTGGCATCTGGAGGTGAATCAAGGAATGTGGGCATGTATTCTGAAGGGGAAAGCGACCAAAACGCCTCATCGCTGAATAAAGATTCTGTCCTGTTTGGTTGTGAACTGGGATCTTCGCTGTCGAAGTCGGTGGGTTCATCAAAAAATGCTGAGCTGTGATATATTGCGTCTAATTCTGTTCCATTAAGAAGCAGGTCAACGCGTCGGAATGAAACGAGTGGTGTGTTTTCGATCGAGAAGCCTTCCGGCATGGCAATTTCAGGTATTATGGGTGACGACGGCGACAGGTATAGATTTTGCTGCCACGCGCGGTCGAAGTAAGGGTTTTCTGTGTAATTTGGGGTTGCACGGACATGCGGGTACAACAGACATGACAACGAGAAGAAATGGTTTTCTGTTATCGAGTCTGTAGAGCCAGGAAACCTAACGCATGAGAACCGGAACACAAAAGGACGGAGCGGACATACCGCCCAGTAAAAGCCACCCGCCATTCTCTACCATGTCCTTGACCATCGCTGCGCCGTTGAGAGGGTGCACATCACACTGACTCGAAGGCGCCCATCTATACGAAGAAACCTTGGGAAATCTGTCCCATTGTTCTTCGTGGTCTGTGCCCAAATGCCAGTGATATTCACGGTCCGCAGCACAACCCTCGAAGCCAGCTAAGGCAAGTGCCTGTTCTGGACTTGTTAAATTCTTCAAGTCAGATGTCGGGCTATATACCCAACGCCCGTCCGACCACTGTTCTGGAGTACATGGACTGTGTTGTCGTTGCTGTGAGAATATTGAAGACCAGTCTGATATGCGAAAAGAGTATTCAGTCGAAGAGAATGTGTAGAGGGCGATCGCGAAGGTGATGATAGCACCAAGCACGAGGACTCTTGTGGACAAGGATCGGGGTCGGATGGCGAGCAATGAAGGAAGCTTGGCCATAATAGATGGCGGATAAGTTAAAGAAGTGCAACGGAGAGAGCACACAAGGGAATTGTTATGAGCGTTTTGAGTAGATCAAGTTGCCACGCCGCAGCATTACTAGAATGCTTCACACCCGGTTAGCTCAGCATTCCTCCTTGCCAACTGCGTAACTCCGAGATTTCAGTGCTTCGCTTACATACATGATATGGAACGTTCGGTGCGCAGCATGCCTACGTCTACAAACTACCGGCTGAACCTGCAGGCCACTGTCGTGCACTACTTTTCGAAATCATTCCGACGATAAGTATACTGTCATTCTCAAGGCGATTCTCTAATCAGCAGTGATTCCCATCAACTTGAAGTGTCATACACATTTAACCGAGTTGAGATCCGAGACCATGGGAGGGTCCTAATTATGCAAACAAGGTCACACGCCGCAAAGCAGACAAGTATACGAACCTCGAGGAGTCTGCAATGGAGTGCTTAGCTTGCATAACACTGACAAGTGCCTGATATCATCGGTATGTGACCATGACCTGCCGACCTATCACAAGTACTGAATCACTGATCGTCGATCAGGCCATGGACCGGGTGGAAACACCTCAAATCATGTTCCCATGGACGGCTGTGAACATTGCCAAATTACTCAATGTACTTCAAGTTATTACTATGTGCCTGAGCTCAGGAGGATCCTCATCCCACTGGAGTAGACGGTTCGCTGAAGACGCTAGTCAGATGCGGTTACCTGGAACATATGCAGTCGGCCATCTCATTAGGTTGACTTGTTGAAACGGCCATCAAATGTTCCAGGGAACAGTGACATGACAGATTGACGCTGAGGAAGGCGGGAAGATGAGGCTAAATAGGGATGCATTGCTTGTTATAACACTTACCATGATCTACACCAGATCATACAGCTAAACTCGTAGGCTAAGAATCTCGGAACTCAACATCGGACACACTGCATCGCTGGGTCGTCCTCACTGTCATGAAGGTTCGAACAATGAAAAGCAAAAATGTATGTTCTCGATCTATCTCGCATGGGTTCTGTCAGGAAGCCTCATTTTCCGTAGCGACTACAGGGTCCGGCTTCGTCTCCTTCTCTTTGAGCTCGTCCACGCCGTGCGTGATGCCTGCATATGCGGCAGCTTGGTTATGAATCTTCGTCACGCCCTCCTGACCATCGAACATGCTAAGGGAGGGTTATGAGTAGAATATCGCAGCGATGATCACTGTAACATACGCGGCAGTTTCTTCGAGAGTGCGCTGACGAGAATTTTGTGAGCCGAGGATCATGTATTAAGCAACAACAAACGTTATACGCACGTGTCTAGTCTCAATGATATAGAAGTAGCAGAACCCAAATTCGAAGCATAGCCAGAAAATGTACACCAACTGAGATTGACCATCAAATGAATAAACTCGTGCAAGACATTTGCGAGAAAGCTCACATAGTATTTCCACTGCAGACTGAGACCCGAATTCGATATCAGCTGTCAGCTGCAAGCACGAGGTTCATATTAGGACTTACACTTGGAGGGCAATGGGGTTGACATATCTGCGAATGTGAGCGGACCATCAAAAGACAAAGAAGATAGGACATACTGGTTGAAGATCAGAGACAGGGACAGCGCGAAGCTGAACACGATGTAACCCTTGGCACGGAGGTCGAATGGGAAAATTTCGACGGAGTACCTTGTAGAATATGTAGAGTTAGACTCACACCATGACCGAAAGATCGCATAACTCACGAGATAAGGAGAGGCGGGAAAGCAATCTGATGATATACCAAGTCATTCAGTATGAATAAAGACGCATCAGTTAAAAACACGAACGTCGACTATAGGAATGTGATTAGATTAACAACATGGGAGCAATTTACCACTTACAAGCCGCGTAGAAAAGAACTGCGCTCGAAAGCCTGTCAGCACCACACATAATCAGCTCCCATGTACTACTCACAAATGAAAGCAACGAATGCGTAGCCGGCTGAGGTGCTACCGGTGTTTTGGTGAATGGAGAAGCAGATCGTTTGCGCGATCCAGAAGACAGTCATACCTAGTAACAAGATACATCAGCTGGTCGTGTGTATATGCCTGCGGACTATGGCTGACCAGCACAAGATGTGAGGAACAGCGGGCGTCGGCCCACACGGTCACAATAAATGCCGGCAATAACAGACACAACGAAATTGTAGGTGGTGAGAATACCACCCTAGAGAATTTTGTGAACAAGCGAGCATCACGCAGTTCATCCAAACCTACAAACAGCAGCTGGGTTAACTGGTCCGTGACTACGCAGGAATAATCATGAGCTGGCCGTACATCAAGTCACGACTCACCCACTTCCAATTGCAATGAAGACCTTGTTCAGGTCTGTCGAAGGATGGATTTAATCATCATCGTTCGCGCCATACATGAACGAAGTCAACTTACAGAAATTACTGCAAATACACGGACCGTCAGAAGTATCCCAGAAAGGAGATAGCACAGAATTTACACCAAACCATTGCCAGACCACTGGGAGAAGACCGCAAGCGCAACAACAATGCGTACACGCTTCCGGTTTCCGGGGGTTTTGAACAAGCTTAGCCAGCCAACATTACCAGCCACTTCCCGATCAAAAGCAATAGCAGCCTTTATTTCTTCGAATTCGTACTGCACAAGGGGGTCTTGTCTGCATGATAGACTTGGTTCAAGCGCTGATACCAGAAAGAAATGTATGACACTCACGCGTTGCCGTCCGCGTGATAGTAAGAGAGGACCTCTAAAGCACGCTCCTCCCTTAGCGCAATAGATTAGCACACAACTTTGTCGGACCCGTGAAATTTCAAGAAGAGTCGTACTCACTTTCCCTTGCTGACAAGCCAACGTGGAGACTCGGGGATGAACCAGAACAACAAGACTTGGATCAAGGATGAAACAGCTTGGAGTGCAGAAGGAATTCTCCACGACCAACTGCTTTGGATGGTGAAGGTGCCATAGGTCTGCAAAGACGATCACGTTAACTTTTTTTTGGCTTCGAATGAGCAAAACTAACACTCCACGCCGCGCTACGTGATGGCAACTGGTGAGCTGGGATGAATGCGAAGCTTATGTTGCGAAAGTCTTACACGATACTTCCCACAAACCTGTAGGATGATATCCCGATGAAATTATTCCTCGATGAAATGACCAAAGCAGCTCACCCTAATGAGTTGTACAGTGAAGTTGCTTTAGCACGGTGAGAAGGGTATGCAACCTCAGCGACAAGGAGTGGGGCGGCAGTGGCCGCAAACGTCTGACCAAAACCGACCAAGAAACTGCAGAAGTGTGTTAGAAATGACTCTTGCGAGTAACCATTTGGTTCCTACCGGGCTCCAATGAACATCTCCACAGACATACTAGCAGTTTGCATCGCGGTGGCGACAATCATCAAACTTGCACCAAAGATGACTGAGAACCGTCGACCCATGCCATCAGACATGTAGGGTGCAAACGGGTAACCGCACAAGGCACCAATGTTCTGATGTCGTCCTGTAGTTAACCAGGCTCGGAAACCGCTATTATAATTGACTTACTTGAATGGCACTGAGCAATCCGAGCTTGCCAGCAGATGAGTGAGTGTTAACGGACATGCAAAAGTAGACACACATTCGCGCCATTAGGATAATCGAACGCTTGATTCCACTGCGTCAAAGACTGCAGGCCGTCTGTTCTGCATTCAGCATGCCATCTTGAAAACCACAAAGCCACATACTCATCATACTAGCTACGAAACACATGAGGATAGGCTTGTGAATGACCCAAGGTGTAGAGCTCACCGTCATAACCATATGTATATGACGATAAGAACCTGTTGGGACCAGTTAACGGAATGTAAATCAGAATGTGTTCTGGAACCTGCATGATGCCGATCCAAAAGTTCAGTATGATGAGGCCTGTTATTTCATGTTATCAGTACTCTCTTTCCTGATACATTCGCGGTGAGGGTGACATACGCGTGTTCCTGTACCATGGTTTTGAATGGAGCAGGTGAGTGTAGGCTGCCGCAGAGCCTTTGGCGACGACAGCGGGACCAGCACTCATACTTCGTTGTGAAGTGGAGGGAGTGCGACAGTATGAGAATTAAACTTGAACAGCTACTTCGATTTAATAAATGTCTGTTTCGATGTCCTAGAAATTTCAAATATTCAGGATGAGCAGTATACGTGGTGATGCGGTAATTAAGATACCATGGATATGTTCGAGCCAGAGCTCTGGTACAGCAGGCCGCAAGCCATTTGCCAACAACACAATCACGAGAGCGTATGATATAGATACTGTACCCTTACCGCGGTAATTTCAGCATAAAGTATATATACTATGACTGTATCACATGAGAGAGTGACAGCTCCGAGGGTCCCAGTCACGGTTCTGGACAGCTAATATTGATTCACCAATCCCAGTTTGATTCCAGTCGTAGGAAAGAGACTGCGGGGAAGGAGAGTTATGTTGTCCAACAGTAAGCACAGTTGACTGGGGAACAGGGTGGAGGATTAGGCGGGTATTGAGCTCGCTGCCTCGAGTCCCTCGACAGCGAGCTTGAGAATACAATTGTGTCGTCACGCGGTGTTACCACAACGTTGGGAAGTCATGTTAATTCCAAAAGAATGTTTCCTGAATCCTGATACGTTTTGGCAATGGTACACCACTGTGTATTTGGTGTGTGTAGCATTTCGTGTGTGAAATCGTTGAGCTGATCCAGCGCCGTGTAAGCTTCTCCTCAAAACTGCAAATTATCGGGAGAAATGAGGGGTCACAACCGAGATATCCTGCACATGCACGACTTCTAGAAACTGGCTGGGCCTTGGGAAAACCTTGGGAAAACGTGGATGCTCTCAACGACAATTCCAACACTAGGAGTGGTGACTGACAATGTGATATTGCTGCACTGCGGTAAGACGCATACAAGGTACTCGATGATACTCCAACATGCGGCGCAGAGCACCTGTAAAAACCAGAGTTTCCCTCGTTGGCTAGAGGATCATTGACCAAGAACTGTTATCAGACCGAGCAGCAGATGAGCAAGAAGCAACAACATTTGAGCTAGACCACATGGCGAAGTACTGACCTCAGAGTAGTGTGCCACTGTATGCGTAAGACTCCGTCTTGTACTACTTTGAGGGAAGGAATAAGGGCAACGTATTCTGCTCAGTGCTCATTTGTCGCCATTAACTCCCGAGCTGAAGATCAGGCTCTCCGGGGAACAATTTGACCGCGTCAAGAATGCCTTGAACCCCTGGTGATTCCATGTTCGTAAATTGCAAGAGCGGGAGCGCTCGCGATTGCTTGAGCCATAAATCATAGCATAGAGCTTTCTGCTGCCAGTCCCAGTCAACCTTCAACTATAGCCTGCACCGTCAAGTGGACATGTTCATAGGAATCTCCTTCCATCGTCAGCATATTATAGCCAATAGCATGGGAGCTCAATTTGATATGGGCGACAAGCGACTGGTTTCTGGGAGACAATGAATAAAAATTTCGGACAGAACTTCAGCTGGCAAGCGCCAGAGCCGATCCGAGTCTCTGGTGTAAATTAATGGACTCGGTGATCTTCTTCTTCTTTTCTATGAGTTGCCGGTGAAGATTTTTGATGTCGTCCTTGACTGTTTCTAGCCCTGAGATCTCGGACAAAACTGCGACTGGCTGGTGCTGGCGTTCGGTGATGATGTTCCATGATGCAGCTCTCGTTGAGCTCGATGGCAGGGTGGTTAGGATTGGCGAAACTGGCTCGGGAGTACGGGGTTTCGAGGTCTAGCACCCGACCATTGTTCTAACCATGGGGGTAGAGAACAACAAAGGAAAAATAGGGAGACAACGACGTAGGAGTAAAAATAAAGCGACAAAAACAACCTAAGCGAGCTACTAGCTAGTACAATTGAGCGGAGGCGAGCTAAAGACTACGTCGAAGGAGCGGAACAAGGAGTGGACCTATAAGGCCCCGCGACTTGGCCTAAACCCTGCATTCCGAAACCTCGACGATGCCTTACCCACCTGCGCCAACGGTTTCCACAACTTGGTTTCACCGAATTCAGCCTGACAATTATCAGTTCTAACCTTATAAACAAGGTAATAAATCACTTCAAGTGCTCAAACCAGACTCTGTCAATCTTCTCCATCTTCCTTCAGTGACATAGTCTCCCGTATTCAGACCATATAGAAGGAAGACACTCGTTTCTTCTGTATCATGTCAGTGACATGGGGAGGCGTGCCTTCGATAGAATGCAATCAATGTCACAAAGTTGTGAGGCGTTCGGAGTACAATCTTCATATTCGACAGAAGCACATGTTCGCGAGAATTCCTCACCAACCGGCAGCTCCTCCTCCATTGTATGGCAACCTGACCGGCGCTCCTTCTGGATCGAGCAATACACTGAGCACAGAATCAGATCTTACGCTGAGTACAGTTCCAACCACGCGATTTTCTGTTTGGCAGCGGCTGAATCCAGCTCGACCTCCCGCACCAACGACCATCGAAGACATTGCACTATCCCGCAACAGTCGAACGGACTCGCCTCGGACCTCTACGCAGTATCTTCGTAGCTCAGTGAGATTTCAGGTACAGGATTTGGTGTATAAATTCAAGGGCCTGGATGCAGTAGCGCGACGTGCATGCACCAAAGGAGTGCGACACATGCCAATTTTCCCGGTCAGTGGGATCTTGGTTATGAAGTCTCATAGGAGATCTGACGGTGTCCACGGACAGACACTATATGCGCATGTATTTACGCACCTTCACCTTTGTGCCCCTGACAAGCCGAAGTACATGCAAGTCCTATCTTCATTGTTTAATCTTACGTTGCTGTAGCCTGCTGGTTGACCTGCGGAAGATGAGAAAAGACTGGGCATCACGGGGCAGCACGTGGTGTCTCATAAATTTCAAGGCTATCAAAGACGCCCTGTCTAGACTAATGAGCCAGGTTAGCGCGTGTCGTTATGTATCGAGTGTGATTCAGCTGATCTTATCCAGGCTCAAGTGAAGTCGCACGTCTGTAACCAATCTCTTAACAGCCAGTTCAGACTACACGCGCTGGACATTCAAGATATCGGGGCGTTGATTGCCAGTTGTTCAACCAACCCACACGCTACTTCGCAGTTAATCACACTCAAAGGCGATATGGCCCAGTCCATGCTAGACTTACTACAGACAGTAAGGCTGGCCCAAGTACTGTCGACACTTTTTGCTGATTCGTTCGTAGTTACTCGTAATGAAGTCAGACCAATTAGAAAAATGGTACAAATGTCGGTTCTTGGACGCTATCATCCGACTGTCGAGGAAGTCGGAGCGTTTCCCTCGGAGCCTGCAGCTTCGTCGCATCGACAACCTGGAGCCAACCGGTCTCCATGGTAGGTTTGGAGTAATCTTCAAAGGTGAACTCCTCGGTCGCTTTGTAGCCGTGAAAGAGATCCTGACCGTCGGTCGCACCACTGCGGAGTTTCTCGAGGTTTGCATAGTTCTCGCGTACCAAAGGAAACTTCGATAACGATAACATCACTGCCTGCAGGATTTCTCGAATGAGGCAGTCGTCTGGTGTCACACCCAGCATGAATGCTGCTTGCCATTCTACGGCGTATTCCATCTTGATAATGGGGCACCGACGACCTGTCTGGTATCTCCTTGGATGGAGAATGGACATTTGAACGCGTATCTCGGGCGAACCGATGCTGATCGTGCACCTCTGGTGAGTGATAGAATTCTGGCTGTTAGCGCTGACTGAAATTGTCAGGTATTGGACATTGCGCGGGGTCTCGAATACCTCCATGGAATGCAACCTACAATTGTGCATGGTGACTTGAAAGGGGTATGTTGATGTTTTGACCATCGAGAATGCCACTGAATATTGGTTATAAGGTCAACGTTCTGGTTACCTTCTCCGGACGTGCATGTTTGGCGGACTTCGGCCTTGCATTCGCGCAGGACTCTCAAGCACAGCTTCAGACTACTATAGTCCCTGTTGCAGGAACCACATCTTTCATGGCGCCTGAACTTCTGAAGGCACGTGCAAATCCCAGTATGTTGTCAACCCTGGACAGACGCCCATGTGATATATTCGCGTTTGGTTGCTTATGTTATGAGGTACGGATCTCCGTCGTCATGCTTGCAGCTTAACCATGAACTGATCCCTTTCCAGATGTATAATGGGAAACGTCCGTACTCGGACTTACGCCCATCGAAAGTGGATGCCAAATTCAAGAAGGGAAGCCGTCCCTCACGCCCAACGAATAGCAAGTGTCTTCAACGAGGACTGGATGACGACATGTGGGATTTCATCAATAATTTATGGCTCCAGGATCCAAAGTTTCGAGCCACTGCTAGCCAAGCATCTTTGTGGATGTCGCACAAGATGCGTATGGCAGGGAAAAGCACGGACAGACCACCCGCGGAAATGGAGTGGGACCTCGACTTTTTAACGGAATGCACCACAGGGTTGACTGATCTTGATCCTCTTTCTCTTGCATAAGTTGCACCACCTGTTTGTACAGGTGCTGATTTCGAGGTCATTTTACCATGTAGACAGCAATATAGTTTACAGAATATAACTTAAGATCCACAAACCTAGACGCTAAACCTAAATTCCTCTTCCTGCCAGCTATCTCCGAAAACAATCCCGATTCCTTGAGCTGTCTTCTTCGTCGACATTCCACTCTTCATATTTGTGCTTGCCTTAGGCTGTGTTCCAAATTTTCCACTCGCTGGACCTGCTTGGTGTTTAATACCAGTGGGTAATGTACTTGCAGGACGCGTCCTCGTCGTCGCGGTGGTAGATGGTGCTCGAGATACAGTTGTCGAAGGCGCACGCGTTGAAGGCGTTCTAGACGGGTGCCCCCTCACGACTGCGGCACTGGATGCTGCACGGGTTGCTGGTTTCGAAGTTGTCATGCCTACACGTGTAGCGGCAGTACGAGAAACAGCTTGCGGGCCAGATCTCAGACGCGAGGTATCAGCCGGAGTCGAATGGGCTACTGTGGATGCAGCCCGAATAGTTCTCAACGGACGAGTTGTAGTTTGGGTCGGACGAGTAGTGTTCTTCGATGACGGAGGAGCTCGAGTCACCTCGGGCTCAGGCTTAGGTGCAGGATTGGTCCTGGAGAATGGGCTATCATCATCTGATTGTACGCAACGAAAGTCAAGATCAGACTAGATGTTGTATAACATTAGCTTACCGAGATGGGGAAGAGATAAATCGCTCGAGGCAAAGAACTTGTCGTCAGATTCAGCTGCCGTGAACTCCGTGAATGTCATAGCATCCGGCGGCATATCGTCGATTGGGTAGGAATGAGTGAGAGCGAGTAGTGTTCTCCCGACTTCTTTGTAATTCGGAAGTTCGAACGGAGGTTCGTATGGCATTTCTACACGAGCCGGTCAATCAGCAGAAGAAAGCGTTTGTCAAGGTTACCCACCAGGTAACTTTGGGGGCATGTACTCAATTTCATCGTAATCGTCTTCTTCAATCGATTGACTGGGCGCCGCTGTAACCTCTGGATTTATGTCTATGTCACTAACATCCCAGTGGTTTCCACCAGTGACTGGTGTTTGAAAGCTCTTGCTGGCGCTGCGGGGAAGTCTAACATGTTTTCGTGCGGAACTTGGGCGAAGAAGTGCACCGGGCGTGACAAACATTGGTTTTGTCATTTGCAATGGTGTGGCATGGTTGGCAATGCGGTTTGGAAAGGGCGTTTTGTCCCCAAGAGGCCGAGAGGGTGCGAGTATGACTGGTTCCTTTCCCTTGAATTTGATTGTTCCATCATGATCCTTCAGGATCTTCTGTGGCTCTGCAGTACATTGTAAGAACAGGTAGTATGGTCTTGAAAGAGAAGTAGCTCACGCAAGGTATTTGGGTGAAGCGACGTTTGTTGTAATGCAGCTTTCTTCGCCGTGGCTTTCCCGTCGACTGTGACGGGTACGTAGCGGCCGACATTTTCCTGGAGTGCACTTCGTGATTTCAGCATTCTATTGCCTGGTGTCTTCGTCAGCTGGCGGTAGTCGCCCTCAAATGCGATCCCTATTGGGCGGGAGCTGAGCATCGTGGCAGTCGCAACTTGAAATGGGTTTGATTTTGGTTTGACAACCCACAGGCCACATTTGACCAGACACGGTCACGTGAAAGTCATGTGCATTGATTTCTCCGCACGTCCTCGGTAGCGCTTCAACGTTTCAACAATTGAACTTCAAGCGAGCTGTGACCTGTCGGCGACAGCGACTCCTCCAGGGACGTATGTATCTTCTTAGTGCTTTGATTTATCGAGTGACCTCATTCCAGGTGTCAGGATGACCTATCATCGATGACATTGACATCCCACATTAATGCACACGAGTCAACACCGCCGCTGCGATCCTCGGCGACTGGTGGGTTTTCTCGCTGCTGAAAGGTGACTGGTTCATTACGTTCAAAGTTGCAACGATTCCAGCAGTATGTATCATAGCTCCGTTTGCCATATTGAAACGGCTGATATATCGGAGCTCAGGCTTGAACATTCACATCAAGTGTGGATAAATACACATGCTCCTAGCACCCTTATTCCGCCATGACAGCTCACAAACCTGGATATTGAATGTTTCAAAAGGACCAAACATTGACGTCAAGATGTATACTTGAGTAGCTCTAACAGTCAGTCTTCGTAAAATGAGTCTAAGTTCGACAAATTGCCGGAGCTCTGCTCTGGCTTGAGTGGCTTGCTAAGTTTTTAGGTCGTTCGCTCGTTTTGATTATTCATTCATATCAGGTGCGGATAATCTTACCGTCTCATCATGACGGCCGCATGACTGTTCACCCTGAATGTTTCTAGGACTTAAAGCAGACGGTCTTGAATGTCAACTTAATATCGCGTTTACTTTTCGTGTTGTCGTTGTTTCTGATCTTCAACCAATATGTTTCATCCTTTGTCCATTTCAAGGTCCACTGACTCGGACATATGCAGATATATTAACCCAATTGCCCTTGAGGCGTAAGTGCGAAATATCAACCTTCTCCTTGCATCTGCTGACATCGAATTCGACGCTCAGTCTGCAATGGAAGTAGCAGCATGTTTTATTCGTTTAATGATTATCTCAGCTGGTGAGCGACTTTGTCGTCGTTGAATCACTGTGCAGTGTGCATGGGTGATGTTGATGAGTGTATGAATTTCAGTAGAGTAACATGAGTTCTGAGGAGGCATGTGCATGTGGTGCATGATATATAATCAAACAATCCCCCCGTGTGCGCGAACATCGTAGAACCTGCAATGTGTGCTGACCCGGCATTAACCTTCAACCCTCCAACCGTATTTACATTTCAAAAAGCAGCGCCCGCTAGAAGCTCGTCAGTCATTCTCTACATAATCGCCGGGACCTACTCACAATTAGAATTATCCAAATCGTCAGAAACCAGGTCGTTCTCTGCAGCATTGACCGCTAAGATCTGTGCGAAGGAAACGGACAGCAGTAGGACATAGAGACTGAGTTTATTGATGTTGAGCATGGTCATGTTGATGATATTCGCCGCCGAGGTGTGGTGTTTAAGATGCGTGATTTTAAGATGAGATTGGGAGTTGGTTGCGCACTTTAAATACCAGTTCGGTGAACGGTTACCTGTTCAACTATCGTACTCGAGCATTGTTCGGTTACCTCCATTGAATATCTTTATCTGTGGGAGCACGATCAGCCAGAGTGAGTTAGTCTCAGCTAAGAATCAAGGAAATAATACTTGCAGATGTGGTTAGTTGCATCTCACCTCGTGCTTTTGTCAATGCTCTGATATAACTCACTGCATATACAGCAGGTGACTAGAGTGGGCGTTCGAACTAAGAAAACATTACCTGATGCCCACTACAAGTTCCTGTATGTAATGTTGGATTTTACTGTGCTCCAGCTTTTGGGTTCAGATGCTGTGGATATATCCCCGGGCCCATGTGATTGTGACACCCGAGAACGTCATTTCTCTCCCCTTTTCTGGGTTTCATATGATTTAAATTGGGAGGCGGTGGCCAGCGGTGATGAAAAGCCAACCACTGCAAAGCGGCGTTCTGTACTGTTTTGCATTGGTATCAAACATCTGACCATAATGACGCTCTTCGAGTAAGGGGGCAGTCCGGATTAGCTTCGGTGGATACCGCCCTTGTGCAGTAGCGTGAAAGATTGGCCCGCGCGCCATTTGATACCAGCATGATTTATTTATGTGTACAAAGCCGAGGGCAAAACTGTTAACATACATGAGTAAGATGGCTGATGCAAGCAGGGTTGCATAAGGTTGTAACAAGATGCCAAATGGCCAACACCTTTTGAGTATTTCATCTAAAAGGTCATTTGGCCACAATACAAGGATTCTGGGAAATCATGCCGTGGAGCGCTGGATAATGTAGACAGCTAGAGGTTCAATTTATAATGTCAGTAAATCCGATGGAGAGTGGTAGACTACTGACCCGGCGCGGTCTCGTTGTGAGCCTGCCACCATTCTATATTGCAGCTACCGCTTGGTTCGTCCTCCGAACATCCTAACTCAAAGACAAGGACGTCATCCATTGCACAAGAAAGTTTCCTGTGCCAGTCCAGGCCTTCTTGCCCTGGCACGATATTGTCAAGTTTTGCGACCCGTGGCGGTCGGACGTTATACGATAAGATTGAAGTATCAAGTGGTACGGTAGCGTTGAGGCGGAACAAAGCAAGTGTAGTTGATCGGTCCACAGGCGGGAGGGCGATGTGCAACTCACAAATTTCCATGCCCCAGTCAATCGCCCTGAATTGAAATATTGTTGAAACCTTCTATGCTATCAGTCTATGTAACGCAGGAAAGTGGAAGAGAAACCGACCGTTTGTGTAACATGTACTTTGCGGTCATCAGGTGAGATTGTGCCAGCACGTGTCATGCGCGTGGCAAGATTGTCATCGAAAACATGACTTGGTGCAGAATTATCCACCAAACTAACAGACATGGGGAAATTTGTGAACTCTCTCGGAATAGGAGGCGACGGTCGTGCGATCTCGTCGAATCGCATGTATTGAGAAGGCCGACGGAGAAGGTGGATATTCTTTCGAGTGATAAGTTTGTCTGAAGACACTGAGCTTTGGAGAAAGGCAGGGATAGAGACCAGCAATAGGTTGATGAGCGTGCAGAAGATTACAACGACAAGAGGCGAATGGAACGCAGTTCGCGAAGTCTTATGCATCTTTGCTTTGTGGTCGTCATCGCCCTCAGAATCAATGACTTCTTGGGGTGTTAGACTCAATGGCCTGTACCCGGCGCTTGAGGAAAAGAACATGACGGGGAGAACGGCTTCGACTTGAATTGAACATGATGGCAATTGAAGAGCAGTGCCATACTGTGGCCATGCGTGTGAAGTCATTCTTACGTTAACGTATAATTTGAATTCGAGACTACTATTACCCGGGCCCAAACTTGGTGCTGTACCGCCGTCACTACGTCTTTTACTGGCAAGTCCTAGGATGATGGAGATCGCAGCCCCCATCATCGAAGCCAAGTTCATCAGAAGACCTCATGGTGAGGCATCCGAAAAGCAGTTCTTTTAACGTTATAACTTATTTCAACGTGCTATCCGCCACTCCACCATGATGGGACACAGCCAGCATGCGGCAATATCGTATTTCCTCCGGGGGCATGTACGATGCATCTGATGGCACCTGAATGAAGTAGACCTACCAGAAACGATTTGAATCGAACCTGAGATGGGGTTCACCGCTAGCTGCGAAATCCGCCCACAAAGCAGGGAATATCCTTAACCCATCGGCAGTGCTAATCATGCTCATCAGCAGTGCCTGGACAACTCTGATAATCAAGAACTCGTGTTACGTGGTTAATCGGTATTGGCGATTTCTCGAGCTCGGATGTTCTTAACTTCCTAGTATGTACTACCGCTGGACTATATGCTTGTTGGGCCCTGTGGAACAACTAAAATTAATAAGCACCTTGATTATTTCTTTCAGGTGAGTCGGAATGTTTGCGGCTCTTCTTATCTCAATTGACTAGTCCACTTAAAGCAGTCTTTGTTTGCAAAATCTCCGAGAGGCTCAAGAGGGCATCATAATATGTAACTGGCTGCCTTTCCTATACAGCCTCTACTCCACGGTGCTGATGCGATCAGCATCTTCTGAGTTCAAAACATCGCAGGTACTCGAGGCTGTCGCAATTGAGTTGTCTTCATACCTGGCGACAACTTGCCCTATGTAGGCCAACTAGTCTGCGGATATGCAGTCAGCATCATGAATCATGATTGTTAGGGCTTTCCTTATCCGACTTTACAGCATTTTTGGACAGAGACTCACTTTCGAATCTGGGGATGCACGGCATCTTTTTGACTTGGTCCATGGAAGTAGTGCCTGCGACTCCTACCAACCCCTACCCATAATAACTGCTCTCTCATCTGCGGCAAAGTCTTCAGCAGACTCAAAGACCATTTTCAGCGCTTTCAATAGCTTTTCTTGATACCGCGTTTGACATCCATCATTGCGTCGTCATCGCCATTTTCGACAATATTAATGAAATCGTTCATGATATCCACAGCACGCCTTTTACGGAAACGCCCGGTCTCGGTTAAGATCCTTGTATTGAAGTGGTCCGCCCACCATCTGTCGTTTTTGTACGTCTTAGATTTTTGGCGTGCTATCAATAAACCATGGCCATCTCGACGACACGGAACATGCAATCAATAGATGGTCCAATGGTATCCTCACTTCATAGTAGCACACTTGTCGTACGTTGATGCTAGAACAGAGAACCAAACAGAAAGCGGACAGCTCTCAATAGCATACTCATAGCAAATGAAAGGATATCGTTAGAATATAGCAGTAAATTAACGAATGTGAGTTTGTCGAGGTTACATAGGGAGTGTGGGGGATATACCGATAAGGGATAAGCACTGGCAATACAGATGGAAAAAAAGAAACCAATAAACCAAACATAAGATATTATACACATTCACTTTCTTACCCCCGGCGTGCCCCCCTTTTGGGAGGAGACACACGAGCAGATTTCCTCGTTGGAGCAGGGGGCACAGCACCAGCAGCTTCCTCCACATCCTCGTCGTCCTCGAGGTGCTCCTCTTCCACGACCATCCCTGCCGCCGCTTCCTGCAACCGTGCCAACGGTGATGGAGGACCTCCCTGCCCACGCCCCCTCGCAGCCCTGGTGCGCGTGGTCGGGCCATTCGCCTCCGGTACCCGTTTTGGCTTTTTCGTATTCCCATTCTCGACGCCCACATCCGGCGGAGGGCTTTGTGGCTCCAGCTTGCGCTTCCCATTACGCATGCCATTCGCGTTGGCTTGTGCATGTTGCACCATCTCCCAGTTCGGCTCGGACAGCGCCTGTTCGTTCTCAGCAGCTTGAGCGATTACCTGCGCGCGCCGCTGGAGGGGCGCACGGCCGGATTGTTGGCGCAGGTGGAGTTTGCCGAGACCCTCGATTACCGCGGGTTCGCTTGAGCCATCGGCCATCATCGCATCTTCGGATTCTAGTTGGAGCAAGGAGGCGCAGGAAGGACTGTCTTGGATAGATGCGACGGAGGAGTCGGCGATAGCGCGAGGTCGAAGGTGGGCGAGTGTCGGAGCATTGGCAAGCCACGCGTGAGTGCAGGCCGAACTGAGAGACATACGATCCCGAGGGTCATGCTCAAGCAACCCCTCGATGAAGGTCCTCGCTATTCGACCATACACCCGTAAATCAGTGTGTTACAGAACTTGGTCAAGGAAAGCGTACCCAGCGGCGAAACATCTACAGTATCTAAAGTGCTCCATTGAATTGTACGTTCTGCGATCCTGACCTTAATGTCGCGCTGGTTCTCGTCTTCGATGAAGGGACTTGTCATTGTAAACCTGTGAAAAACACCTCCTTCAGCAAACAAGAGCATCGCATATGCACGTCTAATGCTAACATGCAGAATACAATCACCCCAACGCTCCAACTGTCGACAAGGTGATCATAGCCTTCCTGGTTTTGCTGGGTCACAACTTCGGGGGCGAGATATGCGGGTGTACCGCACATAGTCTGTGAGGCATATGCATCAATTATATGTTAGGGAACCAAGAATGGGATTACTGACTCTAAGGAAAGTGACGCTATCGACAACCTTGGCGAGACCGAAGTCGGCAACTTTGACGGTAGGGGGATTTTCCGTGGTTAGCAGTACGTTCTGAATGGCCAACATTCATAATGGAATCAACCGCTTGGAGGGAAAGCAATTACCTCGGGCTTCAGGTCACGGTGCGCGATCCCTTTGCTATGAATGTACTTTGAACAGGCGATGTATCAGAGGATTCATGAATATACACGGTGAGTCAACTTACTGCAAGGGCATCGCAAACTTGCGCGATTATGTGGACAGCTAGCGGCTCCTCTGAAAAGAACACTGAGAATCATCAAGTATCGATAAACCGAATAGCATACTAAGACCGCCCTCCCTCACTATGAAATCAAGTAAATCTCCTCCGTCGACAAATTCAAGGACAAGATCTACGCAATTGATCAGCTTGTGTTAGTAGGGTATACCAGATATACACACTGATACTGTTATCTTCGAAGAAGGCTTCCTTCATCTGGCAGATATTCGGATGGTGCAACCGTTCCAAGATACTGATCTCTCGCGCAAACGCCGTTTCATTGTTGTTGGCAGTGGCACGCTTGACCTTATGGTCTTGGATGACCTTAATGGCATACCACTGGCCCGTCGAACGCGACACAGCCTTCATGACAGTTGCAAATGATCCCTTGCCGATCTCGTGGCTTATGTCATATTGAGCATGAAGGCCGCCCTGCGGGGGACCGGCAGCAGTATGTCGGTAAATGAATCCTGAAAAACGGGTCGATTGAGCGAGCATATACACAAGTGTAGATAACTAACGATAGTCTTCAAGGTCCCCGGGCTGGGGATGGGGAGAACCGAAAGCAATCTCATTGCCTTCCTTGAGGACGGCGGTTTTGTCCTTTCCAATCTTAGCACCGTTGATCTGCAAAAATTTCACCATCAACGGCGATCATTAGACTACGTCACTGACGGCGTACCCAAGTACCATTGCTGGAAATGTCGAGAACGGTCACTGCGGAGTTTTTGTCCTCTTTGCCGTCCCAGGTGATTCGGCAGTGCTTGTTACCTACACCGCGACGCGTCAATATGCAGCCTCGAACGCGCTAGAAGCGCCACTAAGAACACGCTAGACACTCACTGACCCTCCCTCCAGGGAGAATGATATCGTTGTCGGGGGCCCTTCCTACTGAAGCTGCCGGCGCAACCTTCCAGAGATCAATGCGGCGAAGCACATTACTGCAAGGTTGAAGGTAACCCCACAGATGGCTGTTGGTATCTGCAGAATTCGGTTGAGATGCGTGCTGGGTGGATTGAGTGGCTTGTTGCGTCTCCTCGATCATGGAATCGTCGAGGGAAATGATTTCGTTAGGGATCTCTACGGGAGGTTGTATCATGGTGTCTAGTGGAGCTGGTTGTTCTTCGAATTAGGTTCTGAGTGAGGGGTGTTTTGAGAAGGTTGGTCCGAAAATCGAGTTTATATAGGTTGAATACCTGTGCGAGTGGTAGCTTTGACGAATTGCTTCAACCGTCTGTGCACCTACAGCAACAAAGGGTCACAAGCGACGAAACTAACAAAGTCTTGCCAATCAGAAGGAAAACCAAGGAAACTTGCGTAAGCGGACGCGCTTTGATAATGCTTTGGCCGTCGTTGACGCTGGAAGGAGAAAGATAGGAAAAGATGGTTCCACGGACACAATTTTTTTACGCCAAATGATCGAGTCCAAGCACAAGGAGACTTTGAAGTGCAAACCCGTCGGTGGCTTTCTCGCGGCCGCGATATTAACGACCCCAGACGTACGCGACAAAAGCACAACACGTGCCCTATTCAATACGCGACACTAAAGCGGTCACTGAATTTTCAATTGAATTGAATTGCCTTGCACTGCCTCGAGTCTAGGCCGGGGACATCGCCGTCTCAAGAAACAAATTAGTGTTTCTTCTTCATCATAAATAAGTGGGGAGGCTACAGTCCTATGGAGAATGCGACAAAAAAACCGCAATCGAGGGTACCAACAAAATAGTAATTAGATCAGTGACCACGAGGGGCCAGATCAAACGCTGAAAATCGAATGTGTCGCGCAAACAAGTGGAGCATGTCAAATCGCATCCTCTGATTCCCACCTCGTGACCTTCTGCAGTGGCGGATAATAATACTTCTTGAACTTCTTCGTCTCGCTCCTCTTCTGCTTTGGCATAAGCTCTTCCAGTAGCCCCGCACGCTCACGGTCTTCGTCCTTCTCAGAGATATAGAACCACCTTGAATGCTTTGCCGCGTCCGTCCCGCTACTCTGAACTTTCTCGAACATCCCACATCGATCGTGACCCGCTTCAAGCGTGGCTAGAATGAGGTTAAGCCACTCTTTTTTGTTGTGTTTCGATTTGAGATGGGGGTGCGTCTGAGTAATGACAGTGTGAAGAGCGAGTGGGTCCATAGACGAAGCGCGCGACATCGCAAGCGCCTCTACCAGCATGCCTGTGAGCTCAGCTTGCTCCGGATCAAGGAGTGCTGGCGTGCTGGGGGCATTTTCGGGCGTCGTTTCAGAAGGCTCGGAACTATTGCGTGATTGAGGTTCATTACAGACGCGAGCAACTTGTGCGCGCAAATCCTCTTCAGAAGCCTTTGCTTTGAGACATGAGCGAGACCGTGACCGCGGCCGTGCTTTGTCAACTGTAATTTTCTCCTTCACACTCGAGGAAATTTTACGCTGGCGTTGTTTGCGCTTGGGCCCGAGGTCCATATTACGGTCCACATCCTCTGAGAGCCGAGGTTTCTTCTGTGCAGGCGCAACAGACGAGACGGAGTCTTCCCGCTTCAGGCCTTGTTTTAACTTGGGCTCAGGCTGGGGCCTTGATGACTCTTTCGTCGCACAGGCGTCTTTATCTGGAGACACAGGGCGTGACATGCTGCTCCTACGTGCAGTCTGGGGCTGCGGCTGTGACACGCTGCTCCCCTGCACGAACTCCCCGTCACTAAAACTAGGCCGTGGCTTCTTCACCGTCTTCATAGGGGAATGTGGGGTGGCGGTGGTAGCAACGAGTAGTGGTTCAACACCGCTGGATGTCGTATTTTTAGCGAGTGTGGCTACAAGCCCCATTTTTTCTTCACTCAGGGGAGGCGGGGGAGTGTCAGCGGATGGAAGGTTGGTGTATGCACTAAGCCCTAGTAAAGCGTTTGTAGGCGAGTGCGAACGCGATCGTGAAGGCTCGATCTCAGCAGTGGAAGTCGGGGTAATAGTGTTAATGGGGGCAGGCACAGAGGGAGAAAGCTTAAGAGGCTGATAGGTTGCCTCGTTCATACAGGAAGAGGGGCACGTGGTCGAGGCTGCGTTTGACGCATGTTCCGAGGCTAATAGTAAGAGGCCCTCGGAGTCGGAGGTAGGAACGTCACGTGGCGTGACGGTCGCTGGATGGATGTTTTGTTGCTTGGGATCGAACTACACGGCACGCACATAGCCGGCCAAATCATATTCAATCGTAAGTAAACGGGTTGGGATACCGAAATTAAGGAATGCACACGCACGATGTCATGATCTGAATTGCAATCGTCGTCGAGGATCATATCATCATCAATCAAGGCATAGTCATCTGGCTGCGACGCTGCCAGCGACATCGGGGAAGTAGGTGGAGACGACGGAGGAAGGGGCGAAAGACTACGATAGTCCTCAATATGATTGGTGTCGGTGGCTGCAAGAAATAGGGAGCTAGAAGGGTCGTCCTTGACTCCGCTAGTCGATTGCCTGCGGACAAAATCACGGAATTCCAGCAAAGGAGACTTCACATCTCGAGTGATGCTTTTCACAGGGGTTGAATGCCCCCTGGGAGGGCGTATTGGACTGGACGTAAAGGGTTTGGCGTTGTACGTTCGAGGTATGACTGGACTGCTCTGCCAACGGCCACGTTCGGAAGACGTAGCAAAGTATGTTCGGCGTAGATGAATATCCATGCTTTCGGGCTCGCACCCAACGTCTTCCGGTGCATCACGTGCCGGAGAAGGCGGGCCAAGCCAAGCGAGCAAATCATCGCTACGATAAGACTCGGAATCCACCATCTCATCCTCACTGTCCGGATATCTTCCGTACTTGTTGGGTGCCTGTTGGTGGGTCATATACTTGGAACTGCTGCCCCGACGGTCACGGTAGAAAGGCGTCGGTGAACCCGGCGCATCATCGAAATCTGTATGAAATCCGTTTGAAGAGTATTGAAATTTTGAATGTGAGCGTGAATATCGAGTCGCGATATGATTTGGGGGGGAAGAGCATATCGGTGTCGAAAGCGGTGAGGACGAGGGTAAGGGAGAGGTCACGGGTGATGGAGAGTCCAGATCATCGTCATCTGGCTCAAATAATGACGGCGTGTTGATGGATGCTGAAGAACTTTTCCTCCGAAGCTTTGCTGGGAGGTTTGGAGGAGGAGAGACCGACCACATATGTGAGGAGGACATGGCGGTAAACAGTAAAGAGCATATGAGTCACGTGGAGACGCGTTCCTATATGGTCAACGCGTTTTGTGGCGGAGCTCAAAAACGCGTCGCATCCACGGCCCGTGCTGCCGTTGTTTTGTCCCACGCGGACGAATTGGCTGCAAGAAAACCTGGCAAGCGAGGTATCGTTTTCATCACCGTCATGATCAATACACAGGCCCTCCCAGTGGCGATTTATACTACCTGCGGCATTGCCCAGTCCGATACCACGATTGCGCTGTGAGTGTTCGTATCCACTGCTCGAGATGAGTCTGAGTCGGACGGTCAAGGTGGTAATCTTAACAATCTGACTGGGCGACATCTTCAGTACCTCTTGACAGCATCGGACCCCATGTCAATGAATTGGCGATCATGCCTCGTCTGAAACGTCAGGGAAACGTAAGTTACAAAGCGCTATGCAGCCCAATTAAACCCGCTGATAAACGACATTTCCAGCTCGATGTCTTCTCGAACAAAGACTGTCACGATCCTGTTTCGCGATGCCACTACTCGCAACTGTTTCAAGTTTCAGCCGCTTGACTCTGTTTCTCGTGTCTCCTATTATTGAAGGCTTAATGACAAATGACTTGCGTGGTTCTCGTGTTTGTGCGACACAAGCACGAATCAAGCAAGTCTATTTGAACTTGCGGCACTCTTTGAACTACTACATGAATGCTTGGAGGGTGAATGTTCAATAGTCGCCCCCTAGATGCTAGTATATAGTTCGGTACTCACTACAGAACTAGTCTGTGATCAAGATGACTACTTAAACACGTGCACTCTAAGGTAGTTGTAACTAAGAAACGAAAGGATAAAGGCGTCGCGTTCAAGGATGCAGCGGCGCCGTGAATAAAGGGAAAGCCATTATCCTTTTTTCTGGCATCGAGCGTGATTGCAATAAAAGATATAAGGTACGTAGTGATCTAATAACGGGTGTGATTCGGTAGGGTGGTTCCAATACTTGAACAGTGGGGACGTATCTAATGCCCAACAGCATGGATGATAGAGTCGAGGAGCATATCGTTATAGTCACCACCCGTCTCCCACAACGCGAAACCGCGTAGCCCGGCGTTCTTAATATACTTGCCCTTGGCAGCATACGATTGAACGTTGTCGAAGGATATCATAACTTGGGAGGTCTCATTGTACACATACGGCTGTAAAAGCAATGGAATGAGCACTCCTCCTTCAGCGTGGAAAATGATACTTACCGTCTGACTGCAGCTGTCATATCTGTAGTGAATGCCATCAGCAGGCTTGCCTTTTGCGGTGAGGAAACCGCCGTCCATGAGGCCCCGGAAGTTGAAGGTGCCGCCTGAGCCCGACCCATATACGCCACAAGCATCGTAACCACCAGCAGTACTGTTATCCCATGCATCACCCAAGGGCTGGTTCGAGGCGTTGAAAGCGGGGTATGCAGCTAGCGTCTTCTTGTCGGACGCGAAGGCGTCAGAGGGCGAGACACTGTATGAGTGACCATAGGTAGGAACACCGAGGACGATCTGATTGGCCGGGATTCCTGCATCCGACCAAGCTTTAACTGCAGAAACAGCAGAGCCCTCTCGTTTCCCTGCCGCGAGACAGGTGTCGTCCAACGGTGCATTGGGCCCAACAGTCGGGGACCAAGGGCCCCAAATGGCGTAATTCATCAGGGCGATGTAATCGAGGACCTTCGAAAACCCACTGACGTCAGTAGAAGGATTTCCGGTAGCGTCATAGAAGGGTACTACGGTTACGGCAGCCGAGAGAGTGAGTGTTGCCCCTACTGGGTTTTGGCGAAGCTCCTGGAGGAACGCTAGGAAATTTGCCGTATCGTTCACGCTAATGGTGTTGCAGCCGAGTCCCTGATCGTTTGGGTACTCCCAGCTGTTGGAAACCAAGGACGACTGAGGTCAGCGTGTGAGGTCGGAGTCACAATAATCAACCTACTCGAACTGAATGCCATCAAGGTTGTACTTTGAAGCAAAATTTGTTACGGTCTGGACAAATGCCGTCCGGTTTTTGGCAGTGGCAAAGTGAGAAGAAAACCAAATACTCCCAGTCCAGCCTCCGACAGCAATATGAGCCTCAACATCCTGCGCGTGCATTAGACATCAATTGTAGAAGCGGTAAATCCTTGTTTGCTCACATGTGCATGGGCCTCAGAAACGAACTGTGGGAGCAGCTCGCCATCAGAGCCTGCCAGGCTCAGACTTGAGAGGTCCTCGGCAGTTTCTCTAAAAGACATGATCACGTTAATCACCCCATCAAAGTTATCTGCTTTATGCCAGGACAGGCAACTTACGCAAATGAGTAGTATATTGTATTGTACTTCTCCCAGCTAACTGAAGAGAGCGGGGCTCCTTCAGTTGCATGCCATCCGGTATACCAAGATGCTGAGATGGGTGTAGTGGAACAGGCGGTAGGGGAACGGGCGGCGAGCGGACTCGCGCTTACAGCGGACAGGACAATAAGAGGTAAAATGAAAGCGGGTAGCATGTTAATGCAACTCGAGAGACTGGGGGAGATTGTGACCGCGTCGACAACTTCTTATAGCTATTCCGCCACCCTGAGTGAAACCAAAATTGAGTTAGGCTACGAGGTTATTGCGTTCGGGGCTAAATGGTTAATCAGATCTATGCGGTTGCAAATCCGAAGGCTAGGATCAAGTGATCCTGCGGTACGAAGAACTCCCAGGACTCCTATACCATAGAAATGGTCCCGACTTCCCGACCTCCCGACTTCCCGACTTCCCGACTTCCCGGAGGTTCCGGTCATCGCAATTTGGTTTCCTGGTGTTTTCGAGAGAGACGATCGTCAAGAACAACAACTTCATAACGCAATCTATGACAATACTTTGCGTAGAATTGCCATTGGATTAGTCCGAATCCATCTCTAACATTACCTACAAAACTTCGTCGCCATCTCTTAGTATACACTCTCCTTCGAAAAGTACACGGTCGGACATCCCGTTGTCTTTGATGTACTGAACGCAAGCAACATCAGTTGCTCCTGGCTGGCACCATACAGCGGGAATCGAAAGCTCCTCGACTTGTTTCAATAGATTGATAGTGATCTTGTCAAACGCGTATTTAGCAGTAAGGCTGAACGTGGCAATATACAACTGACCTTGGCGGGTGTTATGATGCTCACTGACGTTTCGGTTGGGTTCGGGAGGTCAGTCAGTGACCGTATGGTCTTTATGCCCTCCAACTCGTCATTCATCGGGTGGACCGGAGTTACTGGCCTGTTCCGCTGGATGTACCATTGCAGAACCTATATAGACGATATCGTAATGTCTATGACAAAACTTGAAACCAGGAACTACCTTCGTGCCGAACTTTGACTGATCGGTAGAAGCGCCGACGACGGCGTAGTGCGGAAATGACAGAAAGTGCTTTTGCTTTTGAATAGTGTTTGCCATAGATGAAAGAAACCTGAAATGCATATCTGAATTCTGCTGTGTGTGAAACCGTAAACGGTGTGAATAACGTTGCAGCTCAACAAGGAAATATTCCATTTAGCCGCCACGAAGCCTTGTGTGCAGATCTCGACATTGATTTCGAGAGTAATAAAGAGAAAGCTAATTCACTTGGCGGGACGTGGCATTTATATCAAAAGCAAGGATACAGTGTGAGGAGTAAAAACATTTTACCTGATAAAGTTACTGAACATCTAGGCACTGAGGGTAGTGGAGACAATGAATATCAAAACCAAAGACCTTTATGATCAGTGCTGAAAGCTAGGAAATTAATTGACAGTTGATGTAAATCAGTGCCGCTGTGCGACACTGAATCGCTCATTGACAAACAATGAATTTAATGTTGGGGTGATAATCATTGTCTGATCCAAATTCATTGTCATATTCAAGTTTTTATTTTGTCAAAAAAAGAAAAAAAGAAAACCCCTAATCTTTGCCACTTGCCTGGTTTGAACTCACGACTCCCGACCACGCAAGCTCAGCTGAAATCCCATAATCAATTCTCACGCATTTGAGCATTACTTACCACTAGACTACATAACCTTGTATATATCTATGCAGCAATTGATATATATACCATACCCATGGGACTTAGAATAAAATATGATAATCTACTCATACGATCAATATGGTACACCGTGGGAATTATTCCGATAAAAATTAAAGTTGCAGTCCTTGTTAAGGGTAGTCTATTGATCGTCTCATGACATTTTTTGGTTAAGATCCTAGTAAGTTATACGCGAAATACTAGAAAGGTGGAGTGTTCAAGAAAGTTCAGGCACACAACTAATATTGCTTATTGCAGCCGTCCCTAGGAATAAATATAAATTCTCCTTAGCTGCCTCAGTCAGTGAATTTGTTTGCTAAGTAAATTATGGAAAAAAATGGAAAAAATGGGACTATGTGATTTGCTAATGTCATTTTCAGTGTCCTTAAAATTTTGACAATGAATTTTATACCCTTACATTCTGGCGGGTAAAATTCAATGTCCCCAGTTGTCAATGAATGCAAGTAACCAGAGATTAAGTGACGCTGGGAGTGAATTCAACACATTCATTGCCACTGTCAGTTAATTTAATGGTTTTTACTTCCCACAGTGAGGCCACAGCGGAGACAGGTCCCTGACGCGAGGAAATACCGAAGATCGCGTGAATCATAGTGCTGGCGACATTTTGTTGAACCGTGTCACGACCATGGAATGATTCACTGCCGAAAGTATACATGATAACCATCTGATGATATCTGAAGTCGCAGATGGAAAGACAAGACGATGACCAATAATGCGAACAAGTAGAAGGTGGGCAATACTTAATCTTAATCTGAGCAAAGCATCACAAACTATTGGAGAGGAGCGGAATGGAGGAACGTTGGCGAGGAAGGGTGCAAGGTACACACATCTGTTTTTTTCATTTCTGTTGGGAATAGGATGAACTTGAGCAAGGCTGAAACAGGGTAGAGATGTGCGCGTGCGTACGTTGTACGCAGGGAAAAGAACTGTCTCTTTATGATCTGCGGACGGTCAATGAGATAAATGAAGCTGTTCTCCCCGCTATTAACGTGTCTGCGGATGAGGTAAAGAATCGCACCAAGAACGACATGTCTGCCCCATACTGAGTCGGCCAGAATCAGGCTGCCAGATAATACTACCCTGGTCGGACTCGAACAAACGGTAAGAAAAATAATGATGAATTTCCACAGATCATTGGACATTCTTTAAATAAACGGGGGTGCACACATGTACACAGTGGGGTGATTTGCCTGCAGAATGTAACACGGCGCGTCAGAGCGCGAAGCGTCACGTGAGCGAGCCGTGGGAGTGTTGCGCACGGGCCAGATGGAAAAGATATATAAACTTGGGAGCCAACACCTTGAATCCTCAGAACATACTCAGCTAGGATCTATTTTATAGAAACTAACTCGAGTCTCACATGTTTACACATGCCACATCCTTCAAATCCACATGATGACAACTGCTCTCTCTCGTTCGACAGAGAACATGGCCTTCACGTTCAATGTGGGGTTTTGAGGACATTTGGTTCTGTTCTTCGTGCGACTGCTTGCAGTTTAGCAAAACAGAGCCAGCAAGTTGAGTGTCTGTCTGATGGATTTCTATTTCCATCAGCAAACTACCAATTTGGTGACAATTCCCACATCATTGACAAATGCGCACAAGAACACACAAGGCCATACACACAGCGCAGACAACACAAGCAAATAGCCAACAACTGGCACCAAACTTGACAAGCTTGACAAGCACACAGTAGCACAGACGTACAAACTGTACAAATGATATAGCTTATATAGAAAATACAAATGTGGTCTTTTGTTGAAGCTATTTACAAGCGCAAAGAGGAAAACTAGTTACAAGTATATACAACACTTTTAAGCTGAATCAATTGACAGTGTCAGCGCGGTACAAGAACACTCCCAAACTGGGCACTTACTGTCAATTATGCTTGAATATATGTCGTGATATTATCTTTTCTGCGCTCTAGATGCATGCGCCCGACATTGAGGTCAGCTAACAATAAACGCGAATTTGTGTCCTCTGCACGATGGCGGCAGAGATGTGTAAGTATCTTATGGTGCTCCAAAATACACTCCGCCAGCAGCTTTCGAGCCTGGCAAACTTTGCGTTTGGCTTTAGCTGCTTCGAGTGCGAGGTCAGAGTGATCATCTTCCTCTTCAAACGATGTGGAGTCTCGTTCCTGCCAGTACCGAAAGCATGTAAGAGTGACGAAGCATTGAAATCGGTGGATAACTCACAAGGTGCATCAATGTGGGGAAGTCGTCTTCCTCCTTGATCAGCTGCAATCGTGACAGGGAATATGAACATTGTAGACTCTGTCCGGACTGAGGATACAGAGAGCAGTCAGGATGATGGCGAGAGGATGGGAAATGCAGAGAATTTTCCGAACTGTGAGAGGAACTTCGAGAAGAAGCTCTAGAGTTGTAAGAGGAACCTCGGGAAGAAACTCCAGAATTGCAAGAGGCCCAGAGATGGTACGGAAGGGCCACAGTATTGACGTTGGATTTTGGCATCACGAGCACTGTAGCAGCAATATGGACAATATTCAGTACAATGATGCGATATGTGAGAGCTGAGTGAACGGTGTGAGACTTACTCGAACCGAGATGAATTCATTTGCTGCCCGCTATCTCAGTATCTGTCAATCATACTATGGTGTCAACTTGTCCAAAGTGCGGAAAGTTATTCACCAAGGAATCCAGTGTCACTCAACACCTCAGTCAGCCCCGAACGTCGTGCCACAGTTCCGCTCGTGATATGGTCGATATCTTGCGTTTTGTAGAGCTGGAACCGCCGCAGCAATCTCGAAACAATCAACTTCAATCAACGTCGTCCAAAGTGATTTTCCCGCAATTCAGTGCTGAAGATAACACGCTGAGCGTTGACTTTGATGGAGCCCATTTCGAGGACGAAGGAGAGTCATCAGAGGTGGAGGTGTATGAGGGCGCAGGGACTTGTTATGCTGGGGACGGTGTGACCTTTCTGGATCTGTTTGACGCTGATGAGTATGCAGAATGCAGGAAGGAAAACCTGTTCTACCCTTTTGCATCAAGGGAAGAGTGGGAGGTCGCTGATTTTCTCCGGCGTTTTCCCCTCAGTATGGCAGCAATCAACCAGTTTCTGGAACTCCCTATGGTGCGTGTCCTTTTCACAAGTGCTGGTGCTTTCTGACATTATCGTGCAGATCCATCGGTTGAAATTGTCATTCCGCAACGCTAAAGAGTTGCGAAGCCGTGCTGAGATGCTGCCGAAGGGACCAAGCTGGAAGTGTCGAACTGTTCCTTCGCTCAATCCCACAAAAACTCCTATCTGATTGTTTTGGAGGGATCCCGTGGAATGTCTGGAAAGTCTCTTCAGTAATCCCCTTTTTCACGACCAGCTCGATTTTGTTCCTCACTGCGTTTACACGACATCAGCGCGGCTTCTTCGTGTATACTCAGAGTGGTTGACAGGCGACTCTGCTTGGGAAATCCAGGTATGTACGGTTTGCATCTAACTATTCGTGTCGTCTCATCATAAGGACTGCAGGACCAGCTTCCCGGAGGTGCGACAGTCCTAGGCACTGTACTTGTTAAGACCGTGTTCAACGGGTCGGACCGGAGGGGCTTAGCTTCAGCTCGTGCGCTGCGCTCTTTACCCGAGTACGTGCCCCTAATTTACAGGGGGTTGGATATCGTCGGCCGAAGGGTATAGACGGGCCGGACAAGAGAGAGAAGACTACCCGAGACTTCGTCCGGGTAGAAACTAACAAGGTACAGACTACCCGAAGGTAGAAGCGGAGGGATTTAGCCTTAGGGATATAATCCCGAGGCTCGGAGGGTCGGACTAGAAAGACAATCCTAAGAGCCGAGGGAACACGAGGAATGAACTGAGTCTAAGATGATATTCGAACTGAGGATATACTACGGGTTACAAGGGGTTTATATACTATAAGGTATCCGACGGACGTCCGGCCGAAGCGCAGTCTTCGGATCAGAGGGCTATGTAGAAAATGTACTAACGGATATGAACTGCTGCGGACGATCGAGAATGGAGCCGGAGATTAAATGAAACAGGGGGGACAAGTTAAATGAAAGAAAAATGAATAGATTAACGGACGGATCAGAATGAACCCGGATATTAACTGTCAGAAGGATCCGGGCGTATAGGGGCATCAAGAAGCATATACAAATGGGGACACGGGGAAATGAATTCTAGAATGGAACCGAGAGAACGGACGGACCGGACCGGACCGGACGAGAAGCTTCAGGTACGGAATATGACAGTACTCTCTTCAGACAAAATGAATATCACCAATATGACTGGTGCCAGGGTCGCTCATCCACTCCTGTTAGGCCTCACTAACATTCACATGAACACTCACACCAAGCTCTCATCCAGAGCCTTTCTGCTTACGGCTCTCCTCCCTATCCCGCAGTATTTGCATTCAAAGCCATGGATGCGGGGTATGCTAGAAGATCGCCTCATGCACGAATGCCTTTCCATAGTGTTGAAGCCCTTAATGAAAGCCACTGAAATCGGAATCATGATGTCCGACCTGGCGGGAAACGTGTGCCACTGTTTTACGCCTCTTGCAGCATAATTGTCGACACCCCAGAGGCATGTATGCTTGCATGCATGTGCGGGAAAACTTCGCTGTTTACCTTGGCATCGTATCTGGAGTTTGGGGACGCTTTTCGTCATCCCGAGCGCACGCGCTCCATCACCCTGGCACAGCTCAATAGCATCAAGGTTGATCCTCATGACCTTGAAGCTTACATCTAAGCATGCGAGCAATACCGACTAAATGGTGTCCATTCTCCTTTCTGGGCGGACTGGCCACTCATAGAGTTTAAAAGTCCGGTCTAGTCCGGTCTTTTGACTTATTTGGAGGCAACCGGACCAGGACCAGTCTTTTTATTCCCACGATATCAGTGAACCTGGACTGGACCCGTAAAGACCGATGTTTGTGGTCCTTTGCGGTCCTGCAACCGGTTTTAGACCGGTTGCCACCACAACCAGTCCTGTGGCAGTGTAGTACCCCTTCCCACGATTCCAACGGTCTAATTGTTGTAGTAAACGGTTAAGATCTGAGCAAGATATGAGCATTATAAAAAAGGGTTCCCAAAATCTGCCCTGTACGTGAGTCAAATATGAAATGTCATTACCATGCTTAGGCTTCTTGACGAAATATGTGCTGCTAGTCAAGGCGATACTATAGCTAATCTTATCTTGTCAATAGGGTAAGATATAAGCAAGATATAAGCTTGACAAAAAATCGTTATCAGGCTTGTCTTTGAAAAATAAAAGTTGTCGTAAGGCTTAGGTGTCTTAATGTTAATTGTAGTCCTAGTCTAGGCAAGTCTATAGCTACTCATATCTTGTTGAACACTCAAGGTTTGGGTAAGTTATGAGCCAATCGGTGATTTTGACTGATTTTGACTTGCCGTTCTAACACGTCTGATCTTTGTGCTAGTCTTGGAGCATGATAATCATCAAGAGTTATCTAAATTTGATGTTCCATACCATTTTTGAGGTCTATGAACACACTGGTAAAGGTTTTTAAGCTTGGAAATCAATCCCTGGTTCAGTGCCAACAAGTGTAAAAACACACCCCACAGATTTATACGAGCCATTCTTAAAATGCTTGTAACTTTCCCAAATCTCAACTGATTTTGAAGATCAGACCACCGATAGAATCGCCTAGATGAGTACTACCCACATATAGGCAACCGATCCCAAAAAGACCGGTTGAAACCGGTCTTGGACCGGCAACTGCAACCGGACCTTCCTGGACCTGAGGCAACCGGCAACCGAGGTCCGGTCTTTTTCGGTCCGGTTGCGGTCTTTTTTCGATTTTGCAACTGGACTTTTAAACTCTAGCCGCTCACTGATCCTTCAGTCTTCTTGACGCCCGAACCTTTGCATCACTGGCACAAGGGGTTTTATGATCACGACCTCCAATGGTGCCTTACAGTTGTTGGAGCGCAGGAATTGGATTTTCGCATATCAATTTTGCAGCCTACTACGGGCTATCACCACTTTTGTGGTGGGATTTCGAAATTGAAGCAAGTCACGGGCAGAGTGCACCAAGATCTCCAGCGTTATGATGTTGGCCTGATCGCTGGTGCAGCTCCTCGTTGATTTGTGATTGCAATCTGTGCTCTTATGGATGTCCGGTACATGGCACAGTCTCCTTCGCCTGATGAGAATTTACTGGCGCATTGTCATATTCCGTACCTGAAGCTTCTTGTCCGGTCCGGTCCGTCCGTTCTCTCGGGTCTGTTCTAGAATTCATTTCCCCGTGTCCCCATTTGTATATGCTTCTTGATGCCCCTATACGCCTGGGTCCTTCTGACAGTTAATATCCGGGTTCATTCTGATCTGTCCGTTAGTCTATTCATTTCCCTTTCATTTAACTTGTCCCCCCTGTTTCATTTAATCTCCGGCTCCATTCTCAATCGTCCGCAGCAGTTCATATCCGTTAGTACATTTTCTACATAGCCCTCTGATCCGAAGACTGCGCTTCGGCTGGAAACCCGTCAGATACACTACAGTATATAAACCCTTTGTAACCCGTAGTATTTCCTCAGTTCGAATATTAACTTAGACTCTGTTCAATCCTCGTGTCCTCTCGGCTATTAGGATTATTATCCTAGTCCGATCCTCCGAGCCTCGGGATTATATCCCTAAGGCTAAATACCTCCGCCTCTACCTTCGGGTAGTCTATACCTTGTTAGTTTCTACCCGGACGAAGTCTCGGGTAGTCTTCCCTCTTTCGTCCGGCCCGTCCATACCCTTCGGCCGACGATATCCACCCCCCTGTAAATTAGGGGCCCGTACTCGGGTAAAGAGCGCAGCGCACGAGCTGAAGCTAAGCCCCTCCGGTCCGACCCGTTGGACACGGTCTTAACACGCGTATTGATAGATCGCTTTTGATCTTTCATGAAAACAAAGATGTTATCATCTCCTTAGGGGCTCGGATGGGGACGAAGAAGCCTATCGACAACTGGTTCATACTGAAGCTCGAACTTATGCAGAGCATCACTGCCAGCTCACGCAAAGTTGGCGCCCTCATTCAATGGTCCGCAGACACCACTGAGCACGCTCACATTTCTGAGATTAAGGACCCTGCGTGGCACACCAATAACAACGACTATGATCCTCAAATTTGTCGTTATTTAGATTGCCAGGAGAAGCTGCGACGTTTCGCAATTGCTACGACACTGAAGAGTACTTGCGCTGATTCTAACTCAGAAGAATTCTTTGAGGACGAGGACGACGAGGAAGACGAGGAAGACGATGGAGATTGTGATGAACCGATGGACCCGCGTACTGCGCTCTTAGCACAGCTGAACCAAACCCGCATCACCACTAACTACTTTACCAAAGCAAAGAAGTTGGTTGCCACGAGATGCGATAACATTTCTCACCCTCCTCGGACATTTGTTGCTGCCTCCACCACTATTCATCTCAATTTTGACCCTACTCGCACAGGGTTGAAAATCGACGAGGTTGCCAATGACTTCAACATACCAGATTTATGCGAGGTTCTTTCCGACTTCTTGCAACGTGACACGAGGAACGGAGAAACAGGTCATGGGTTGGGGGTTCAAAGGAGACAGCTAATTGACCGTCCCTCAGTTCATCCTTTTGAACGTATCCAGATATGGCATACTGTTCGCTTGCAACAAGTTTCCTTCTACGACGCCAGCATTATCTTACCCGCACAGACTGTGCATGCCTTCCCTCCATCTCCTGGGAGTGGGTGGCCAAAAGGCCGCTGGGATGCTGTCCTCGTCAATATTGATCGAGCCTATGATTGGCCTAAGTCGGGGTTGACGGGTGAGTTTGTTTATTGTGATACCAATCTCGCTCATCGTTGACACATCCCCCCTTTTTTGAAGGGCACCGTGTCTGCGAATTGCAGCTCATAATGCGCCCAGTTCCCCGGCGAGGTTCATAAATCACATGGCGAGATCAATATTTGTGCTACGTGCGTAGTTTCAAAATGGGTGCGGTTGATCCAGTCACCGAGATGCACATATTGAAACGCTGTAAACATGCCAATGGCGCGCCAGTGGGTGACATAGTTCCCCTTAGTCAACTTCGTGCATTCGTTCATATCATTCCTCAACTAGGTCATGCGGCAGATGCGTGGTTGACAAAGGCAAATTCTGCTCATTACCATTCATCTTTTTTCTTAAACAAGTACTTTGACAAACAGATATATGCTGCCCTCTCGCAAGGATAGATACCTTTACTGTACCCCACTAGTCAAAAAGAATTACAACAAGTGAAATCGGTTGATTTGAGTAGTATGAATGTGAGTCCTGACAAAGCCGACACCAGGGTGTGAATCCCAACAAGGCCGTCAACACCCGTGCACGCCTGTGCACACTTGTGCAGGCTGCACAGACACTGCTAGTATTCAGTAGTCAGATACATCGCACACTGGCAAATCTCCTACCAGACACCATTCCACAGCATGTCTTCCAGTTCAGACTCATCAGCCAGTGGTGAACCACCAATGACGACAACCTCGTCACTCAAACTTCCTGGCGCCACTTCATTCGACACTTACCTTTGTGGGGCATCACTCAGCTCTGCGGGCTTCCCACCTGTAGGCGGACGCACAGTTAATACTGTCAAGGGCCTTTTGAGGGCAGAGCTTGATGGCCATGTCATTGATGAGTCTGGCCTTGCCCAGATGAAGTTTACCGACTCCATTTTCCGTGCGCTCATCCCCGTATCAACCTTCCAAAATCATCACGTCAAAAAGATCAGGTACCACAAGAAGGACGGCGCATCTGTATACATACAAAACAAGTGGAATTACAGCCGCAGGAAAAAGAGCAAGGGTTCAGGGAGGGACACCACCGATACAGACATCGTTGACTCAGATGATTTGCGTGCAGAACTTGAGGCCTTGGATTCTCATGGTTCAACAATCTTCTCCCAAGGGACCGACAGCGGGAGTGACAATGAATTCAATGGCAGTGTAAAGGCAGGATCAAAGAGGAAACAGAAAAAGAGTTCGACCGAGAGGGACTTACAGTACCTGTTCCATGCTGTTCAGTGGGCCCTGCGTAATCGAACTGGATATGCGAAGAAACTTCCCTATGAAATTTCGCCCATCGAGCGGTACTGGTCTGCCGAGTTTGCCAACTCACCCATACCAGACCTATACAACTCGCAGAAGCCCGATGTCGCCCTGTTCTATTACATGAACAAACGTGAGGAAAAGAGATGGGTTGATGTCTTGAGCTTCGTGGAACACACCTCCAGCAATTTTGTTGCATCTCCTGATTTATCAGTGTATTGTGGATCTACCACCAAGGTGTACCTCATCATGCGAGAACAACCGTGGTGTCGCTTCGTTCTTGCCTACTCCATTTGTGCAGAAAAACTTTGCACCCATTATTTTGACCGCTCAGGCCTCATCATATCCCTTCCGACCCCCATCCATACACACCCGATCAGTGTGGTCGCCTGGAAGCTGATGATGACAAAGATTACCTTCAAGCCGTCTATAAAGATGAATGCGAGATCCTCCACAGCATCAGCGCCCAGACCGACCAAGTTGCAAAGATTTTGGATAGACGTATCGCACAATGTCTCTCACAATCTACCGGATGCTTCCCCTTGCGTCGCCGCTTTCTCAGTGGGGTTCAGACTACTGAACCCTTCTCCCTCGAGGACTCAGATGTCACATCTGATGAATCAGATGAAATGAGGGGTGGGAACCTGGGTACGTCGGACTTTGCCTTCGACGAGTCAGGCTCAGAAGGCTTAGATGACTAAGTATTATCAATGTATGTGAAACCCTCGTTTCGTGTATGACTTCCACGCTGACATGGTTTCTCATCCCACTTTTTGTGTCCACTTTTGGACATTTTTTGTTCACCAGCGTAGTTTCTCATCCCCTACTTTTTGTGCCTGCTTTTGGACATGTCTTGTTCGCTATTCTTGGAGTCCTCGTGTCAGCTTTATTAGTGACTATTACCGCACCATCGCTTCTTCCCCCACTTCCAGACTTCTCTGGTCCCAGCTTCTCGAATTGTTGTGTCCATTAGGATCACCGCAGTGATCAGATATTTGCGATTGCCCTGTATGAAGTATTGTCACTTTGGTGATCTGACACAATTTTTTTGTCCTATTCAACCCAGAACGTCTTATAACTTTGTGTGTTTGTATTAGATAACTTTTTGTGATGTACTTTTCAATATGATGCTCAATGTGACCCCCAAATCTGTGCGTGACAAATCTTCAAATTGAGGTGTTACCCATTGATCAGTCAATTCATTTAGCTACGATTCAGTGGACTCAATTCAATCATTATTTGTCAATTAACATGCGTTTGTAGGCACTGGTATGCACGAGATAGAAGTATTCAGGTTCCTCCCCCCCTTCCCTCAGTGACTCCCACCATCCCTAGCGCGGTGTGTTGTCCCTCCTCGACATGGAGCTGCATTCTGGTCCAGTTTCATTCAATTTTGATGATATCCCAGATCAAGGCCTATCGAACATTCCCGATCGACCTCAGGATGAAGCCGCATACTCACAAGATGACTCGTTTGGCCTTGGCCAAGCTAATCAGTCGCATCCTGATCCATTGTTGTGCAGAATCCCTGTGAATTTTGGTGAAGTCTCAGCAGATGAGGATGGCTTTAATCTGGATAGGAATGCATTTGGTGGTGAGTATCATCTTGCTGCTGGTTTTCAATTCACTGATCTCGCATTTGAAGCTTTCTTTGATTTCACAGCTTATGCCAGCACCAGTGGACCATCAACTAGTCATGCTGGTGCTAGTGTCCCTGCTCTGATCCTGCGTTCAGAAGAGATTGACGTGCTCTATCCGTTACCACCTCCCCGGGCACTGCAGGGGACCGTCGAGAGAATGCAGCGCTCACGACACATCTCAGCGCCATATCCTACACCGGAACACAAATTCACGGCACAGCAGAGCTATTGCTACAATCGACCCGCAAATGCTGCAGCTCTGTGCAAATCTGCCCACCGCCCCTGCAACATCCACCCACACTGAACAGGTCACCCACACCACTTCTGCCGACTCTGTTGCCCCCGCCGTCTCTGTTACCCCCGCCGTCTCCGTTGCCCCCGTTGTCTCCATTGCCCCCATTGTGATCTCCATAGAGCCTGCCCCTCAGCAGCCCGTCGCACCTGTCACCATCTGGGTGTCATCTGACGTACAGAAGCAGATCACAGTTCGCGCAAAAACCAAGCTTGTCCAATATTGGTTGACATTGCATGCGATGGCGGGCAGCGATGCTCAGAAGCGAGCAGTCGTCAATCTCGCAATCGCGGACGCGATTCCTGGCATCATTGGCATGCATGGTAAGTTTTCCAATATCTAATTCCGAGTTTGGAACTCACACTTTTATTTTTTTAGTCCATGTTTCCAATCCAACAACGGCGAATCAGCGTCAACAGCTGATGGGGGCATGGACCACCATGTTCACCAATCTGGTGAAGCTCGTGCGGGTCTGTGCCCTGTTCGGCTTCGACATATACCCCCCTCAAGGTTCTAACGTCGTCCCTGACGAATTCCGGAGGCGTGTCATAGATGTGGTGATCAACGATCAACGTCGCCCTCTTGTGTTCATGCATCAATTCACTGTCAATAGTGTACGTTGTATTCCTTCCTTCCTCGTTTCGTAATTTAATGTTAGTTCAGGCCAGGGACGTAACGATCTTGGATGGCGTGCTCAACAATTCGTTCATATTACGCATGGTCATCCGTTTTGTGTGGTGCAGCAACACCGGCATTTCGGATTGCATCACCAACCCACTGAAAGATTTCAACTCGATATTTGCTGCTTTTGGGGCCATCATGAAGCTGATATTGTTTGAGCAAATGTTACATCCGCCCGTTACTATCACACACTCACAGCTTGATGTGAGCAACATGTTCCTTGCAATTCTTCAGTACATTCAAGGTCTTCATGGTGTGCAGAAGGTTACATTTGACAATTACAAATCTTACACTTTTAGGATTGGGAGCTATCAGCAATGGTCCACAAACATATTGGCACCGCTTGACGTATTGTTGACATTGTAGTAGCTTCTAGGATTATCACACTGTACTGGACCTTCAAAGGACTTTCATCTGACAGTATGTGCGCATCGTTCATGCAGTCCTCATGCGCAGACTATATTTTATGTCATGAGCCTCACGGAATTAATATACAGGATCTGGCTCCCATATTTAACCCAAAGAATGTACGTACCTGACCGAGTCCAAAAGAGACACTCAAAAGTAGGGTTCAGCACTAGCTACTACTATAAATCAGCTCAGCCCGCAGATAGCTATGTATCCCCCACACATTCTTTTAAATCTATACACTCATTGGTTTTGTTTTAGCATGACGAGCGAAAGCACATCTGGTCGGGGTAAGTTCTCACTACACGCGCACCACCATTCACGAATCTAGGAAATCAATATTACTATGACAGGCATTTGAGCCGCGAAGCAAAAGGTGATGGACAACACAGGTAAGTTCTCTCTACATTATTGGATTCGGAATAAACCAGGGCTTATTGTCTGTTGTGCTAGTCTGGAGGATTGGCATGAGCCAAAAGCGACAGCACCCCAGCATGCCCGAAGAGCCCAAGAAATGCTGCAATCCACCTGCGCAAAAGAAACCTTGCACGGACACCACCACCGGGGGTATCACTCATCCAGCAATCCCACAGGCTTCTACTAGAAAGCATCGAGGTAAGCGTGACTGTTACTGCACACTAACTAGTATGCAGTGAAGTGACCACCCACAGAGTTCAACATCGATGAAGGCAGCACAAGCATTACCAAGCACGGGCCGCCACCAAAGAAAGGTCAGCGTTTTATACTGTCAAATTGGTTCAGTGGTCATCTGTATTTTCAGCACGAAAAGAAACCAAACGGAAGCCGACTTCATGTCACGCCTCCAAAGACATGCCTTGTAGCATCGACGATGCATTTTTAGGTGATGAACCTGAGGAGATATCTGACTTTCAACCTGGCTGCGACTCGGAAGCGGATGACGAGGAAGATGCCGACGACTCAGATGAGGCCGAATCTATCGTGAAGTTCCTGTCAGCAGAAGTAAGTACAGTTACTGTTTACATTACTGCTAACCACAACTTCAATTGATACCCCTCAGGTACCAAAATTTGTCTCAGAGGCCGAAAAGCTCGATTTCCCACTGACAAAACCAACCTGGCCTCCGAGTCAAGCAGCTACATCAAAATTGATGAGCGCTCCTGTGGCTACCAAGGTCAGTTGAGTCTTCATCCTGGAAGTACAGTGTCATCTATGCTGAACAACTTGCGCCTCATAGGTGAGGCAGACTGCTGAACCATTCCCCTTCTTGTCGGCCCAACCACGGGCTCCTGTGGCTTCCAGGGTAAGTTTATTCCTCAATGCCATCCATGCTGAAAATGCTTGACTGATTCCTTCAGCAGGCAAAATCCCAGTCCACGCATGATCAAACCAGGGTCAGTTGTTCCCTCAATTGTCATCTACGCTGAAAATCATAAACGATGCTTTACTGATGCCCCTCAACAGGCAAAAACTCAGTTTAATGCACATGGCCATATCAAGGTAAGTTGACGTTTGATGCCATCCATGCTGAAAATGATGATCATTGACTGATGCGCTCAACAGGCAAAGACTCATTCCGCGTGTGATCGTAAACGAGCAAATGAGGTGAGTTCGCTTTTCTCATGCTTCTTGCTGTAATTGAAGTCACACACTGCAGACTCCAACCTGGGCAGATGATTCCAATGATGGAGTCATCGCATCAGAGAACTCGGAAGGACTCAAGGCCATGCCAGACGACCACAGTGAACACGAGTCTCCAAAGGACGACTTTATCGTAGTAGACGATGACGACGACGATAGCGGCCATCGTGAAGAGCCCAAACTTGTACGGAGTGCAAACGCAGGAAAGTTAAAGCTGATGGATCAAACTAGCGACACCTGTCGTGTCGTCCAACGAGCGATACTTGAGGCAAAGGTTCATATGACCTTTGTCGATGGTTATCCAGAGCTCACTGAAAAAAATCGATTCACATGAGACACGCTCTCAACAGCAGCTCGCACGTGTGGTGTTCTACCCATTCAGCATCGCCTCAAGACTGATGACTCGTACACATCTGTGCTTTCAACTCTGGTATGTCATTATTTTTAAAAGAGTACTATTATAACAATGATCACATGCAGGTTGAGGCTCGAGTGCCGCTTTTTCGTACCGAATTGAAGGATGACACTTGTGCACAAGTGACAGCCTATTACCGTCTTGGTCCCGACTGTATTGATACTTCCAAGGCTTTGCTGGCGAGCCATGTATATCATTTTGCGCAGCATTTTGATGTAGGTTTCTATATTTCATGTTTTATGTTACTTATTCAGTGTCACACGTGGTTTCCTTCTCCAGGAGAAAAATGTCCCTATTCCGCAGGCAGCAAAACCGTACTCTGCAGATATATTGCCTTACTTAATGAAGGGGCGCTACTTCAATGGGCCAAAGTCGGTTGGTGTGAAATTTGCAGACCGTTTCAAGGAGATCTCAGGCAACAAGGCCCAGCGGCCTGAGGTGACGATTCCAATGGTCGCATTGACCAGTACTTCGGTATATTTTCGGTTCTCAATCTACTCACAGTCCGTGTATTAACAAGTGCATAGGTGTAGAGTTTAAAAGTCCGGTTAAGTCCGGTCTTTTGCCTTATTTGGAGGCAACCGGACCAGGACCAGTCTTTTTATTCCCACGATATCAGTGAACCTGGACTGGACCCGTAAAGACCGATGTTTGTGGTCCTTTGCGGTCCTGCAACCGGTTTTAGACCGGTTGCCACCACAACCGGTCCTGTGGCAGTGTAGTACCCCTTCCCACGATTCCAACGGTCTAATTTTTGTAGTAAACGGTTAAGATCTGAGCAAGATATGAGCATTATAAAAAAGGGTTCCTAAACTCTGCCCTGCATGTGAGTCAAATATGAAATGTCATTACTATGCTTAAGTTTCTTGACGAAATATGTGCTGCTAGTCAAGGCGATACTATAGCTAATCTTATCTTGTCAATAGGGTAAGATATAAGCAAGATATAAGCTTGACAAAAAATCGTTATCAGGCTTGTCTTTGAAAAATAAAAGTTGTTATAAGGGTTAGGTGTCTTGACGAAATATGTGCTGCTAGTCAAGGCGATACTATAGCTACTCGTATCTTGTCGAACACTCAAGGTTTGGGTAAGTTATGAGCCAATCAGTGATTTTGACTGATTTTGACTTGCTGTTCTAACATGTCTGATCTTTGTGCTAGTCTTGGAGCATGATAAATCATCAAGAGTTATCTAAATTTGATGTTCCATACCATTTTTGATGTCTACGAACACACTGGTAAAGGTTTTTAAGCTTGGAAATCAATCCCTGGTTCAGTGCCAACAAGCCTAAAAACACACCCCACAGATTTATACGAGCCATTCTTAAAATGCTTGTAACTTTCCCAAATCTCAACCGATTTTGAAGATCAGACCACCGATAGAATCGCCTAAGTGAGCACTACCCACATATAGGCAACCGGTCCCACAATGGACCGGTTGAGACCGGTCTTTCATTTTTCGCAAAAGTTAGGCAACTGCAACCGGACTTTTCTGGACCTGAGGCAACTGGCAACCGAGGTCCGGTCTTTTTCGGTCCGGTTTCGGTCCGGTTGCGGTCTTTTTTCGGTCTTGCAACTGGACTTTTAAACTCTACATAGGTGTATGCCACGCTCTTGTGGAAGGCCAGCAAGTCTCCCTCAAAGTTCAATTTCACCGGCAACCAGTTCAGCTAGTGCTGCCGTGGTCCAGTTCGGTCAGGTTCACAGAGGGATGAGCGAAAACCAAGAACTGGACCTAGGTCCGGTTCTACCAGACTCAACGAACCCCAAACTGGACCTTTGTGAACGGTTCGGAATGGTCAGGTCCGATTATTTTCACGTTCGAATGTGAACCAAACCTAAAAAAAATTTACAGCGAGCAAAAAAAAACATAGATAGTTTACAGCGCGCAAAAAAAATGTAGATAGAACTTGTACTCATAGCTACACATCCAACACAGCTGCTTCTGCCTCAACCTTCGTGGAAACATGGCCATTCCTGTATGCTGCCTTCAACAACTGCAGTGAGCTGAACGTGGATGCTGCGAGTCCATTGCGTCGTACAGTAGAAGTGATCCCTCCGCTCGAAAAAGCCTGTTTGGAGGGAATGGAGCTGCCTTGAATGGGCAAGTAGTCTCGTGCAATGTGTGCTAGTGTAGGAAATTGCAATGAGTGAAGCTAATGAACAATTTAAGTAGCAAATAAACAGGTCATGATGAGATTACTTACCCCCCACCAGGCAACAATGTTGTCAGCTTCCTCTAGCGGCGAAGACAGATACATTGTGAGTTCTTGACGAGGATTATGAGCACGTTGGTCCGCGGCTTGACGTGTTTTGATGGCCTCGCGCATCCACACATCACCGTACCGATTTTCATGCAAGGGTCTTGTTGGCGGAGTGGGTTCTTTGGCAGGTGCTCGAGTTGGTGGTTCATAATACTTGTCAAACTATAAATGTAAGTTCAGGAAGGATAATGAGCAGTCAGAACTAATACTACTTACCACAGCCTTGAGGTGAGCCTTCCCGTTTGCAACGTCTCGAGTGTCCCATCGATCTTCGACATAGGCAAGTTTGTAGTTGGGGTCAAGGACTGTGAATGTAATTATATGAGGGGTGTGCATGCAACATAGAAAATAATATTAATGCTTACCAAGACAAATGAAATATACATCGGAGTCACTCGTTTTCTTGTAGTACTTGTCGACGTTCTTGAGTCCTTGCTTGATTGCATCTGCGATCAGTGCGTACTGCTCATCGTTTGCCATCTCTTGCCACCGGTTAGCAAGGCATTCCAATGTAGGGATTGTTTGTGACGCAGTTGGGTGTTTCGCAGATGAGAACAATTGTTGGGCAGTCGCTGGTTCCTTCAGGACTTGATGAACGAGCGCGAGGTGTTTCCAATTGTTCCGATCGAGCTTGAAATCATTGTAAGACTTGTTGTGAAGGTTCGGCACTTCTTTGCTTTCATCAGTGAGGTTTGTGAAGCAGTTCACAGCCTGTTCAATTATGAGTATCGAACTGATAAACACTGATAATAATAATAAAGACTTACCCAATGTAAGAGTAGCATGCGATCAAGACATTTATATAGAGAAGCCCAACGAGTCCTAATCCACTGCAATAACTCGAGCGCGGGGACTTTCTCTTCTTTGCAGGCCTTCTTGAAGAATGCACAAGCTTGAGGCGATTTTCGAATCTAACAATGCCAATCAGCAAGAGTATAGAATACTAATGTAGTACATACCTGCTCAATGAGTGCGAGGGCTTTACCAAGCGAATCACCAGTGTCGAACACATCATCTTTCTTGCAATCACCGTTAACTTCCATGGCTGCGAGCTCCTTATTCAGAACATCGAGATCATTGTCGTTCTCCGTATCGAGTGCCTGACGGATCTTCTTCATAAGCGCAGCTTGAGGAGTAGGTGCAACTGCATCTACAAAGTGTCGTGCAGCAAGGTTTAGTATGTGTTCCTGGCATCTGATGCGGTGCGTGGCAGGTATCCACTGGACACCCTCGGGATCAATTTCACGAGCGACCTCCTTCATTGCAGTATCGTTGTTGCTCGCATTATCGGAGGTCATCCACCCAACCTATATGAATCATTAGCTTTGCTGCAGGATAGTAGGCCAGACCTTACCTTTTCTCGGAGGTTGTATGTGTCAATTGAGTCGATAAGCATACGAGCGATGTTTTGCCCGCTGTGATTGCCCTCGATGTATTCAAAACTAAGCTGCTTGCGACGTAACTCCCATTGCTGGGGTTTATCATCTGGATTCCAAATATAGTGACCGGTGATGGAGAAAAACGGGTCGCCGATGATCAAAGTCCAGGAGTCAAATGTCATAAAAACTTTGCTATCAACTTTTGCAAGACGCTCACATATGACATTGACTATGGCTTCCATGCGTGCCTTGATGGTCTCAGTGAGCTTCGTGCGGTGAGGGATGTCACGTTCAGTAAGGCCAGAGCGAACATAGCGAAGTAGGTTTCGGAAAGCTGGTTTGTCGACCAGCTGCAGCGCCTCGTCTTCGGTCACAATAAACTCCATTATGTACTCTAAGAGCCCAGCCTTGGTGAATGTAGGTGCTTTGGTGACGAGTATACTATCAAGGGTAGATTGCCTCGAACTGTCAATGATTTAGTGTCACATTATACAAAAGGTTAGTTAAAGCTCACAGGGCCTGATCCTCATCAGCTGGAATAGCGCGAGGGTGCATTACAATTCCTGCAGCTTGACAGCGAGCCTTGTAGAGTTGAAAGTGGTTTTTTTTGCTGATAGATATGTGTTAGCGCAAAACGTCAAGAGATGTCATTGAGAGGACATGTTAAGACCGTGTTCAACGGGTCGGACCGGAGGGGCTTAGCTTCAGCTCGTGCGCTGCGCTCTTTACCCGAGTACGGGCCCCTAATTTACAGGGGGGTGGATATCGTCGGCCGAAGGGTATGGACGGGCCGGACGAAAGAGGGAAGACTACCCGAGACTTCGTCCGGGTAGAAACTAACAAGGTATAGACTACCCGAAGGTAGAGGCGGAGGTATTTAGCCTTAGGGATATAATCCCGAGGCTCGGAGGATCGGACTAGGATAATAATCCTAATAGCCGAGAGGACACGAGGATTGAACAGAGTCTAAGTTAATATTCGAACTGAGGAAATACTACGGGTTACAAAGGGTTTATATACTGTAGTGTATCTGACGGGTTTCCAGCCGAAGCGCAGTCTTCGGATCAGAGGGCTATGTAGAAAATGTACTAACGGATATGAACTGCTGCGGACGATTGAGAATGGAGCCGGAGATTAAATGAAACAGGGGGGACAAGTTAAATGAAAGGGAAATGAATAGACTAACGGACAGATCAGAATGAACCCGGATATTAACTGTCAGAAGGACCCAGGCGTATAGGGGCATCAAGAAGCATATACAAATGGGGACACGGGGAAATGAATTCTAGAACAGACCCGAGAGAACGGACGGACCGGACCGGACAAGAAGCTTCAGGTATGGAATATGACAGGACATGAACATACCGACTAATGTGAGTGCGGAGTGTAGAAATTCCTCCTTGAAATATGTGCCTGCTCTCAGGTTCACCAGCATCCTTACCAAATATCAGTAGGAAACAATGCATATAGCGCTAACTACGTACTTGCAAGGGTTGCATACCCAGTGCGTTTCATGGCGAGTGAAGGTAGTGTGAATGTCAGCGGTACGTTCGCTCTTTGCCAAAGTAGCTTGCACAGCCTTGGGTTCAGTGCCGTCCTCAGTTTCAGCATCATCCTCGGGTTCAGATTCATCTTCGGCTTTGGGCTGGTCAGCACCAGGCTCCAAAGGATCAGTATCATTACCAGAGTCGCTGTCGTCAAGGCTGTCATCAGATAATAAAGACGATAGAACTTTCTTGCAGGCCGGTTGAATTTCATTAGCGCTGGATAAAGTGCGTTTTCGGCTCGTCGAGGAATAAACATTCTCGGTATCCCGCAGGCAAGCAGATGGCTTGGACTTGCGAACAGATCGTCGAGAACCAGCTGTAACTGGCACTGGTTTGCAACCTGTGAGAGTAGGCGCAGAGGAAGGAGTAGAGAGCGGGACAGTATCATCAGGATCATGATAAAAGACGATATCCTTTGCGTCCTTAAGAGATCCATCAGCATTGAGGGCACATGTGTCAGATTCAGACATGTTGAGTGGAAATATCACTCACCTGGTGGGGCTTGCTCCTTTTAACTGCGAACAAAGTAAACAACAGATCTCCAAAGCGATATGCATCGAAGGATCCTGAAAATATATCAATGTTAAAATAAATTAAAATGTGCACAAGTCCCTGTAGGGTTGATGCATCAAGTCTGTTAGTTTTCAGTAATAGGTAATGCATCAACTCCGTACATTACAAAGCCTCACAATGCATTGGTGATGCATTAGAACATGCTAACTATCAGACTTGAGTACCTTGTGTAGTACTATACTTTGCTCTTCCCCCAGCCGGTTATTGTCCCCGGTAACTTCAAGACGGTAACTTTGAGACCGGCAACTTCATTCATCAGTGATGTAATACAAGGTACACTACATAGGTACCAACAGTAGACAGAAAATCCGAAGCATCAGGGCATATTACCCGGGATCGGTAACATGGCAGTCGGATTGCCCAGTATATCTTGTGGAGAAATAAATGGGGCCCATATGCTGCAAAAACGGGCAGTGAGGCGATGGCGAATATTGGCTTGCTGCGATGCATAAGCACATAGGCCTTCATCCCGGGCAGCAGCCTCACGGCGGGCAGCAGTTCCTTGTTCTTCTCCATTGCAGGGGGCGGACTCGTAGACCTGGAGGACTCCCTGCCCTTCCCACCAATTTGCCTGCCAATTAAAAAATTGCAGGACCCGGCGCATCTCCTCCTGGAGAAGATCTACTTCTTCAGCCCAACGAAGCGCCCTAGCACGGGATTTACACCATTCAACGCGAACACCTAGCAAATACTGAGATTAATTCCACCCAAACGAAAAAAAAATCAAAACAAAGCCTTACCATCGACATCCCCACCATCTGCACAGCCGTCCACACCGTCCATCATCCAAATCCATGTTAGCCTTCGCCTTCCCTCTCCCTGAGTGGCAAATGGATCAATGAGTGGCTTCACATCGTCATCAGAGAGGTCCTGCAACCGCCCGCGCCAATCTACTTTCTTCAGAATGGGTGCGAGACGTTTGAGCGCCCCCCATGCGGTCCTATAGCGCTTCACGCAGGCCGCCTGCCTGGCATGTACACGTGTGAGTGCATTTTGAGCCCGAGTGTTGGCCCCTTGGCCTCGAATCCACTCTCTCTTGAAATTTAAGAGGGAGCAGTGTACACGGAGGCACTGCCTAAGTTCTTCTAAAGCGTCGTGAGCTTGCGCAAACCGCAACTCCCACTCGATATGCTGGAGGTGGGGATCGCAAGCATTGCCATTCAATGCAGACGGGAGCCACAGTTTTATGAGCTCAGCATTATCGAGATCACTGGTTGCTGACGCGGTGACAAGCACTTGCACCGATGGCACGTACAGAAGTTGGGTCTGCCTCCATGAGTCAATCTTTCGACGAAGAGAAATCCTTGTGCGGAGGACACTCAATTTCTGTGTATCTGTGGCATGAACGCCCAGATTGTCGGCTACGACCTTCAAACGCCGTCTTGTAGAAACTTTTAGTGTGGTAAGGGAGACACAGGCTAATCACTCACTGTTCTTCTTCGAGGTCCATACCTGATGCAACGAGTACACTTGGCGATACGTCAGGGTGAAGTGAAAGATCTACACCACGCTCGAGCTCCTCGGCCTCGAGCTGGGCCAAACTCAAGCGCGCACTGGCTTGCGTAATTGCTGGTCGATATATTCAGTAGGGTACACCAAAGAGATATCAAACCAAACTTACTGATGCCTTTCGGCTCTAATGGGTTGGTAACTGTCGTATTGTTCGGGTTTTCCTCCCATGCCTCCATTTCAGCCTTCCAGGCCATGCGGTTTTCAGAAGAAATGACGCTATCAAACTCCTCGAAAGCAGCACCGTGTTCAGCCTTTTCTGTCTGAGCTTCTTTTATCTTGAGCAAGAGAAATGATCCTAAGACCAACTCTATCAGTTTTCACGCATGTAATACCACGCAACTAGAGCTCACCGAGTCCAACCACTTTCTTCCAGTTCCAGTCGCCGAAATGGTCGTCTAGTGTGTCTCGACGACATCCTGGACCCATAGCCTTCGTGCTTGAAGCTACAGGATTGATATTGGACCAGCCTCGCTCTGGTGCCTCGCCATCTGTGCGCCCCACAAAGCGAGTAAAGTTGAACGAAAAAATGGTTTGGCACTTGGAGACGTGCGCAGGGAGATGAAACTTAGGCACAAAAAAACGGATCGTCCTCGCAACATAATTCAAGTGGTGTGAAGGCGGCAAAGACAGCATGCGCGACCAAAGATGCTTGTGCCATTGGCAAGCAATGTCATATGACACGTTCAAGGCATCCACCGTCGAGTGTCGTAGTGATGAGAAAAACAAATAATCCATGTTCAAGTACCTGATTGTGTTTGTCAGATCAGATCATAAAATCAGTGAGAAAACACACTTCTCTCCCTTTTGAAGGTCGCCGACTCCATTGGGACGCTTCATATTATGACGTGCGCAATCAACAGTACCCACTCCCGTTGCCGCAAGTCCTTGAGACGATTTGGTTTCTGCCATATTCACGGCATTATGGTTCGAGCATGTGCTTTTCTGTAAGTTAGAATGGTCAGATGGCATCTTGATGCAAGCGGTGAAGAAACATACCTCTTGTACGTCTCCAATCCTGTCCAAGATGTAAGACTTGTAAGATTTCTCCTCTATGAAATAAGCCCAACCTTGTGAAAGGCTGGGATCAGTCTCGTCGGATGACACGGCACGTCTTTTCAGACGAAAGTTGGCATCAATCGCTAGAAAAAGACCATAAAGCCAACTGGGACATGATCAGCGCTCCCGACCACCTCGTGATATACATCAGACTCACCCTTTGGCCTTCAGGGCATCTTGCCAATCATCTGGGAGATTTTTCCCAGGTTGCAGGACATGCAGGGCATAGCACAGCACACTGATCCTCTGAAGTACCTGCCACACCACTTGGATCATGGCCGCGACCTGAGCGTTTTAACATCACTAAATGACGCCATTGACGAATCATGCGCATGAAAGATTCATAATGGTCCTGAAGCGACAGTGTGAACTGAGAAATTAACACTTAGAGAGATTAAAACTTACCTTTTGTCGCGTCAAGCCCGTGTTGTCTGTTAAACGAACCAGTGAATGATAAAACTCATATGCGGAGGTCTTTGATTCAAAGGATAGGACATGATAGTGATGAAGAACACGAAATGTTGCGGCCAATCGTGGATCAGTAGAAGTCGATGGATACCAACCAGCGCGCAATAGTTGCTTGGTATGTGTCTGGGAGGTCGTGCAACCACAGAAGTCCAGCCCAATCTCATGTACGCCATTTGTGTCAATGAGAACAAATTCATCATTGAATGCTTTCTTTGGAAGAATACACCGTTCGCCAATTGTATGACCAAGCTGTACGCGAAGACCCATAGTTTTCAATGAAATGCGCTGAAAAAATTGACCAGTCCATTCCTAGGAGGCTAATGAGCGATCAGGACTTTCACAGCTAAGAAATAAAGCTGACCTCTATATGATGAGTAGGCAACCATATGTGATACTGGATGATACAGAGACCACAGTATAATTGTGAATCTAAGCAGTCCTGACACCGATATCGAGGGGGAGTCGATGTTGGACATGGACATCCAGGACACACATCAGAAGTGTAACCTCCGCGTCCCTCGTGCCGCAGCAGTTCCGCCAGAAATAAATCGCGTTCATTCATCCAGATGAGAAGGAGGTCGTCCTAAGGTTTCATTCAATGGGAGCAATCACTTATCACTAAATTAAACATACCGCGGGCATTCGCTTGCGCCCTGGTGTATTCTCTGAATCGTCTAGTAGTACAAATGGATCTGGTTCTCCGAAATCATATGAAAGATCACAGAAATCCTCTCCTGGAACAGCAGATTGATTGTCGGGTTCATAAGATGGCGATACGGACATGGTTCCCCGGATTTGCTGCCTAGAAACCTTCAAAATGCCATCTCGGCGGGACGAAAATGTGAAAGAGGCGTGGATTGGTGCTTGGGAACGCTGGTTGGGTGGTGTATAGTGGTTTAGTCGAGCTCGTTTTCGGCTTGGGTTTGATTGCCCATGCCCACGGCTGTTGATCTGGCGGAAGGTCCACGGAAGAGGTGCGGCCTGAATAGTTTGCAAGGAAGGACCCGATGATTCATTGTTGGCACTTGTGCTAGCCCGCATTCCAGTTGACTGATTCAACATCGCAATGGCTGGCTGCAGAACTTTTCGTTTCGAAACTTCTCACGCCAGAAAGACCGGGATCCGACGCAACACGAACAAGACCATATGCCATTGATAAAACTCTACAGAACAACTAAAATAGTGCCCAGGGTTCCACCATCTCCACTTTGCCCTGATCAATAGCCTCCCGAAGCAGCCTCTCCCCAATTGCGATGGATTCAACTTCATGATATTCAGCATTTTGAACGCCCAGAACACAGTTCAATGCGTCTTCCCTAGTAGCATTGATAAATATTATTAAAAAAATGACTGAAACAAACTGGACTTACCAGCCTGCTACGACGCCAATGTGAGAACCACGAACAATATAAAAGAATTGCTTTCGCTTGATTCGCACTAAAATTGTATTAGCGATAAGGCAAATTCAAAGTACTGTTGTTGACACACCTGGTATATTGTAATAGACGCCCTTGTAGCAATGAAGTCGGCATTCATCTGCATCTGCCAGCGATCGTGCTGCATCCTGGAAATCTGAGCTACCTTGATAGACAGTGATGAGATTTGGTGGCGCCGTGGAGACTGCATTATTGATCTGGATGGAAGACGGGATACGCAAGCCTTCAATGAAGAATGGTACCTGGGAGTGCATGATTGTTAGTGCAGGGACTGGAGAGGGACAGTACGTGCCCTCTATAATACCTCTATATAGACCTGCAAAGCGACGTATGTGTCTTGTGGGATCCGAACGTGTCTTGTGGGCATTTGACTTACTGAAATTGTCAAGATTCAGACACGAGGAGCCTGTTCAATACATTTAACACGTATTAGACTTACCAGAAAAGAAACGGTGTGTTGGAGAGAAGCTCGAAGGTCTGAAACTGAGAAGCTCGAAGGTTCTGAAACTTGCATTTGAGTTGCTGAAAGTAGGAGGATAGGATGAACTTAGCCATTGTTCACGGTGGTGTATAGATTACATAATATGGTCCAACCACTTATTTCAGTCCGACCATACAGTTCACAGCTGTAAGTATCAGTTATAATTGAAGCCATTCACCTACATGTCGCAGCTGAGGACCACCGTGATCCATGGAACAACAATGCAGTGATATGTTTACCTATATATGAGTCGCCATGTGTGGACAACAGCTCAGTTTTGCATCCAACTACTGGGTGGCATCACGGCGTCACTTCATTCACACTGAATACTAACTTGAATGAATGCTAACAACAGCTCGAGTTCAGGGGAACTCGTTAATCCTCATGCTACATAGGTAAGTCTATGATGAAATTATCGCGAAAGCATGTCATGATGATGTATATATCACTCCCAGGCAGGTATCTTTAGTCCATTCCTCTGAGATAGCAAGTCTCTCTCGGACTTACCGTCTTACTGTGTTTTATGGTCCGACCGTCTGCAGCATAAGTGCTTCCTAGGTGAGTCTACAATCATATTTATTGACAAAGGTATGTCATCATGATATATATACTACTCCCAGGTGTCTTTTGTCTATTCTTTCTGAGTATGCAAGTCTCACCCCGACTTATCATCTTACTGTATGTTTTATGGTCCGACCTTCACACCAATCGAAGACTCGTTGTTTGGGTCCAAATAGTGTAAGGGTCTATTTAAATGCTTCGTTCTTTTGCTCCTCACGATCCAAGGTTACTTTGCAGTCCCTCCATTTTTCACCATGGCACGCCCAACATTATACAAAACTCATCAGGCTAGACTACAAGCAGCGAGAGAAAAGTGCCGTCGTCATTATCAAAAGTAAGTGATGAAGTGACGGTATCTAGGAGTCAAGTTAACCAAAAGACTCCCCAGGTTTCGAGAGTCTATCCTGGCCAAGAGGCGTCAGTCACGCAAAGAAAAAAAATCTCAAGGCAATGAACCTTCAGACGACGAAGATGAACCAATGTATGTACTGCGTAGACTTGGTTGTGTTAAGGTGTCTGACTTTTACATCAGCGAAACCTTACATGACTGCATTGCTACAGTTAAGTACGCCAAGGATGACTTCATGGCCTATGTGAAAAGTCCACGACGATTCTTCGACCTCCTCGTGGATGAGTACTCCAAAACGATGCCTGACCCCGAGTTACACCCTACCGTGAATGGAGACAAGTCTATATTCGAGCGCGCTATCACACGCTTGGAAGACTTCCTCGACCAAGCTAATCGCGGGCTTGATGGTATCCTTCAGATGTGTGGTGTGAGTGATGAGTGGCGTGCTGCGGATGGTGTCTGCAGGTTCATGAGGGAGATGATAGGGATGATCGAAGACATCTTGTTGCGTCTGGCGGAGGGCGGAGACAGTGAACTATCAATCGCTTTCATGGGGAATGAGTTGTGGTACCAGGAGTACAAATTCCCCGTCTAGTTAGTACATGCCCTGTAGAGCTTCTATCTTGGTTTGCAAGACCTCCAGAATACAATTACAGATGACAGTTTGAAGTGTAGGGGGGCTATGCGCAGATCTCTTTGCGAAGACATGTGCAGGCGCACGGCTCTGTGATTCAACTGCTCTCTTCTCACCATGTCCATGTCGCAGATTGCAGTCCTCACGCGTGACCAGCGCGATATGCTTAAAACATTTTTACCTGCTTTTAAAATTGCTCGTTCCGGGTCAGTGGAAGAGCGGGAATTTTTTTGGGAGAGCATTTACTCCCAGTGGTTCGCAACTTGGCCTGAACGTGCTGTGCATTTTGGGGAGATACCTCACGATCAATTGTTGTCTGACCTGCAGGAGACATCACTCATTGAAGCCATTAGGCGCCATCGTCGAGTATGTCGCGACTCATTTCATGTTAAGGGGGACATATATTGACTGTAGGAGAAGCGCCTTCAGAGTTTTGTACTTATGAACACGTTGTATCAAGAGACACGTGTGACGCTGAAGGAGCATTTTCCTGCGAGGAAGTCGAGAAGGTGAGAGATTCTGGCTGGGTCTTGTACTACAAAAATTGATTCAGTATATCAGGGGATAGACGAGGTAGTCAGTCTGTGTGCACACAAAGTGAGAGGATGCGGGCGTGTCATTATATGCATTATATGTGTAGATCTAGTGTAGATATTGAGAACTTGCCTTGCGCAGCGCATAAATGAGTTAAATTAGTGAAGCTCTAGACATATATATTATCAATAAGGACCGCACAGAAGAAGTTGAGGATCACCGTACTTGAATCTTGTCTCCCGTGGTTGTTTGCCTCCCCAAGATTGACCGCCATACCCGTGAAAGTGCGCTCCATGCATTTTCTTCATTTTTTAAAAAACTTACCCTGCTACAGATGGCGGGCAAGAAGTGGGCTACTCCAGAGCAAGAGGAATTTCTCCTCAGCTTCATGTCTGAGTTCCGCGAGAGTGCCGCAACCAAGAACTACGATGATTTCTTCACGCGCATCTGGGCTCTATGGTTCGAAAGGTGGTCTGAGGAACGTGTCATCTTCAAAGACATGCCAGATGACTATGTTCGCACCCCGGACGACATTAAGGCTCTGGCAAGAGCAGTTGAGATGCGTCAGCAAGTAAGAACATGCACGAAAACCAGATAAAACACATACTGATTGATTTTACAGCAACTGGTTACCTGGTATAGGTGGCAGATAAACCCTGCACGTCATGCTCGCTCAAAAGGGGCCAGGGGCAGTGCTGAAATTTGATACCGTCTTAGGTGGGGGCGTGGAACTCAAAGGTACACGGGCACCCCAAAAAATCGATATTTACTCGCACAAATTCTATGAAGCGAAGGTTAAGAATGTTGCAGACAATGCGATTACAACAGAAAATATCACCAATAGAGGCCCGAAGCTGAACAAGCGCCGTGAGATCACGCAGGCAGATGTACTTGGAGGAAAGCTGAGTCTGTCAAAGCGGATATTGATAGGAAGTATCGCAAGGCGAAAGCAAATTTCGCAAAAAAGCGCCAGCAGCTGAAGTCTGGGAAGCCATTAAAACTCGATGATGCCACAAAAGTGAAGTACGTACCTACTAATCAATTGAATGTCACATTACTGACTTCAATCCTCTGCGGTAGAGCTATTCGGGAGCTAGGTCCAATGCTTGACCGCATCCTCAAATATCTCGCGCACATTACGGGCGGGTGGAAGTTTACGGTTCTTATGGGAGGTCGTGATCCTAGGACGGGTGAAACATCAGTTTTCAAGTGAGCAACATTCGCAAACATAAGGAAAACTGTGCTTATCGTAATCAAGCTATCACGTAGGTGAACTTCAAAGTGGTGCCCAGTTCAATCGTGTGTACAAAGACTTCGATGGAATGCAAGCCGCATTCCTAGCATTCGTTCAAAACGCTCTCGGTATGGCTGAAGTTTCTAAATTCAGAAACACAGACTTACGTGCTCCCCAATCAGCATTTGAGTCTACCCTACCACATGATGAGACAGCAGAGGATGAAGACGAAGAGTCCTCATCAGACTGGGACTTTGACGAAGATAACAACAATAGACGAGGAAAGAGTGTTGAGGAGGATATGAGTCAAGTCGAGGATCTTGCACTCTTTGATACAAACAACCTGTATCGCATGACTCCCCAATCTGCCAGTGATGAAATTCTCGAGGATCACGCTGTGAGTAATAGCTTACCAATATGCAGTGAAATGTGTCTCACCGTGCGCACAGAGTGGCTCACATACTACTCCATTGGATACCCTCTTGGATTCTGCATTGCCCAAAGCGTTTCCCACAACTGCTAGCCAGGCATCAGCTGATGCATCAACGGCGCTTGGCAGCATGGCTGGAACTGTCGATAATTCATCGCTCACTACCAAATTTCTTTCTCACTCTACTGCTTTCGACCCCATCGTAGAAGGCACCGCCGATTTCTCTGCCTTTGATCCCCATGCCTTCGCTGCTATTGTCAACAATCCCTACTTTGAGCCTGGTGTCCTTGACAATGACTGGTCCATGCGGGCCCTTGATACTACCGACAAGTTGTCAGATTTGCCTGCGCAGTCTCCCACCAACCTGACATCTCCAGACGACTGTGATTGCCCCCCATCAAATCAAGAAATGGAGGTGCTGCTCCCTGCTGTCCCATCTGCGAATAGTGAGGAAGGACAGGACGACGATTCACTTCTCAACCAGCCGGAGGTTCATCCTCGCCGTGGGGCACGCAGACGGCGTGTTGACAGATCCCCGGCTCCTACATCATCCATGGACCCACCTACATTGCCAGTGCACATGGAGATGAACGCGCCTCGTCTCCGTGCGCGTAACAATGTTCCCTTCAATCCACGAGAGCGTGATAACAACATTGGAGTCCCGGCACGTCGTGCTCACCCCGCAGACTCACGGAAGTACGTCCATTTTATTTTGTTGCAAAAACACGCTAATAAACTCCACAGAAAGGCTCGGCACTCTTGAATGGTAGGGTTGTGAGAGTCCGGTCAATGTCCTACATTTAGAGTGTGTGTATATACTTGTAACAACGTCCTGTATCAAATATTGTGTCGCACCTGCAATACAGTTATTTTGACTCCATACTACATAATCAGAACAAGGTGGCGGAATGGAGTGAGGGACTTAGTGAATTCAAAGCTTGAACGGACTTAGTGAATTCAAGGCTCACACAGACTTAGTGAATTCAAAACTCGAACCCTATTACTAATCCCAACAGAGAGCTGGAACAGGTAAGAGGCCTACTTAAAGTGAATACTGAGTACTGAGTAGCCGAACGCCAAAGAATTAGAGTATGTAAGCAGAAAAAGACAGAAAGAGACCTACTAAAGTGAGTACTGAGTGGCCGGATACCAAAGAATTAGAGTATGTAAGCAAGGTACTATCAGGGCGAAGCGGGAAGCAAGGAGTAGGTAAGCAAGGTACTGCCGGGAGCAGGGTATATAGGGCACGATGGATGGACGAGTGCTAAATATGGATGGACGAGTGCTAAATATGGACAGCACAGCCCAAATATGTACCGGACAGATGATGCATCACTGTCAGATCCCTGATGCATTAATAATGCATCACACAATGAGCAAGCTTGATGCATCACAAAGCTAGGCTACTTAGCCTGCTCTAATGCATCAATATTACACTATTGCCTGAAATGTGCTTGATTTGACAGTTGATTCGTACCTTGAGCCTTATTTGAGAGCCGGGGGTGCGGGATGCGAGCCTCCGGACAGAATTCAAAGTTGGTGCAAATCTTGAGGATCCCAGAAGTTAAAGTGACTATGAGGGCAGAAGTTGAAGTTGAAGTTGAAGTTGAAGTTGAAGTCGAAGTGACCATCAGCGTGTGCCTCACTGATATCGCGAGGACACTTCAGTTCGGGGTTCAGAACAGTTCGGGAAGGTCTGAACCTATGCCCGAACCGTTCGGGTGATGGTGGACCGCGGACCTCATTCTGGTCCGGTCCGTCCAAAACTTGGAACCATGGACCGGACCACGGCAGCACTAAATTCAGCGAGGTCTATTTTTTCCACGTGAAATTTCTCAATGGAATGAAGGAGACTGCGCCAGGCAAGTTTCACAGGTTGATGGCTGATATTTTTGAGGCAGTCCAGTAAGTTCTTCAAGGTCCAAGTGTGCCATGCCTAATTCTTAATTCATTGAAAGGAAACTCTGCACCAATGGCGCTGCCACCTTATCCTCACACGATGATGCGATGGCATTCCTCGATCTTGACGGCATGGATGATGACGAGTAGTTCTAGATGTCTGTCGTCTCGCGCCGCAATACCCATCTATCACTATCGCTATAAATACCCTCCTTTCTCGTTTATTGGTTTCTATAAATATGTATACCCTCGTTTAATCAAACTCTAATTTGTTTTTGTAAACCGGATGATCCAGTGAAACTTGAACAACTAAGCACATATTATTGATTGTAAGTTTGCCTGAAGCTTAACAAAATTATCACTAATTTAGCTTGCACGAGCAATTCCTTGTGGGGCAGTATTAACAAATTATCACTAATTTAGCATGCATGAGCAATTCCTTGTGGGGCAGTAAAAAAGTCACTCTAATCCGCTAAGTTGTCTATCTTATAGAAATTATCACGAATTAGAGAAAATTTGACATACTTAGCCTAAATTTGTAGCGGAAGGTTTTCCTGATGCGTCGCGTTCAAGGATGCAGCGGCGCCGTGAACAAAGGGAAAGCCATTACTTATCCTTTTTTTCTGGCAACGAGCGTGATTGCAATAAAAGATATAAGGTACGTAGTGATCTAATAACGGGTGTGATTCGGTAGGGTGGTTCCAATCCTTGAACAGTGGGGACGTATCTAATGCCCAACAGCATGGATGATAGAGTCGAGGAGCATATCGTTATGGTCACCACCCGTCTCCCACAACGCGAAACCGCGTAGCCCGGCGTTCTTAATATACTTGCCCTTGGCAGCATACGATTGAACGTTGTCGAAGGATATCATAACTTGGGAGGTCTCATTGTACACATACGGCTGTAAAAGCAATGGAATGAGCACTCCTCCTTCAGCGTGGAAAATGATACTTACCGTCTGACTGCAGTTGTCATATCTGTAGTGAATGCAATCAGCAGGCTTGCCTTTTGCGGTGAGGAAACCGCCGTCAATGAGGCCCCGGAAGTTGAAGGTGCCGCCTGAGCCCGACCCATATACGCCACAAGCATCGTAACCACCAGCAGTACTGTTATCCCATGCATCACCCAAGGGCTGGTTCGAGGCGTTGAAAGCGGGGTATGCAGCTAGCGTCTTCTTGTCGGACGCGAAGGCGTCAGAGGGCGAGACACTGTATGAGTGACCATAGGTAGGAACGCCGAGTACGATTTGATTGGCCGGGATTCCTGCATCCGACCAAGCTTTAACTGCAGAAACAGCAGAGCCCTTTCGTGCCCCTGCCGCGATACAGGTGTCGTCCAACGGTGCATTGGGCCCAACAGTCGGGGACCAAGGGCCCCAAACGTCGTAATTCATCAGGACGATGTAATCGAGGACCTTGGCAAACCCACTGACGTCAGTAGAAGGATGTCCGGTAGCGTCATAGAAGGTTTTCACATCTACGGCAGCCGAGAGAGTGAGTGTTGCTCCTACTGGGTTTTGGCGAAGCTCCTGGAGGAATGCGAGGAAATTTGCTGTATCGTTCACGCTAATGGTGTTACAGCCGAGTCCCTGATTGTTTGGGTACTCCCAGCTGTCGGAAACCAAGGACGACTGAGGTCAGCGCGTGAGGTCGGAGTCACAAGATTCAACCTACTCGACCTGAATGCCATCAAGGTTGTACTTTGAAGCAAAATTTGTTACGGTCTGGACAAATGCCGTCCGGTTTTTGGCAGTGGCAAAGTTAGAAGAAAACCAAATACTCCCAGTCCAGCCTCCGACAGCAATATGAGCCTCAACATCCTGCGCTTGCATTAGACATCAATTGTAGAAGCGGTAAATCCTTGTTTGCTCACATGTGCATGGGCCTCAGAAACGAACTGTGGGAGCAGCTCGCCATCAGAGCCTACCAGGCTCAGACTGGAGACGTCATTGGTAGTTTCTCTAAAAGACATGATCACGTTAATCACCCCATCAAAGTTATTTGCTTTATGTCAAGACAGGCAACTTACGCAAATGAGTAGTACATTGTATTGTACTTCTCCCAGCTAACTGAAGAGAGCGGGGCTCCTTCAGTTGCATGCCATCCGGTATACCAAGATGCTGAGATGGGTGTAGTGGAACGGGCGGTAGGGGAACGGGCGGCGAGCGGACTCGCGCTTACAGCGGACAGGACAATAAGAGGTAAAACGAAAGTAGGTAGCATGATAATGCAACTTGAGAGACTGGGGGAGATTGTGACCGCGTCGACAACTTCTTATAGCTATTCCGCCACCCTGAGTGAAACCAAAATTGAGTCAGGCTACGAGGTTGTTGCTTTCGGGGCTAAATGGTTAATCAGATCTATGCGGTTGCAAATCCGAAGGCTAGGATCAAGTGATCCTGCGGTACGAGGAACTCCCAGGACTCCTATACCATGGAAATGGTCCCGACTTCCCGACTTCCCGGAGGTTCCGGTCATCGCAATTTGGTTTCCTGGTGTTTTCGAGAGAGACGATCGTCAAGAACAACAACTTCATAACGCAATCTATGACAATACTTTGCATAGAATTGCCATTTGATCAGTCCGAATCCATCTCTAACATTACCTACAAAACTGCGTCGCCATCTCTTAGTATACACTCTCCTTCAAAAAGTACACGGTCAGACATCCCGTTGTCTTTGATGTACTGAACGCAAGCAACATCAGTTGCTCCTGGCTGGCACCATACAGCGGGAATCGAAAGCTCCTCGACTTGTTTCAATAGATTGATAGTGATCTTGTCAAACGCGTATTTAGCAGTAAGGCTGAACGTGGCAATATACAACTGACCTTAGCGGGTGTTATGATGCTCACTGACGTTTCGGTTGGGTTCGGGAGGTCAGTCAGTGACCGTATGGTCTTTATGCCCTCCAACTCGTCATTCATCGGGTGGACCGGAGTTACTGGCCTGTTCCGCTGGATGTACCATTGCAGAACCTATAGACGATATCATAATGTCTGTGACAAAACTTGAAACCAGGAACTACCTTTGTGCCGAACTTTGACTGATCGGTAGAAGACAGAAAGTGCTTTTGCTTTTGAATAGTGTTTGCCATAGATGAAAGAAACCTGAAATGCATATCTGAATTCTGCTGTGTGTGAAACCGTAAACGGTGTGAATAACGTTGCAGCTCAACAAGGAAGTACCCCATTTAGCCGCCGTGAAGCCTTGTCTAGCCTTGTGTGCAGATCTCGACTTTGATTTCGTGCTCATACATAAACTTGTGGAGAGTAATAAAGAGAAAGCTGATTCACTTCGCGGGACGTGGCATTTATATCAAAAGCCATGAACAGCACTGATCCTTGCAAAGACAATAAAATTAGATCTTGAGCAGGCAGGATACGGTTCGAGGAGTAAAACGTTTAACCTGATAAAGTTACTGAACATCTAAGCCACAGCGGACAGGTCCCCGACGCGAAATACCGAAGACCGTGCGTATCATAGTGCTGGCGACATTTTGTTGGACCGTGCCACGACCATGGAATGATTCACTGCCCAAACTAATGATAACATCTGATGGTATCTGAAGTCGCAGATGGAGAGACCAGCGATGACCGGGTGGTGATTTGCCTGCAGAATGTAGCACGGCGCGTCCAGAGCGCGAAGCGTCACGTGAGCGAGCCGTGGGAGTGTCGCGCACGGGCCATATCGAAAAGATATATAAACCTGGGACCCAGCACCTTGAATCCTTAGAACATACTCAGCTAGGATCTATTTTATAGAAACTAACTCGAGTCTCGCATGTTTACACATGCCACATCCTTCAAATCCACTCGATGACAACCGCGCTCTCTCGTTCGACAGAGAACATGGCCTTTGCGTTCAACGCGGGGTTTCGAGGACGTTTGGTTCTGTTCTTCGTGCGACTGCTTGCAGTTTAGCGAAACGGAGCCAGCGAGTTGAGCGTCTGTCTGATGGATTTCTATTACATACTATATTATCTCTAGCTAGTTAACGTTGAATGTACACGGTCAGATTTGTTTCTTGAAAATTTTACTTGAGAGAATACTCTCCACGTGCACACAATCTTAATCAGAGACGCCTTTGAGAACATTCGTCGTGCGCATGTCTGAGGGACTAAACTATCCTCGAGAGTACCGATGAGCAGACTGCCAAAAAGTGCACTGATGAAGTACGCTGTCTGGAGCGCAATGCACAAATAATGCTTCGTATTGGATGTGCAGATGCGAACGCCTGGAAGCTCTTGTCGACACCATTACAATTGATGAGCTGTAAATTCGTGCTTAAAATATGGAGAATATATACACCAGTAGACGAGCACTTATGCGAGGGAGGCCATGATGTCATATTTTGCATGTCAGAAGTCGCAGACAAGTAAAAGGAGAGAAAGCAAAGCATGGACATCGAGACATATCCATTGTATCGCGTACGTTGCCTAATCCCACCCGCTAGCAGCGGCGGGTTCCGCTCCCCATCCACCTGTAGCAGGCTCCGCTGACCAATCGGTGGTACCAGGTGCAGCATCTGCTGCCCAGTCGAGAGCACCTGAAACATATGCGTAAACGTAGGTAATATCCCGACGCGGCACCTGTACTCACCACCGTCTTGGGCGACAAGAGCAGGGTTGATCGAGCCTGGCTGAGGAGCGGATGCAACGTCCCACTCCGACAGACCACCCTGGGCCTCTGGCTCGGCAGCTGCAAGCTTAGCCTGTGCCTCCTCCTGTTGTTGCCTCTCAACTTCATCAGGGTCGCGGTAGAAGAACATGTCAACCATGACATTCCAGCCATCAGGGGTGCGAGGGATTGTCCCACGGAGCCTCAACACCTCCCGTGCGAGCAACCACCAAATCAAACCAATCGAATGACGAGTCTTGTTGTTCGTGGGGATGGCAACGTCGACGAACTTGAGAGGTGCATCCGTGTCGCAAAGAGCAATGACGGGGATGTTAACATACGAGGCCTCACGAATTGCCTGGTGGTCAACGCGAGGGTCGGTGACGATAATAAGACGGGGCTCTTTGAAAGAGCGGGTGATGTAGTTCGTGAAGGAACCGGGGGTAAAACGGCCGGCAATGGCTTGTGCGCCAGTGTTGGCAGCAAACTTGAGGACCGCACGGTGTCCGTAGGGGCGAGCAGAGATGACACAGACATCGTTGGGGTTCTCGACAGCGGCGATTACGCGTGCAGCAAAGACAAGCTTCTCCCAAGTCTTGCCAATGTTAAGGATGTGGATGCCTGTGCGCACAAAAATTCAAGAGTGCAAATGGATTACGTGCATTAGAGGTATGAACAGGATTTAGAGGGCGGACTAACCGTCAACGCGGCGCTTCCAGACGTAAGGCTCCATCTGCTTATCGCAGTTTTTCGTGCCAATGTGACATTGCGCTGCCAGGAGGAGCTGGATCTCCTCGTCAGTTGCGCTCAGGACGGAGGGAAGTTTTGACGACATGATGGGCCTAGACACAGCGATAGGGATCAGTATAATGCTCGTCGTCTAAGATGATTTCCTATATAGCCCATATATTCTACCAACATAACGCATCCATCCACCTTCTACACCATCAATCCACCCGATCCACCAATGAAAACTGCGCAAATTGGGACAATAGGATGTTCAGACATACCGTGAGCGTGGTTTTGTGCTGGACGTCGGCTTGCTACGACGTTTGGCTGGGGGGTTTCGATTCCTTTGAGCTCGCTATGCTCCCTCGGCAGTGTTTAGAGGTAGTATGCTTAGACAGTCCGCTCGGTAACTACCGCATCATTCCCACGCTCCGTGATTGGTTAGCAACCCGCAGCGCTCTGAGCTGTTCTATTCATCTAGCTCATTTTTGTTGTTTCTCCACGAACTATGTTTCCTTGCTTTGGACGCTAGCCTGGTCTTATGGTGGTCAACTCAGAAGTACAAGGGTGTGTCTCGAGCTTACGGACCTTGACGAGCACTACACCTTCACGATCTCGAAGTCAGAATTCTTAACTGGTTGGTTACTGGACCAACAGTGTCCCTTATCTTGAAGTGCAACATAGCCCTAGTCAGGGACGCGGTGGTCGCGTCAGGGGTCACAAGATTCACAACTGGCTAGTCAGGACCCATCATTTCTGTCATGTTGCGAGAAAAAACCTTACAAGATTAGGTCAGTACTATCACCCCTGCTGCTCTCGTCAGCCATTCACTTCTTACACTAGACTTAAAACGACTCTTGGACGGTTAGCAACATATTCAGACGACGGTCAACTTGAAGTAAAGATCTCTGGAATGTCCGGAAGCGCGTTGATTTTGGGTTGTGGTTGGTTACTTTCTCACTTCACGGCGTGGTGGAAATAAAAATATATCTAAGTATATTTAGTCTGTTCCGAAGATGCTCATGGAACGCGTAATATGGCATCGTTTTTCTCTCTTGAGCAGCAATCCATGAGATTCCATGTTTGTTCTGGGCGATGTTCGTGATAACGCTGGCGTATTTGGCAAGGATTAGCCTAGTAGTGTAAGCTCTATGTTTCTAGCTCGCCAGCCTCTGAACATATTCTTGTGTGACCGGCTGGCTAGCCGCAAGGCTTACACGACAGTGACAGTGTGGGCTCATTGAAGGTGGTAGGCGAGGAGACACCAATAGACGATGGTGTAATCTCGGCTTGGCAGCAACGCCAGCGGAAGTATATAACCCGAGCTATTACTCGCGTGTGGCTGTACATCCTATATAGCTCAGCCTTTCACAACACTCTTTCAGCTTTCTCGGTTTCACCATGGCCCTCTACGCACGTCACCCCCGATTCACGGTCGTCCTTCTCATATTAATCTTCATTTCGATGCTCATGTTTGCGAACGATTCGCCTCTTAGCTCAGTACGCTCAATGGCCTTCAGCACCAGGGGCTCCGCGCTTGCAAAGGAACTTGCATTGGACGAGATGTATTATAGCGAAATGCTGAAACGACGCCAGCAACTTATTAAAAAATGGGGACCAACACCCGACAAAGTTGACCCGTGAGTTCGCAATTCTCTCATGGGATTCTGATTACACTCCTTGAATCAATGTTCCCTCAGGTTTCCCTCCCATGGCGAGTTTTACACGCTCTGTGAGTAATTATGCCCATAGGAACACGTGGTGGTGGAGCTAGGGCTTATGGGTGCTCGTAGGGGACTTCTTTCTGCCGTCATTTAGTTGCCCTCATCGCGTCGAGCGAATTGGGATTATGGGCGATGGAGGTAAATGGGTCTGTGGACTAGAACGCATAGCTCCCAAAAGCCAATGCAGAATATATTCTTTCGGTGCGGTCATTTGCCTTCGTCTCCTTGTAATAATTGCTGATAGTCGATTAGGGGTTAATGGCGAGTCATCTTTTGAGGCGGACCTCATGAAGGCAGCGCCTGGCTGTCAGGTTTATGGTTATGATTTCAGTGTCGGTTCCGTAGGTTTTCTCTCTCAGCGTCAGCGTATATGAATTGACGTACGCGACTCTTGCAGTTTGGTCCTGAGATCGAAGAAGACAATGATTTGAAATCACGCTCTCACTTTTTCTCATACGCGCTTGGACATGAGGACAAGCACACCGCAGCTGACAACCCAAAAGTGTACACCCTTCGCACTCTCATGGAAAAGAATGGACACGATTTCATTGATATCCTTAAAGTTGATATTGAGGGCAACGAATTTGACTCGCTGTCAACTTTCATCGACTCTTTCCATGGTGAACCGCTCCCATTCGGCCAACTCCAGATTGAAATACACGTGTTCCCGAGTAGTGCTTGGAGTGAATTCCCGAAGTTCCTCGGGTGGTGGGAAAAGTTGGAAGCTGCTGGCTTGAGACCGTTCTTCTCTGAGCCAAATCTCGTTTATATGAACCTTGTCAGAGGTGTTCGCCCAGACCTTGTAGAGGTATGTGTCGCTATTTTCATGTCGATTTATCAGCATTGACGTTATTTCAGTACTCCTTCATTAATATTCTCGGTGATCATGAGCTGGTGTCCAACCGACCCTCACCTTCGCTATCCCACTAAAAGTCTACAGTGTAGATGCATTGTTTATGTATCATAATCGGACACGCATCATCATTCCTTTCTACTGTATCGAACATTTATTAGTCTCGGCCATGGGCAGTATCAATTACGCCGATCCTTATTTCGTTTGTTCCTTACCCCTGTAATTGGGAGAAATGCATCCTTTATATTTGCTTTATATAGGGGTTCAGCTGCATGGCAGCTAGGTGTACAGACAACTCTTAAAGACCATTCGTTTGTTGCGAAGCATGTCAAATGTAGTTACCACGCCCAAAATCTGCCTCGCAGTCAGATACGTATACCCCTAAACCCCCATTTACTCTTATCTGCGATGGTGGCTAAATTAGCAGCCCACAAGTTTAACGACGGAATGCCAGTTCCCGACCTCGTCGGTCTCGCGGGACGACAATAGATTTAAAATAGGCCAACCCGCCCTTGTGACTTAGTCAGACGGATCCCCTTTCTCGCATTTAGTTATGAGGAGTCTGAACCGCTTTCTTCTGAACGCCATCCAAGCCAGACGAGCCCCCACTCTTCAACGCACTTTCCACTCCACAACTCCAGCCACCATGCCTCGCACCGCTGCGACAGAGAGCTTCAAGGTGAGGAAACGTAACTTGTACTAATAGAATGAAAACTAATTCGAGATACCGTAGTTTAACCACACCATGATTCGTATCAAGGACCCGAAGCTGTCCTTACCTTTCTACATGGATGTAAGTTATCCTGCTGTGGTAGTGCAGCCGGATCGACTAAGTACTATCTCTCCAGACCCTCGGCATGGACCTGGTTTCTGGTGAGATGAACTTCAAATTCCCATGTTGATGAGCGTACCACGGAATATATGCGACAGAGCAGAACATGGGTGACTTCACCCTTTACTTCCTTGCCTTTGATCACGACGGGATTGCCTCTCTCCCGGCCGAGCAGAAGGCCAAGGCCCGTTTCAACCGCGAGGGTAAAAATTGCCTCCTATCAGGCGTCATCTCTGATAAGCTCACGTGCACATATTTCTGTACCAGGCATCCTTGAGCTCACTCACAACCACGGCACGGAATCCGATCCGAACTTCCAAGGTTACGCCAGTGGTAACGCTGAACCTGGCAGGGGTTTTGGCCACATCGCTATCACCGTGAACAATATCGAGGAGGCATGTGCGCGTTTTGAGAGCCTCGGGGTTCCTTTCAAAAAGCGTCTCACCGACGGTAAGATGAGGCACATTGCCTTCATCTTGGATCCCGATGGGTGTGTTTTACTGTTGATGTCCTTGGTACTGTTTCGCTCACTATGATGCTTTAGCTACTGGGTGGAGGTTGTTCCTCAGGCGCTGAGCTTGTGAAGAGTGTTGTAGAACAAATTGAAGCAGTGGTCAAGCTGATAAAATCCAAGTTGTATCATTAGCACTCAGCTTGAAAGTATGTGTCTGTGTCTACCAAATTTCAAATCCGAACGCTGCGGAGTTGCATAGTACTCTCGGCGATTGAGGTGATTCGTAACAGCGCGATGCTCAACTTGACCGAGATCTCCGCAAGTAGTTTCTAACCTGAAACTTCAAAGCTCCCGTCCGTTGCGCCCCTGACAGTATTACATCGCAGAATAATGCTCCCTTGACAATGCCCGGTCAGCATCCGAGGAGTGACAATATCGAGTTGACAGGATGAAGATGAAGATGCGAGCAAATATTTGCATCTTCTAAGCCGCATTGTTAGTATAGACTTGCCTGCCTTTCCAGATGTCAACCAGAAATTCGACTCATAGTCGCTTGCGGATTTCCGTGGATTTTGGATTTGATGCGTGCTACCTGTTGCTGAAAGCATGGTAGCACACAAGTGACCGTTCCCTAGCGCACTCCTGCTTCAGCCTGAGAAAGTCGGTTGAAGCGAAGTCTCGGTGGCTGTGTTATCTATATCGGATGATCCCATGCATCATGTGAGCAAGTGACTGTATAAGTTGCCACCACGATGCCTTCTCGAATTCATTGAATCATTCAGCAGTTTATCCTATATCCGAACCTTACCAAACCGCATCAAGATGAGCTCAGCGTTTTCTTATTGATCTAGCAGGTACCTGAAAACGTCATGGGCAAGTGTCTTTATTGTATATATTATGGTGCTTCTATAAAAGCCATGGTTTCGAATCTTTCCATGCACCTCAACCGCGTGCATGATGATGCACTTTGCTCTTCGGACGCTTTTCGTGTCATATCTAGCGCCTCTGGCTGCTGCACGGGTCTTTGACCTCTCTGAGTTACAGTGGACGCTCAGGAACCAGAATGGTTCTATTGTCGTGCCAGGCTCCTTACCCTCACAGGCTCACCTTGATCTTTTTGAGGCTGGTATCATCAATGAGCCATTACTAGGCATCAATGGTGCGTTGCGTTATGTGCCAATTATGCAATTTCTCATTCGTTGCAGAGTTCACGGAAAGATGGGTCATCAACGACAACTGGACGTACACCGCGGACTTGACTCCCTTCACCCAAAATTACAAGAACGACACGTCCAGAAACACGCTCCTTGTTTTCTATGGAATTGACACTATTGCTAACATTGTCTGTGGTGATGTTCACGTATAAAGTTATCCGTGCGTTGACGCAACCGATCATCTAGACGTTTGCCGGCCATCCCGTGGCTTGGGTCAACAACCAGTTCCGGCGTTACACCTATGACGTCTCAGACTACTTGAGTGCTCCTGTCGGAGAGGATAACAACTTGACGATCGCGCTCGAGAGCGCATGGTATTACGGACTGAACGTGACAATGCGACCAGATGCCGAATACTTCCCCAATACTCCAGATGTCGCTACTTCGGATAATGTATGCGCATAGTTTGTCACTGAAACACCTCTGATATTTGCTTCAGTTTGAATACCCTAACGTTCGTATGTGGATCCGCAAGATCGACGACGACTTTGGCTGGGATTGGGTGCGTTTCACTATTTCGCTCAATCTATGTGACTTTCTAAGTCTTAACAGGGTCCAGCGTTCGTTCCCAGTGGCGTCTACAAACCAGCCTACCTTGTGACGCTCTCTGAATCTGAAGCTCAAGATCCAACGTCTGATGCTGCGTCATGCCCTGTAACGAGCAGTTCCGTCCTTCTGGACGAAACTTCTCTCGATATCTACAAGTACGGCCAAAATCCATCTGCTGCCCCTGATCAATCTGCGGACTGGGTTCTTAACGTTACGTTTGGCATTCGCTCAATCAAATCGTTCGAGAAGCCGACTGTCACTCTGTCCATCCCAGAACTCAAGCTCACGTCGGAGCCGCTGGACCTCGGATCCATTCCTGTTAACATTGATGAAAACACATACCTGAGTGTTAATTGGTCTATTCCAGACAGTGTTCCTGAAAGATGGTATCCAATTGATCTTGGTGCCCCCAAGCTCTACAACCTAACCGTTACTTTGGACCCATCTCCAGGTCAGGGCGATGGACCAAGTGCTGGATCGATTACTCAGACTATCACTACTGGCTTCCGCACCATTCAACTATTGCAAACCCCTTACTCTGCAGAGGAGATCGCGTCGCGAGGTATTACCCCAGGTGACCAATGGCATTTCGCTATCAACGGAAAGGCTTTCTACAGCAAAGGAACGAACATAATCCCTTTCGATCCCTTCTACTCGCGCATAAAACCCGAGGCAGTTCGTTGGGTCCTGGAGAGTGCTATCAAGAGTGGTCAAAATATGGTAACACACCTTTTATAGTCACAGGAAGACTAGTTTAAGATGATTTGCTCCCTAGCTTCGTGTTTGGGGTGGAGGCATTTATCAGCCATCCGATGCTGCAACCGATGGAGGGTTGTATGCCTTCTACAGTCTTTGCGATGAGCTTGGTATACTTGCGTGGTCGGAGCTCATCTTCTCTGACTCGCTATACCCCATTAACGGCTTCCTGCTGGAATCTATCGAGCCTGAAGTGCGTCAGAATGTTCGCAGGGTTAACAGGCACCCAAGTAATGTACAATGGGCCGGTGGCAACGAAATTGAGGGTATCGTGATGAGCGCCAACACCTCCCTGGCTAATGGCACCCATTACCTGGATGAGGTCCGTATTCTACCGTTGAAAGCATACTGCCCGACTGATTTTGCTCCGCAGTTCGTTTATTTGTTCCAGGATTACTTGCATGATATCGTGCTTTCCGAGACGAACTCTGTCCCGTACACTGACTGTTCGACAACTCACGGGGTTCTAAGTCTCGATCCATACGTCCTTCGTTTTGCAAATGGTACCCCAGGATACATCTATGGGAATACTGGTATGTCCTTGGTTTATTTTGATCGAATGACTCTCCAATACCTTCTTCAAAGAGCGATACAACTACAATGCATTGGAGGCTTTTGACCTGACAACGTACCCTGTTGGTCGGTAAGTCCAAGCACAGACCCTTGTACACCATCGTACTGAAGAGAGACTGTAGGTTTGTTAATGAGTTCGGGTGTGTAGCTGTCATTGATGAAAGGAGCTACACTAATGCTATTACAGTTTCCACTCCATGCCCTCGTTCTACAGCTGGGAGGAGGTCCTCGAAAATCCCGAAGATTACACATTCAACTCCTCTGTCGTGATGTCCCGTGACCATCATCCTCCTGCTGGCAATCTCTCGTGGCCGAACCCCAATGCGCCTCAGGGCCAGTACCAAATGTCCAGCGCTGTCGAGTCCTGGCTTCCCACTCCTGGAACTTCAGACTCAAACCAGACCTTTGCCCAATGGTGCTGGAGCACTCAGCTTTTCCAGTCCATGAATATGGTTGCCGAGATTGCATGGTACAGGCGTGGCGCGGGTTTGGGCGAGAACAACCTCGGAAGCTTGGTTTGGCAACTCAACGATATCTGGCAGGGTGTCAGCTGGTCAGCCATTGAATACTCTGGAAGATGGAAAGTCCTTCAGTATGGCATGACGACTGTCTACTCCCCTGTCATCATCAATCCCTTCTGGTTCCCAGGGAATGAGTCGCTCACCATCTTGGCTACGTCTGATCGCTGGGAAACGGTTGGCGGTACTGCGCAATTGACATGGTATGACTGGAGTGGAAATGCGATCAACTCCATGACCACGCCATTCTCTATCCCGACTCTGAACAACTCGCTTATTTACGAGGGAACTGGTCTCGACACCATCCTTCCCTTTGGTTACGACGCCAAGGACGTCTGGCTCCTGATGAACGTGACCGCTACCGTGGACGACAAAATTGCGACCAGCGAATCCTATGTATGCCCTTTCGGTTTCTGGTACGAACAAATGCTTACATGTGCTTTGTATATCAGTTCACGCCGGTGTCGCTTGCCTACTCCAACCTCGTCGACCCACAGATCGCTGTCATTGCAGGCGACAACTATACGTTCACGTTATCTGCCAAGGGCGGAATAGGTGCTTGGACGTGGCTTGATCACCCTTCAGGGACTGTTGGGTACTTCGTTGATACCACGACTGGGCTTCCTTCAAACGGTTACTACCTCATTCCTGGTATCGATCGCACTGGTAAGCGAGTGCACCGTATCATTGTCGCAACTGATTGAAATCTGCCACAGTCCGATTCGTATCCAGCACAGAACTGTCGACCGTCCAAAGTCCTGATCCCGCTGACTTTGTAGTGAGGTCATTGTGGAATAACACTCATATTTAAGGCGCAGTCCGGAAAATTGTACACTTGCTAGTCCTGACAACACCAGGTTATTCGCATCGTGTATCCGAATGAAAGTTATTCACCTCGGTAGTACAGAGATGAACTGATATAAAAATTGTAGACAAGGGCGTGCAGGCAATGTGTTTGATTACAATTGCAATAGCTGAGAAGTGAAACAGATGACAGACGTGGTAGTAAGTATGTTCACCGTAGTTGGAAAGATTGAGGGGAAATAGACTGTATCCTATACGGAGAGGATTACTTGCTTAGTAGAAAAAGGCTGAGACGGAAATCCAAAGAAGAACGTGGACGATGTGTATCGAGAAGTGATTGCATATGTAGATAGACGCGTGCGACAAAAGCATCGTCACTGATATCTCCGAACTCGACGACAGTACACACTATAATGGAAACAGCGCTGTGGTGATATTTTGCCCCCAGGCGACGGCGAGATTTTCCGCTTCCTCATACGAATTCTCTGCTCCGATCTGAGATAGGGTCAACGAGTCGAATGTTGGGCAAAGATTTTTCCATGCGTCTGTGTCCTACTATCAGTTCAACCAGAAGCCAGGATTGAAATCAAACAGTTACGGGGTTGGCTGTTTTGAAGTTTCTTAATCTCCGAGGGACTTTCGGCCATAACTACAGCGAAACCACTGGTAAAATACGTCAAGTTATGTCAGTATTTCAAAGTTCTCGAGGTACGCACTCCTCAAGATGCCAGTCCATGTGACTAGGCAAACAGTAAGATCAGTGCTAGTCTTGGATTGATAAACGTAGTTGTGCTCACCAATGCAGGAACCATGGACCAGAGTTATCTGTGACCCATCTAATCACCATCTGTTGGCCTCCAATTCCGACGGATACTACATCCCTGCGCACGGGATTGACGTAATTGAAAGAGCTGTTACCAGCGCTTTGAACGACATCAAAGCTATGCTATAATGTACAATGAACAATCTAGGTTCAAGTGGTATTCAGAATCACTTACACCGTGAAGATGAATTGGATGCTACGAAGAGGTCGGAGAAATATATGTAAGTTTCATGGGGTTCAAATGAGCGTAGAACTTACAGGACCAAGGAGTTCACCATTTATCATCGTCAGTTCGACAACCTTGTTACGCTCTAAAACATAAACACTTCCGTCTGGAAGGAGATCGGTTGCCTCCTGTGCGCCGCTGAGGATCTGGAGCAGCACGGGCACTGAGGGAGGCTCAAATGCAACACCGTTGATGTAAAATATTCCCTTTACTTTGCTGACAAACATCATTAGGTTGATATCTGCATTTCCATATCCCGGAATACCAGGTGCACCAGGATTAATGAGCGCATGCAAGTTGGTCTCGAGAAGCGGCATAGTACTTGTGGTTTGATTCGTAGTTGGCTCTGCGATGGGTGCACCCTGGTATCGCAAGATGGCCATGTTCTGGCCACCGTAGAAGGTCGAGTTTGGGGTATTTGGGAATGCCCGTATCCAGTAATTGTCGACTGGCTGATTAGCATTGAGCACGGCAGAGTATCGTTGTCCAGCAAGTATCTGGACCGAGTCCACGAGGAGGGGCTCCGTCAGCTGACCATCCGCTTCGATGACCGTCAGGTCATGGCCATCGATGGAGAAAATGAAATTGGGAACGCAAGACATTCCTATGATGCGTAGGCGATATCTTTTACCGTACTCAACGTTGACCACCGCAAGTTCAGTATCAGTGGGTCCCCCTTGGTATCGACCGAGACCATTGATGAGTGTTGTATTACCATAAACAGTGACGAAATGGTTCAAAACAGGGGAAACTGCATGGTTCCTAAATTATATTCAAAAATGAGGTGGATGCAGATCGCGAATAGTTCTGAGATGTACCAGTCAGCCAGGGTGATTACGGTGGTCTCTGTGAATGGATTAATTGGATGTAATAAGGACCATGACATGATCACCGTACCATCGTCAACATCGTATAAGTAGGATAGAGGGTCTTCTGGATCGTAGATTATCAAAGCCCCACGCAGGCCATCGCTGAACAGTCTTGGGTCACATGGCAAAAGTTGAAAAAAACTTAGATCAACAAACCAATATTGTGTCGAGTAGTGGCTATGATACCAGTAGGTTCCCGTCTGGTTCTGAGCCTCGAAGGAGTACAGAAACGACTCATTTTGCGCAATGGGGCATTGAGTAACGGATACGACTCCATCCTCATAGTTAGTCCCGTTCTGATAGATTCCATGCCAGTGCTACAGAGTGGGGTAAGCCTGACACATAAGTACCGAATTGCTAGATATACTTACCACACTGGTGCTTTTGAACATTGCATCATCAGTGAGCTTGTTCACAACGTTGATAGCAAATTTGTCACCCTTCAATCATTGTCAGTTCCTCAGGCTAAATGAAATGGGCAGAAGATCACCTTCTGGGCTGCTATGATTGGACCCGGAAATATTCCTCCAGCGAGAGTTGAACTATACAATGATTAAGAGCCTCAGAAAAGATAGTGGCAATGACCGTGGGCGTGGCTCATGTCGTCTAAAACACAACAAACTCACGAGCGTTTGAACCCGTCTGGAGCTATGACTTTATTAGCAATTATTAGGTTGGTTTCAGGGCCCAGAATATTAGAATGAGAGTTGAGTGGATAAGAATGGGACCGCGAGATGATGGATGCTGCAAGCACTAAATGCAGCCTGAGCAATAGAAAAAGAAAACATTGGAAGAACCTCATCAAGAATCAAATATGGTGCGAGGGCAGTTTTGAGCAACCAGGTGTCGACTAATCACTCACCCCGTTATTTATATAGACGCACATTTCATTTCGACGTTGCGCAACATGCATGTTCAACCAGTTCTCGCGTGGAATGCCGTAAACTTAATGCTAGAAGTTAAACGTTAAATCCCGAGCCAGGCGATCCGGGACCACCGTCGGGTTCTCCCGCTCCTAGTTGTAGATGTCCTTCAAGTGGAACTGCTCGGGATGTAACTGTGCATCGCATCATGATGCCCGCCACTGAGGCTATTGCGTACAACTCAATACCGGGCTGTCAGATGTGTATGGGATCAGCTTCCTGCAGACCAATAACATGGCACTCACAGACACCGGGGTCAAACTTTTGAGATAAAATCTTCGTCGTTGAAACGGATGTTAGTTTATATATTAATCAGTCAGGAGCACACACATAAGTCAGACTGAGTCCAGCCTAATACTAGCTAGTATTTGCGCACGGTAATTTTCAGTCGCAACTTGCGTCAACAAGGTGATTCTATAATGGCTCCGAGTCACGGAGATCTGAGTAACAACTTCTTGAATTCAACGGCGGAGAGTCCGGTCGTCCAGAAAATTGTGCACTCAAGTTGTTCATAAATTCAATCAATCGTATGAATGTTATTCACCTTCAGTAGTGCAGAGACGAACTGGTATAAAAATTGTACAGACTATTAATATGCATAACAAGGGAGTGCAGGTAATATATACGTGTTTGAATGCAAATGCAGTACAGTGATGCAGCTGAGGAGTAAAAAGGAGACATAGGAATCACAATAAAAATGTCAACAGCGAGCCAACAACGAAGTTATTAAATGAAGCGTCTGTTCGTCAATACCCTCATGGCCTTCTAGAGCTGTCACAATGGCGGAAGATTTGTCAGATAATTTCCTGAGAGCTAGACACGCAACAGCGTTCTCAAGCCGCGAGGAAAGCGAATCGAGATGCATCATGATCTCTAGATCAGATGTTTTGTCGTTCATCGGGGGGAGAAGTAAGTTTGGATCACCGTACATCACTGAAGGCTCCAGAACGTCTTCGTCGGAGAGAGGCTCCGATGGGAGCTCAGATACACACTCTTTCCGTTCGAGGCGAGGACGAAAGATGCGGCCCGAAGCCAGAGCCTCAATCCGCAGGCATAGCATAGCCAAGTCTCTGACTTGAGTGATGCTGAGCTGGACTCGAGCTGTGGAAGTGGATGTGCTCAGATGCGAGCCAGACGCCTGCAAGTCACGGCCTAAAAGGGCTGCTGGGTAGACGAGGGAAACTATCTCCGGAATCTCCAGCCCCTTCAACTTGATTTCCCCCGCAGGGACAAGGGCTATCTGCATTTGCCGGATCGCCTCGACAGCCTGAGTTGGCTGAGACTCTGAGTACTCCGTGTCCTGACCCATCTCAAAGATCTTGGCATTCAGCTCGCGAACAACGTCGGCGCTGCACTTGATTTGCCCACCCAACGCGATCCCGCTTATACGAGCGGCTCGGATGACCATGGGTCCGAAGTAATCCATGCGACCAGTGATAGGATCTGGTTCGCACACTGGGGTTCCGCAGTGGACGCCCATACGGACTGAAAGGCCACGTGCAAGAAGTTGTCCATGCTCATCATACACCTCTTTGCCTTCGTCGCACTCCAAAATCTCCAGCGGCCAGGATTCGCGCAGAAGTTGCACCTGAACGGTGAGGCACCACCACATCGCGGCAAGGGTAGTCGGAAAGGAGCACATGAATGCGTCGCCTTCCGTCTTGACAGCGTAACCACCGCAAGTTCGAAGATGTCGTCGCAATAGGTTATTGTGCAGACGCATTGCTGTGGGCATGCCTGGGTTTTGTTCCCATAATTGTGTTGAATTGCGAATGTCGGTGAATACCAAGCAGAGATGCCCGGTGGGTGGCGAAACCTCTCCTTCTAAGCGAGCAATGGTGCGATCAACTATATCCGCTTTCTTCCCTGCCCTCTTTTTACTGAGAGAATTATATACCTCTGGATCCACCAGCGAGTCCGTCATCGGCTGTCGAGAGCGGAAGAGGTCGGCGACGCATATTACCATGATCATGGTGTTCCCGTCCGCGCCATAGCTTATGGCAAAGTCACGTAGCTTCTGTGCCGCAATCATTGGGTCAGATGCCTCCGAGCGAGCGATGTCGACTGCGGTCTGGTAGGATATGTACTGCCAGAGTCCGCGGTTGCCAATGATCACGAACTCGTCGAGCTCAGTTAGCTGGCGCACGTAGATGTCAGGTCGTGCATTGACAACGGGAAAATCATGATAGTATCCAAAAGCTCGAGAGGTGTCAACCTCGTTATGGATGAGCCCTGTCGGCGATATCCAGCCCTCTGCGAGCCGGATGCGCCTCGCTTCATCCCGGTCGTAAGGGTCGTGATTCCTGGAAATGAGTTCTGCATTCCCTTGGCTCGAGATGACAGCAAGAGCATGCCCGACGTTAGCAACATACAGTGTTCGGCCGACCACATAAACAACGATGCCAGAGGCACCTTGTCGGAGGTAAGAAGAATCGGGTCCAGAAGGACCGGTGGTAGATGTGCTGACTTGGGACATCTTACGAGATGGCTGTGAGTAGAGCTTGTCGTGGAGCTGTCTGTTCAGCTTCAGGAATGTGCGTCTCAATGCGTCCGGTACGCCATCCCTTCGCTCTCCCTTCTGGTCTTTCTTCAGGGTAGAAAGCTGTTCGTTGAAGACAAAAGCAAAATTGTCGTGCAGATACTTCGACAGAGTGTTGTTGCCAGGACAAGCTCTGGTACGCCCAAACATTGCGAACAGCGCCTCATCTTTCTTCCCTCCGAACTCGGGCAGGACGAGATCGAGCGTGGTTAGGTACCCGTTCCTCCCAATGGTGTCGGCGATGCCGTATGACATTCCGTTGACTTCCGTCTGAGAAGTACGAACACGTCGTTCATCAGAGTCTTCAGGAATATTGGGAAGGAAAGTGGTCATGACATCCATCAACCCGAGAACACGGAGCTGAGATAGTCGAGAGAAGTCGGAAAGCACCCTTCCGTGTTCATCCACCACGCGTTTTCCACCGTTGTTCTGCTTGAGATCCAATTTCTTATTCCCTGACAGGTTCAGGTACTTCAAGTTACAATTGAAATTCCTGCCGACGCCATCAACAAACCAGTCATCTACGTTTAAACGGTCGAAACATACCAGTTCCAATCAAACTCCCAATTGTGAATGTTGTACCTTAACAAATTGCTGCCGGCGTCAATGATAGTCAGACTTGGTATTTTTCCCAGTTCAGCGGGGAGCGTCTGGAATTTGTTCCCGTTCAAGTACAACACCGACAATCTGGTCATTTTCACAAGGTCTTCGGTGGGGATACTCGTTAACTGGTTACCACTGAGGTACAGTTCCTCCAGCTGCTGTAGATTTCGGAGGAAGGAAGACGGTAGTTCTTGGATCTCGTTGAAGGATAAGTTGAGGACGCGAAGCTCCTTGAGGATGGTGAACGGAGGGATCGCTTCCTCTGTCAGACGGTTCTCTCCGATGGAGAGTCGCTCAAGAGAGTAAGCGAGAGGTGGAAGTGCTCGACCGGGTGCATTGTGTATTGACATAGTGTATGCAGCATTCGAGGGCTTTCTTGGAATGTGACCGGCTCGGGAGGGTGATGATGATAAGGAGGGGATCTCGAGAGTTATTCCAGATGGCGCCGGTGCAACTAAGTTATCGCCGGGAGGATCATGCCAAGTAGCGAGCAAATTGGAGGTGACGTTGATATGTATTAGCGACGCGCAATTCCAGAGGGATACAGGTAGCTCCGTCAAACTATTGTTATGGGCATCAAGGGTTTCTAGGCGCTGAAGGAGGCCGATAGTGGAGGGCAAAGAGACAAGTTTGTTGTTGCAACAAGAAAGGTGTATGAGATGGGAGAGTTCGCCGAGGGAGTCCGGAAGCGTGTGGAGTTCATTGTGGTCGAGTTTCAGAGTTTGGAGGGCAGGGAGCTGAGAGAAGTCGAATGCATCAAGAGAGGAGAGCTTGGCATAAGAGACATCGAGCAGTGTGAGGGTGTGCGATATTTGTGATGGAGAACTAGGAGCGAATTTGAGGAACGTGATATCGTTGTGGGAGGCGTCCAGAACTGACAGGCTGGGACCAATGGATAGATGAAGGGCGTGAACGAAATTGTGATCAGCATAGAGGGTGTGGAGTTTGGGTAGGGTGTAGGCGATGGAAATGTCAGATATGTTATTTCTTCGACAGTCGAGTAACTGTAGGTTGACAAGATTCCTGCATTCTTCGGGTAATTTGGCCACCTGGTTTCCGATCAAAATCAGGCGCTCGAGAGTAGTGAGGCGACCGATCTCCTCTGGAAGTTCAGTGATCATGTTGAAAGACATATCGAGCTCAACAAGACAGGGCAGCTGACATATGACGCTAGGCACGTTCACAAACTTGTTGTTTGAGATGTTTAGGAAGTTTAGAAACTTGAGGCGGGGAAAATACCAGGGCAGCTGCTCTATCCTATTGTTCTGGAGCTTCAAGCTTGAGAGCTCAGGTATGCGGTCGAGACCAGCATCGTCCAAATCCACGATGCGATTACACGACAGGTCAAGCCGATGTAAGCTGGTGGAGTGCCGAACACTCTGAGGCACTTTCTTCATCGCCATGCTGGACAATTTGAGATCACGGAGAGTCGTACAGGACTGTATAAAATCCAGGGGTATCTCCACCATTGGATTGCGTGAGAGGTTGAGGTATACGATTGAGCCAGCGTTTTGATGGAAGACGATGGGTATGGTGGGTAGACTACAGCCTGTCAGGTCGACCAGGTCGAATGCATCAAACGTGAGCTCTTCAGCCTAAAAGCAAGGGGTCAAGTCAGATTATAATGGTTTTTCCCAGACAACTTACTGCTGGACCGAGAAGTTGACTTTTATACACAAATTTCATAAGGAAAGTCATGTCTTCTGCACCGAGAAAAGCAAGACTGTCCGCTTGGTCATATCCCGCCTGCTCCAACCGGCGAATTACAATGGCAGCTGGCCTCTCGGTGGGCGCCAATACACGCTCTGACAACAGTAAGAAACCTAAGCGAGCGCACAGCGGCAAGACATACCTCGTCCCCTCTCCTTGAGATACAGTTTATGTGTCTCACGCTCCTTGTGCGCAAATAGCTTCTGGTTAAGCAATGGGGTGAGCTCCGCTACGGTGGAATGTATCGAGATAGGAGCGACGTGATATGATCCGTCCGCGCGATATATTCGAACGCGGACGCGGTCATTGCTGCCGCGAGAGGGCACCTTACGTGGGAAGGTGGTCTTTCGGCGGGATTTGCGCTTCGAACTAAGACCTGAACTGTTGAAAGACGATGTGGCATCTCTTGAGCTCTCTTCGGAGCTTGAGTCGCCCCCTACATCTGCCTCCTCCTCACCGTCCTTCTCGACAGCCCAGCTCTCCGGAGGAGTCCACATGTTTCCATGGACAGCGACTCCGGGCGTGTCTGCCTCCTCTGGTACAACTGAAGAGGGCAAACTCTTTGGTGACAACTTTCGATTATCAATGAAAGCTTTTCGCTTGCTGGTAGGAGAAGTGGAAGAAAACGGATGGGGATTGCAGAACACGAAGGAAGAGGAGAGGATGGGTGATGGGGGCGGTTGTAAGCTACTTCCAGAAGTACTGGCAGTGCTTGGGTCGACTGCACTTGATGGAGAAACATTCGATGGTGCAACATTCTGCCCAGAAAGGGACGTATCGACGATACCCTCCATGTGCCCAAAGTCAAGGTCGATCTTCATCAATTCATCACCTTTTGCGAGGGACATTGGAGGAGTTGTTGGTATGTTGGGGAGTGGTCTTCCCTTTGATTGTCGCCCTTTCTCCTTCTTGTCTTTCTTGGGTCCTTGTGGAACGACGAGGTTCATGAAAGTGTCTGTTGAATCGGAGGCATTGGAGTAAATCGAAGTCATCTGGGATGACGAGCCGGTGTCTGAGGAGAGCCTTCCCCGGCTGCGCGACTTCTTGAGCATATCGGTTATTCTGCTCTTCATTTTGCCTTTGCGGAGATCGCTTGAACTTCCCTGCTCGCGTAAGGACATTTCGGAAAGCGGCGGAATAAAGGAGTCTGAGATATATTGTGAATCGACTCCTCCACGGTTTGTGGAAAGGATGTTGCTGGAACTTCCTTGCCGAGAATATGTGAGGGATGAAAATGACGCCTTGCTCAAACCCAGAGAACGTTTGATAAGGCTGGGCGAGGTACACTAGAAAGAAAGTAATATTTAATTTTGATCATTCGGCCATCAGAGACAAGTCTGGAAGGTGCAGTGCGCCTGACGCGCGCGGTGGATCACGAGGGGGCAGAGAGACTCACAGGCTCTTCAGTAAGAAAGGGGGCGATCTCTGGATGGTCCCCAGATTCCGGTTTCAGAAAGTATGGGGGTACGAAGCGTTGATGCGAGAATTGGATTGTGACATCCTGCTCTGGAGAAGATGATGGTTCGGAAAGAATCAACTCGGCGTCGAACCCGTGATCATTCGAAGAAAGCTGAAGGTCATCCATGAGCGAACTACCCGCGGCTTCAGGCCAAACACTCTATTTGGTGATTCCCAGAGTTGGAGGATGCGCGCTGGCAAACCTAGCGGCGTCAGCCTGAGTGGGTCGCTAGAAAGATAAAAGAGAGCAGAGATGAAGATCAGAAAGAAACTAAAGACATATTTCTCACCAAAAACCGTGACGAGACTAATTACAGGACTCCCAGCTCAGGACGGACTGGATCCCAGGACTTTCAAACTACCCAACAGCCTTGCACAGGCGTTGGCCCGAGAACGATATTATTATTCCGTTCCCCATGATCCTTCCTTTTTGGGTCCCTTACAACACCCGTCGGAGTAACCACCGGAATACTCCGGTGCGGAGGTCAATTATCCATAAATGGTATGTTGCCCGTATTCACCTCGGTTTCGGTCCAGGCCGATGGGGCTTGGCTCTAACGGTGCATCGCAACTCAAGAATAACAACTACACTGCTGTCTCCCCTGCTGCGGGAGCTTCGTTACGACCATGTCCTCTACGTCCTCGATATCATCTGCGACATCATCTGCGACGTCCTCCGCCACTGCTTCTGGTTCAAGCACTACCTTTCAATTACCCTCAAGCCTCAAAGTAAGCGGTCTATTCTAGGTTTTGCCGTCTAGCCTTAATTCATCTACGCAGGTCATCGGAATAATACTCGCAGTCGCGAGTGGCTTGTTGATTGGCTCTAGTTTCGTCTTCAAGAAGAAGGGTTTGTTGCGCTCGCAGGCCGGGCATGCAGCAGGCGAAGGTGTCGCATACCTCAAATCCGTGAGAGCCATCCCCACCATCCCTCAACTTATCATTGACTTTCCTTTCAAAGCCATTATGGTGGACGGGCATGACGAGTGAGTTTCCCTGTTCTGCTACTTGTGCTATACATAATACACGAATTGTCAAGTGATGATATGCGGAGAGTTGTGTAATTTTGTTGGTATGTCACTTGAACTCTAACTCCATTCTATGCTGATCCTGCAAAGCATATGCGTTTGTTGAAGCGCTTGTTGTGGTGCGTCTGAGACACAACATTCTCTGTCACATCTTCACCGTGATGTTCCAAGACTCCTATGGGCGCACTATCTGTTGTAATATGTGCCATCCTATCTTCCATCTTTCTCAACGAGAAACTCACCTTCTTCGGATGGCTGGGTTGTGCCCTCTGTATTGTAAGTACCGCCGTTCTTTCGTCTTTTCGTGTACCAACATCTGCCAGATCGGTTCCACTATTATTGCTCTCAACGGTAGGCATTACAACGAACGAATACCATATACCAAAGCTTATTCTCGTGCATAAGGCCCCCAGGAGCAAACACCTGGTGAGATAGAGCAATTTAAAAAACTCTTCTTGGCGCCTGGTTTCCTCGGGTATATAGCTGCCCTGATTACCGTCGCCCTCTCTATCATCTTTTACTTTGGACCTAAGTCAGTCGTGTTTCACATGTTATCTCTCCCTTTTTCCTCCGTTTATCTTTCCCCTTTTCAGATATGGCAAGAACAACATGCTCTGGTACATATCCGTGTGCAGCACTATCGGCGGCATCAGTGTGAGTGTCACAACCGGGCTTGGTTCAGCCATAGTCACCACTGTTATGGGAGTCAACCAGGCAAGTTGTTGTAATTATCACGACGTCACATTATTTGATAGCGGCATAGTTCACAAACTGGTTCATCTACTTTTTAATCGCCTTTGTGGCAATAACACTACGTGCGTAATCAATATACCTTCATTTCGCTTTGCTAACGCGACACAGTAACGGAAATTTATTACCTGAATATCGCGCTTGCGCTATTCAATACTGGTGAGTGAAATAATAATAATGTTGTGTGCTTAGACTCAAATGTTTCACTTGGCAGCTATGGGTAAAGTTTTTTTTCCATCAACACCCACTGCCCAACTGATTTGATCTGAACCATCACAGTAACGCCCACGTACTACGTTTTATGTATGTGACCTGCACCTAATCACATCACTAGTTGATACTAACCCCTTCAAACAGTTTCATTTTGTTCAATGGTCACAACCATCGTGCGCGCAGTTACAACTATCAATACCCCCTCATCACTCACCCATTATTACAGGTTCTCTTCCAAGGACTCAGCTCCTCTGTCTCGCAAATTCTCACCCTCGTCCTGGCCTTCCTCACAATATGCGTCGGCATCACGATTCTCCAAATGTCCAAGATCGACCCTGCGCAACTAAAGCTCGACCGGCGATCTACCATGCTCCTTCAAGCCTCCCGCGCGCCCACGGAAGGTGCCGAGGAGAAGGGTATTGCCGGTATGGAAGACCCCGGCATCGAGGCGTTGCGCGGCACGTTCGGCACCATGAGCAGCATTATCCGTGCCCGCTCAGCACGGAGGATGAGCCAATCAAGCAGGCAGCCGAGCTCCCTTCGGTCGCATCCAGAGGGTCTACCTTCCTCATCCACAAATAACGCGTACGATGGGTTGACACGTCATCAGCTCTATGATGCCCCTGTACCGCGGCTGTCTGAGACAGATCGTGCATCGTCCTTTTCATCAAGATCAACGACACCATACAGCCCTCGGAGAACAGCCATCAAATTCGGATCACAAGATCTCGTGCATTCGTACCGCCCGCCAGGTAGCGGAGATGCGGATGCAACGCATGAACACAGGAACGCCGTGCACTCCACGCCACCGATACAGACAAACTCGTTATTCTTGTATCCTCCGCCACCAAGCACCGACACCTCCCCCACGCTTGGTGGTTCGCAGTCGTTAGTTCTGCCACCGCGTGCAAACGATGAGCCACCAGCACCCACCCTATCGACAATGTATCACAACCCAATCAAGAGTGATCCATTCGAAACCCCAACAACTCCCACGATGACCGCATTCCCCTCGTCGTCTGATGTACTGCCAACTAACTCTCCTCCGCAAAACTACCGGAGCCAGGGGGATGTACGCCCCACAGAACGCACACGACGCAGTTCTTCATCGGGCCAGTCGCGACGATATCCTAGAGGTTTAGATGATGCAGAGGAGAGCATAAGCCTGTTCGAGCGGGCCTCGCCTGTGCAGGAGATGTCTGAAGAAGAGATCGAGATGTCGCCGCAAGTCCAAGGAATCAGGCTGGTGAAGCCTGGTTCTAAGACTTGGCTTTGATGAGGGGTTGTATGATCAGAAATGGACTGGATTTTTGCTGTTAGACAGCTTGGACAACTGGGATTGTTGTATCTATTTGCATACCTACTCGCTGCGCGCCTCGAGCTTGTGAGTCCCAGGTGGGGGCATCAGATGAGATGGATTACACCATGGTGACACATAAATTGCAAACCTTCAGAATAAGCTTAAGTTGTAACTGCAGGCGACGGAACATGAATTGCAGCCGTCGTATGCTACGGATGACCGTGACTGACTCTTGTAGTATACAAGCTCCATTATGCTGCAATGAGTAAGTGTGGCACACTAATTTTAAATCTTTTCCAACCGTGTTTCCATGCGGTTGAAAACTGTGTTGATGTCTGTTAGAGTTTGAGATTTTACTAGCGCGTCCGAGGTGACGAATCGTTTCTGTCATTAGTTCCGCTGCCATCATCTCGGACAGTCGTCGCGACCGCCGAGGTCGACCACGTACATGATCTTCGCGAGAAAGGGAGGGGAAATCTCCTGTGTGGATCTGTTGAGCCCATGAGCTAGCCTTCACAAGCTAGTAGCCCAATTGAAGGCCAACTCAACTTTGTCCAAATCATGTAAGTGATGAGCCGATTCAGCCAATGAAAATTCTTTTGTGGTTAACCTTTCACGAGGCCCATTGTGTTGGGCACCATTGGTACCGGTAACGAGATTTATAGTGTTCGCAGGATGTTGAAAAAAAAAAGACCCTATGCGGGGGTTCTTCCCCTTTATCAGAAGGAATGGCTGTCTTCCTTTGTCTATATAGGTCTGTCTAGGGGAGACTAGCTAGTTCTTCCCCGACTCGGAATGTCACTTGTGGTATCTTGGCGCTTGAAAATGACACTTTTAGTATATGTAGGGTAACTATGACATGGCAGAAGACAACAAGAGGATGATCTATAACGTGAATATATGGGTATACTTATGCAACGGAGCAGACAAGTCTACACAGCGCTATTGATGGCATCGATGAGGATATTGTTGTAGTCCCCACCCGCCTGCCACATAGCGTACCCCAGCAGGCCAGTATTTTTGATGAATGTGCCCTTGGCTGTGAACGACTCAGCGTTGTCGTACGAAATCATGACCTCGGACGTTTCATTGTAAACGTAGGGCTAACGGCAAGTCCATCAGAAACATAAGCGGTTCCCTGTCAAGGGTGTACGCACCGTTTGGCTGCACGAGTCAAATCGATAGTAGATACCATCGGCAGTCGTACCTTCCGAGTTGAGGAAGCCACCGTCGACCAGTCCCCATAAATTAAAGGTACCTCCGGATCCTTCGTAATTACCACAGGCATCCACGCTTCCGGTGGCATCCCATGCATCTCCTGCGGGCTGATTAGATGCATCGAAGGCGGGGTAAGCAGCTAGTGTCGTCGTCCCCGACACGAACGCATCAGAGGGCTTGACACTGAAAGAGTGTCCGTACGATGGAACACCTAGGACAATCTGGTCAACGGGCATGCCTGCATTAGACCAGGCTTTCACTGCGGAAACAGCTGAGCCTTGTTGCTCAGACGACTTCGCACAGGTATCATTGAGAGGGGCGTTGGGGCCAACGGCAGTGGACCATGAACCCCATATATCATAGTCCATGATAGCAATGTAGTCAAGAACCTTTGCAAAGGCGGAGACGTCAGTCGACGGATTGCCATTGGAATCACGGAATGGTGTGACAGACACCGCTGCCGAGATGGTGATATTAGAACAGTCTTCGCGAAGTTCTTGGAGAAAGGAGAGAAAGTTTGCGGTGTCATCAGAGTTGACAATATTACAGCCAATGCCTTGTTTATTTGGATACTCCCAGCTAAATTAAATATGGGTCAGACATGTTTATGTGACGGCTGACATACATACTCGAAGTTGACACCATCTAGATCATACTCTTCGACAAAGTCTATCACCGTGTTGACGAATGCAGTGCGGTTCTTCGCTGTCGCGACGTCGGAAGAAAAGTAGACGCTACCACCCCAACCTCCAATGGCAATATGGGCTTTAACACCCTGACATAACATGTCATTGCCTCAGCGCTCAAACATACACATGAGTTATATCCTTACGTGTGCATGTGCTTCTGACACAAATTGTGGAAGCACCGAGCCATCTGAATCTTGTAGCGATAGACTGTTCACATCTGAAGTGGTCGACCTAAGAATTATCGATCAAACGTTATTACTAGAACTGTCACGGTGTGGTAGCTTCCACCTACGCAAAAGAATAGTACATCGTGTTGTACTTGTCCCAACTAACCTCAGACAACGGGTATCCGTTAGTAGCATGCCAGCCAGCATACCACGCACCAGCGACCTTGGATGCAGACGCATGAGCGGAAGAAAGGAGTGTAAAGGATGCGACCGCGAGGAGCAGCAGCATAGTAGACGACACTGAAAAGGTGGTCTGTACTAAGCAGAAATTTCCTCGGTTCTTACACGTCCTGTACTTATACTACAGCTGGGTGACACCATGGTTGACAATGGCTAGGATCCGAGTAAGTCGCGGTGCAGAGTTACAACCCGAGAGAAGTTGTTGAGTCTATGACCCATGGACGTACGTTTCAATAATACGGTCCGTGTTTAGAATGACATGCCATCGACAACATGAGGCGACCTACAAAAAGTTCCATGGGACAAAATCAACCCTTGAACATGCCTTTGACAAGTACTCACCAAACTTCAAAATGTCAGTGACTAAACGGTCCGAACCGTTTGAACCTATATATTAGTGGTCAATGGTCATATAAATTCGCTTTACGAGCCTCTTGGCGGTACTTCCACAGCCTAACGGTGGTTTTGTGGTGTATCATTACGAAAAATAATGTTAAATTATCAGTCTCAATGATTCCTGGCGTTCGTATTACGAAGAAGAAGTGCTGTACATAGCACAGCCACATTGTATTCAGGGAGGGTTGCAAGTGGGTTTGTACTTAGACGTCAGACTCTGGCCGCCTTCTGAAAATATTTGCACCGATCGGCGTGCTGATACCGCAGCTGCATCCAGTTCGTGTCGCCAATAAAATTTTAGCGGTGATTCAGTAAGTAGCAGCCAGTAATTCACGCGTCCATCGTAGGTTCATAGGCCAATAGGTGTGAATCATGTGGTTTTGCCTTTAGGAAACCCTGGACCCTTATCAAACATATAGAAAGCGAGCTATGCTAACGCTTGACAATCGCCCATATGGTTTGTTAACGAAATAAATAATATTCGAGACCCGGCTTCCGGTATTCCCTGTGTGTCGGAGCATGTGTGCGAGGTCAAATACATACTTATCCTTAATATCGGATCTTCTTGTTCGGGGATAAAGCGCTTCAACCCAAGTAATGCCTTATGTATCAGTCTCATGCTTGAATCCCGCACAGGGGCCCAAAAAAATCGATTTCGTCACAGCCACAGGATGGTCTTTCGTGTAGCTAGGCCTTGTCGGCTACCTTGACAAAAAGATCGTGCGCAAAGAGAGACAAGTGCTTCACACTGAATGTCAGATCATATTTGAGTCAGCCGTCAACGACGTACCAAACGAATATCGCTCCACCACAAGGGAGCACAAGAACCATCCACGTAGCTACATGATAACTATGTGCAAGACGGCCAGCGGGCAAACCAAATAACAGCGTTGACCGAATACATGAGGTATAATGGGATAAGCGGAACGAAAGCGACGAAAGCATAGCGACGACAACATGCGAATATGCAAGATGACGAGTATACAGTAAACGGATTCACACATACACCATTACGGCGATGAGCAATGCAAAGGGACGATAGAAAATATCCAAGGGAACGACTCAAGCAGCAGATCAAGTTGCGACTCGAGCGGGGGACTACGGCCGTTTGTCCACAGATCGTTTGCGACCCGGCCTTATCACTTTTGGACTGGCTGAATTGATTTCGGGCGGCGGAGAGCCGCTTCCCCGGGGAACCAGCGACCGGCGCTTTCTCATTCCCCGACGCGACTCTAGTGGATACTCGCATTTCAAATGCCTACGAGCGCACTGACTGGGAAACAAAGACACGAAAGTCAGTAAGGTGTCGAAATTATTGATGGTGGCGCGGATATCAGCGAGCAGAAAGTGATTTATAATTAAAAAATGAATCGCACGAATTCGGCAAATCATTACCACGCCGATAAGGCGTGAAGAAGGACACATAGTATATTCCTGAATGGGCTCAGGGGAAGGACTGTGATACTCACTTGCATGTCCTGTCTTTGCTGCCCGGAACGGGTGGGCCGCACGCGATTTTCCGCCCTCGGCAGAATAGGCAGGCAAGCGCTGGTTTCTTATCCATCGATCGTTTAGGGTGCGGTGGCGGGGATATACGCAAAGTCCCCCTCGGTGATGGCGAACGTTGATAAGGGGATCCCGTCCTTTCGCTAAGAGTGTGCGAAGAAGATTCGTTTGGGGAGTGATAATGTTGTTGGTTGGTATGAATGAATGCTGGAGTGGATGATTCTACCTCGACGAACATGTAGGATTGGCTAGGAACAGTCATTGGAACTTCCGATGCATCACGATGCGAAGTGGGCAGGAAAGTTGCACTTTGAGGAGAGCATGGAGAGGGAGAATGTGTCATTGCATCATGAGGTGAATAGGGTTGGAACTGATGAGGAGAGACTGAATGAATGGGTGGCGGATATGGTAGGTGGTCCATAGGCGGCTCGTCGTCTAATGTTGAGCGGTTTGGCTTTATATCCTCTTCCTCATGAACCAAAAGACTCAGTCCCCCCACTGGGATAGTCGGCTCGTACACACACGATTGTCGAGAATGGTGCAAGATTGTGCTCGATGATGGGAAGTCCGAAGGATAGTCCCCAAAGGACTTATAAGCCATGCGGTCAACAGGAGAACGGGAATGACATCGCATAAATGGCTCACCTGCTGTCTTAAACCTGGTTCATGTTTCAAGTTGTTCGCGCCACTGTGCCCTCCAACAGGAGCCGTAGCAGGAACACGTGTACTTTGTGCCGTACCGCTGGGCGCCTGTGCAGATGTTGACAACTGGCCCAGAGAGTCGACTAGCGTATATGATTTCGAGATCTGAAACGAAGATGGATTGCCATGAGGAGCGTACTGAGCGGCAGTCATGCACGATGAGGAATCGGCGCATGGATGCATGTGGGTCTGGCCTTGCAAGCTCCAACCGCCTTGATCCGAATCTTCGGGACACGGGATAAGAACAGGTTGACCGTACATGCCAAAGAATTGGAGATCGGATTCGTCCAAATAACTGAAGTATGCACCTGATTGAAGTTCTTCGAAAGTAAATGCACGTTTCACATTGACCTATCATGGTGTTCAACTACGATCAGGTACTTGTCAGTGCCACTGAGACAAGAATACTTACAGCAACATCGAAACCTTCTGCATAACCGTTAGATTGGCTCGATGACCTCGAGGTGACAGGCGATGATTGGCTGAGCGGGGCGCAGGGCATAGGGTTTTGTGAGCTGGAGGATGCGGTTGGTTGGGTATAATGCCAATATCGACTGTCGTCAGAAGGCGTGGGTGTGGACACGGAAGACATTTTGAGCCAGTGAAGGAAGCAAAATGGATGGGGGAATGCTTTCGTGTGTCAGTTGACGGCAGGGGATAAATCTCCACTTTGAAGGCAGTGAGTGTCTTTTATATATTAAGACTCACTGAAAAAGGTACATTGCATATTTGGTAACATAAGAATTCGGGTTCATTTGCAAGCCTAAGCTAGGCTGAGTTTAGGAACCCACGCCTCTGGCAGGCTCGAAGTCAGACGACGAGAGCTGTCAACGATTACAGCAACAAGTCTTCATCAGTTTTCCGTAATTTAAGTTTCGTAAGCATGACCCACAATCGCGTTCCTCCATTTTGAAGGCAGAACTCTGATATCTTTCAATTCATATCCCCCACCTGGTCGGTCTCATCCCATATCAACATTTAATCAATGAAAATACAACAGCCAACTGCCGTCCTTTCATCCGAGATCATGGCAGTGCACTGAGGGACATCCTAATCAAGCGGATTAATATTGGGTTATTGTCTGAACCGTCCCAAATAAATTTGATTTTTCAAAAAAAAAAAACAATAACCTCACCAAATTTCACCGGGGGTGACAAACAACACGAAATGGCAAGTGATTGATGTGAAGACACCAAATGACCGTAAAGGATACTAGAACTTGAATTTGGGTTTCACTGGCGCTTCACGAGAGAGGGAGCAGATCGCGAGAGATCCGATCTTGCACTCTATCTTGGCAGCTTCGACCATTTTCCCATCCTCCTATATAATCATTTAAGATCAAGGTTGAGAAGCAGCTCGTCAGACTTCTGTTGGCGGTATTACTTGATCTTTAGAGTAGGGATGTTTGTTTTGCGACTGTAAGTACTTCAACAGTAAGTTCAAAGGTTATGACACGCCTTTACCTGCGGTCCGCTTAGCACTATTGTCACCGAAGCTACAGAACAACGAGGGGGCAACTTCCCCATCTGTAACTTTTCACCAAAAAAAATCGCACAATTACTTTCCAACTATGGTTACCGCTCGCTGGAACTCTCAGACTCGCCCAAGAGACTCTTAAACCTCGTACTTGATACTAAGCTCCAGAAAATAAAAAAAGTATACACACATCACTTGCCTGGCCTTTGAATGATTGTACTCTCAATTCATGCTGAAACCTCGTCGTACATCTCGTAGTTCAAGACTCAATGTCCGCGATATAGTTATGTAACTAGATCGTGAGTCTGGCTGCCTCTTCCAATCAAGGCGATGTAGAGTCCCAGTTGGCAAATGACCCTCATGACACGGAGTCTCGAGCGTCAGGGAAATCGATAGCCTCCACCGTTCGGGCAGCTTCTCCATAGCTGAGCACGCCGACATACGGCATGACATTATATTTGAGCGAATATTGAGCAGGAAGTACGTTACTGTCCAAAAACGAGTCGTCAGCATGCAAAAACAGGGGGGTAGATCAAGGATTGGATGTTGATTCGTTATCGGAATCCGACTCACCTGAAAGAGCCCGACAGGTCGCGAAGTCTGTACTTGTCTTTCTGTACAATGTCGATCGTAGCGTCCTCTTTTCTCCGCACAATGCGATCCCAGACAACGACAGTGTTGTTGACCTTCAAAAGTGCGTTAGACAAATGATATCACAGATGTTTAATCTCGCCCGTATGCATGAAGCTGTAGAAGTTAGAATGGTAAATTACTTACCCCTTGTGCGTTCGTGTACTCTGCCTCAAGGTACACGAATAACTGCTTCGTGTTCCAGTTGAAAAGTGGTGTCAAGTCTGGAGCATCGTAAAATTAGATCACGTATAAGAAACCGCGATTGCGCGACAGAAAGTGGTGGATCCCCGGTGAGGCTCTTCCGCTGTCATCGCGATGAAAGAATACGTACCGGCCGAAAGGTTAAATTTAACAAAACCAATTTCCTCGTTTCTGAAAGGATAGCGCCTTGTTTTAGAGTGGAACCTAAGGAATGTCAAGGTAAGTCACTGACGTGAGATACGCGACAAAGGCAAGACTCTGTAGCCGCAATCCTGACGCAAGAAATCGAGTCACTTACACCTTCAGGGAAACAACATCCAGGCTACCCTTAGGATCCGCATTGAAGAGGAAGGAGGAAAGAGCTACAGCCGCAAGCAAAACCATAACACACGTTGACCAAAGAGCGGATACGCCATTTACTCGAGCATAGATGCTATGCATCCTATAATGCGCGCTAGAGAGAAGATAACAACTGTTTCAAGTGAAGGAGCGAACGACCCGGAGTATAGCTGCAGACTGAAACAGACGTCACACGTCTACACACACGTGTCCGAATACCACGATTGCCATTTTGGGCCATTTTGACCTTTTGTCAGATCCTTCGAAGTTCGAGAGCATTGCAAGCCAAACGAAATGCACAACATGTGCCCGACAGGTTTCATTAATATTGGAGCATTTGAATGTACGTTGGTTCCAAAAAACGTGTTCTTGCAGCTTTTTTTGTTCTATGAAGGAGCAACGGTAAGCCTACACGACGGTATATTTAAATTCGTGCCAACCACTTGACGTTCGACCCCCCTCGCGTTGACGGGTCATCTTAAGCTCCAAAATATATGAAAAATGTTGAGTGTATACCTTCACTAGTACTGTCATGACAAGCTCTAAATTATTCCAATCTTTTTCAGTAGCTTCACTCCGATCATGACTGGGATACATGCAGTTCCTAGGTCCGGGCGACAGGACGGACTCGGTGTAAACGATAGATAACGGCCAACACCGCCATATAAATGTGTCACGCCATATACGGACGCCCAGTCTATCGTAGCCTTTCCATTATAGGAGCCATCATCCTCGATCGATGGACTCAACTAACGCTGTATGCTTCCAACATGGCTTGATCAATCATATCGCCTGCATGCACCCATACCGGCAGGACATCTAGTCCCACTCAAGCACAGGTGCTTCTACTTCTGGGCGCAGCTGTACTGCCGCAAAGGCATGTCTCGCCTTGCCTGGCATCGTATTTGGTTTGGTCTATCCCGGGGTCATTTCATTTCATCAGAGGTAATCTGAGCACGATAGCTTTCGCCTCATCAATCGCCCCTCGATATCCTTGTGTATAGCTCCACTTATTTGCTTCGAAGAATGCATCACCAGTCGGCGCCAGGCCGACCTTATTATGTCGCCAATGGTCATTGGTCAATCGAGGACATAGTTTGATGCACCCATCGAACGTGCGTTTCATGATCAGTTTTTGTCTCAACACTTAACAGGTTGGGAAGTTGGACATCTCGTAAGTTACTGAGCACCTTATCTAGCTTTGTCCTCAAATACTGCTTGTCTTTTCCTTTTTGACTCTATATGATCGTGGGGCAGTAACAGGTCGCGGCGCATCTAGCATTCCATGACATGGGCGTTCGTTGTAGTCTTCATTTCCACATATGATTGCTTATTTCTGACTCTACATGTGCAACAGCTACAGGGCTATTCGGATCTTTCATAGATGGTGATAGCAGATGGTTATTAAGCTCACCTGCTAGTGGTGTTCCATTTCATGAAACACTGCTTTATGATTAGCCCATCATTGGTCGGATCTTGAAGCTTGAAGCTTTGAAGCCCGACTGTCGAAAACTACTGATGGGTCCAGTCATTTTAAAGGTCCATTACAAAGAAGTTTCTGATAAATTATAATCTTGTTTCGACTTCCTACCTCACTACAGAGGCCAGACGCCCCATAATTACGTAAAACATTTTCCATCATTTTTGTTTTCATTGCACGTCGTAGTTCTTCACGGCCTATAGGCTAGAAAGAACAAGGAACAGGCAGATAAGTGGCGGCTCTATGTTCTCCTGGTGACCCTGAAGGATATCTCGTTAATTGCCGTCCGAGCACCGGATTATTTCCAAAAACATAATTTGACCACAGATAGAAGATCTTCAGGGCTGAGAACATGTCTTCAGCGGGGTGGAAACGAGGGTGTTGTATCAGTGTGCTGTTAGTTGTCTGCCTGTACATTTTCCGAAAGCAGGGGCATCAAAACGCACTCCAATAATGAGGTTGGAAAGAATGCAAACTGTAATAGCAGCCCAAAGTGACGAGGCAAAATCACCCTGAAACAAGTGCGAAGCCCATAAGTACCCACATCCCTCGATCATCCTAGCATGCGTACACTAGTCGTCCTCCTGCTTGAGCCCCGTGCTGCTCGGCACCCATACCAAATCTTCCTCATCCTCACCTTTCTCACTCTCACCTGCCGTACCTTCTTCATCGCTGCTGAGTACCCAGTCTCCCTCGATCTTCCTATCCAGCGTTGCGATCTTCCCACCGCGGGCACGAATAAATGCGATCACCTCGCGAGCTTTCCTGTATCCCTTGGCGTCGGGTAATGCATCGCCATCTCCCCCATTGTCGGAAGAAGACGTGGATGAATTTTCTTCAACCCAGCCGAACCTCTTTGCCAAGTGGATGCTCGCGATCACACTCTTACCGTCTCCGCTTGCCTCCAAGGTCGTCAGGAACTCCGCAAGAGCTTTCACAGCCTCTCCACGTGCCCGGAGCAAATGCCTCATAATTCTTCTTGACGATGGCCTTCGGCGGCGTGCGAACTTGACAGGCGGCTCATCAGTAATCTGTGGTGGTAAGGAGCGTGGCGATGATGTTCCCGGAGTGGAGGAGTTTGCACGGTTCTTGTCGATCCAAGGGTTCTCAGGAGGCACCAGCGGTGTTGTATATTGAGACAGCGCAGACAGGGAAAGCTCCCATCTCCTAGGCGCCCATACGCCAACAAGAACGCGCCATGCCGCAATCACACGCTTGAGACTTGTTATTTATAGGTAAGTTAATAGCAATATGAAATCACAATGATTGGAACTCACTTCATGTAGATATCTGTAGAGAAGTTCCCATTGCTATGTTAGTAAGGCTCACATGTCCAGGGGTCTAAATATACGTGCCATTGATCAATCTATTGTGATAATATGCAAATGCCCAGACTGTGAACGCTGCCACGAGAGCACCAGTGCCTGTGTACCAGAGCATCGCCCAGAGCGCCCAGAACGTAGCAGGGTAAATCATCATGCACGATAACAAGCCAAAAACGGCCTTGTTCTGTGCCTGAGTCTCCTCTTCGTGCTCGACCAACCGAGCTCCAATTCGACCCATGACATATACTGGTGTGTGAAGTAAGAGCGGAAAGAGGAAGAAGGGAAGCCGAGTCAGGGCAGCAAGCGTGTCACGTATAAGGATAGAGAGTGTCAACAAACGTGAAGGAAGGGGGGTCGGATGAGATGGAGATAGCGTTGGCGGAAGTGGAAGTGAGGACAAGACGGAGTTTGTAAGATTAGTAGATTGAAGAAGCGAGTAGTATCCCAGAAGATGACGTCGAACAGTCGAGAAGTTTGGAGTAGCATCTGTTGTGGAAAAAAGATCAACTAGACTATGACAATACGTGAGCTGCCGAAACGAAGTGAACAAACAGCGCGCGCGAGAACGTACGTTTGTGAAATCGTGACAAATTCATCCAGGTCGATCGAGCGCTCATCTTCCCAGAGAAGGTCTCTTGCCATTCGAGCACTGTAAAGGGTATCCCTAAATGACAAATAATCAGAGTCCGCACACACCGCAATGAAACAAGATCGAAATACCAGTCAGGAGCATTGATGGTTGCCTCGACCAGCTCCCTCTCGATTGCACGTGTGAGGCGCTTTGCCGCTGCGCGTGGTGCCCCTTCTAAACCCGAAAAGAATTGTTCCTTGAACTCATCCATCGAAACCGGTTCACCAAAGCTATTGGAAATTTACGCCATCAGCGCCAGTATATCTCCATGCTAACCAAATCTCACTTCATAATCACCTATGCTGGTTTTTAGTGGAGTGCCTTTCAATGAATTAGGGGACATACGCTGCTTCGGTACTTGGACTTATTCGTATACACGATAGCGGCAGGGATGATCTGGACCCCGGGGCCCTTCACTCCGTTCTCCGCCGCCCACTTGGTGTATTCTAGTGCAGCCCAGGCAGCGCCATCCTTTACCTGCATGATCCTCGGCTCTGTGTAAGACGTGCCCTCCGGGAAAAGCGCAACTGCATCGCCCCGTGCAAGCGCTTCGATGGTTCCCCGGAATAGAACTTGACGGTCTTTCGACTTTCGGTCGACAGGAATATTGCCAGACGAGCGAAGCACCCAAGAAAGGACTGGGTTCGCAAAAAGTGATGCTTAAAGCAAGGAGCAAACGCGTTAACGGGAATTAAGGACTGTTGGGTCGATAAGGCTTGGTTCACCTTTACTCCAGTAGTGTAGAACACGCCTGTGTGGGAAGCTCGACGCTAAATAAATAAATAAAAGACACGATGAGCCCTCATCGAACCAACTAGAAGACCAGGAATAACTGACAAAGGATAGCAGGATCGATCATCATATTATGGTGGGTGGCAGTGCTGTGAAAGTGGGTCAGTATCGGTACCAGACTTTCTTCGAGTGTGCCACATGCAGGTGAAACAGATGTGGGGGTCAGCAGTCACGAATGTATATTTCTTTGCACTCCCCGGTCCACCCAACCGGTGACTCTAACCATGTAAGCGCTCTTAGACGAGTCCCATTCAAACTCAAACACGGGGCTCGAGCGTCACGCAGGCAAGTAATGCAAAATACGAAACTCACACAATGATTGGCCCATCCAGCGGAACGCGCTCGCCTCCAATTACACGTACTTCTGTGAAGAACGACCAGAGAGACCAATCTGCAAGGCGACGGATAACGAGGTGCAATACTTTCGAGTCGGACATGTTAAATGAGTTGGTTGGAATATAGGAGCAATAAGGCGCGAATATAAGTTGTGATATAGCAAGAATAACTGGTGCGGCAGCGCAGAGCTCGGCGGGGAGAGACTACGAACAACAGGCTGCACGGCCCTGAAAAGCTTGTGCAATAGGTAATTCATGTCCGCCACGTGCGCTAATACTCCCGCACGGACGTCCGTCGCCCACAACTGCCTGCAACTTGTCTTGCTGAGCTTGGTGCTGCAAGTACTGCCACGTATGTTGCATGGCTGGTGGCCAGCATATATGCCACCTAGCTGTATTAACCATAGTAAGCATACTTGGTACAAAGAACCACGGTATGTATCGCGGCAGGTCGGCAAAATCCGGTGGAGAGTGGGGTAGTGACGCGACTATGTTGTCTAAGACAAATCTCCCAGCTGAGTGAATCTGATCTGCGTCTATGCGTACCACTGAAACACAGACCGCCTTAGCTATACACGTCTCAGTTATACCCAACCCCAGTTTATTCTGAGCTGCCCTAATTGAGCTTCATGCGCACCGATGGCACCCTCAAAAGCCCCGAGTACACTCTCCGGAAGCTGCCTGCTGAGTTCCCTTACCGCGCCCAGACATATGAGCATAATACACCGTGCACCTGATCCAATAGTATAGGAGCGCATGGGCGCTGGCAGAAATGGGTGCAATACCGTCATATGAACAGTTTCAAAGAGTCACAGTGATTCGTACAATAATACACAGCGGGTACTCAACAAGTACAACCGCATCATGCCTGGGACTCTCACTCCACCCCAAGCGCAATCAACCCAGTGGCAGCCATCATGATGGATGCGCCCAGTAGTAGGGCTGGGGAAAGAAATACACACATATGCGAAAATGAGGGGCTAAAGAGGTAGGTCAATCGGCAATCAAAGATGTCTGGATCTAATCAGATGTCAGATACAAACGGTGGGATCCGACGCGATCACTTCCCCATGTCTATCAGCACCTTAAACTAAAGAGAGAAGGGAACTCACGCTGTTCGAAATACACCATATGCGGGAGATTGATGCCTGTCGATGCTGTGTAAAAGCCATGTCAAATACGAGAAGGCACGGACACAACGGAGTAAACATACGTATAGAGGCACTCCCTTCTGGATCTTCGCTGCCCACACATCTACGTACGTGGCGTGGAGCCGCTAAACGCTATGTCAGTGCGAGTCTTTGGAAAAGCAGAATGTTTCGAACGCGGTTCGGTGAACTGCCAATATTCCGTGGCACTGATAACCATGTGAGCTTCGTGATAAATATATAGCAAAATAGCCTTCTTCACTGATGCTTGTAGCCTAGCCTCGTAGGTATCATTGTCGGCACGCCGTCTAAGTATGGCGTTGATTACATTCTAGAACGTACGTATACGGAACATACCGAACGAATGCACGGCTGTAGTAGCATGCGAGTGTCGAGTAAGCGAGACATGCTCTCAGAGGGGCACGACAAAAGAGCGCACCTCGGAAAATATTATCCATTCCGATCACGGATTCCACGAGCTCAGCGAATGAGTGATCCCCTGTCCTTGGCTGTCCTGGCAGTCATATTCAGTAACATCGCGCAATAGGGGTACAAGAATTGTTACCAAATGTGAACAATCGCAGCGCAGCATCAGGGAAACTGTTCCTGATAGATAATGCTGCAATGCAGGCAATGGCACCCTGCTCGAGGAACTAACATAAGTTGTATCCACCAAGAGGCACGATCTGACGCACTCCAAGCGAATGACCTGGGGGTATCATTGGTTCGTATATATTAATAACGGACAGCGTGGCTTACCGGACACAGCTACCTCATACTCGGGATATTTCTCAAACTGCTCGCGTAAAACATTAAGCACGCGCTCTCCAACGCTTCTAAAAGCATAAAGAAAGCCTGTATGCACGTGGGCATCCGTGTTCTTTGGCAGGCCTGGTCCACGAAGGGGAGAAAGCACGAGGGACGTATCTGAAAGTTGACGTCGGGTGTCAAAGTTGCCATGTTGGAAGCTTACGCCTTGAAATTCACCAATCATCGCGCTCGCAATCTCACGGCTGCCCCTGAATGAAACCACAAGTTCATTCCTTGTGTCATCACGAGCAACGAAACCTTGAGTAGCCGTAATTACATCTGTAAACTGCATGATATCAGCAATCAGAACACGACACACCACAAGGTGGTTATCGACCATGTGCGCACCTGGGTGACTAATGTGTTTCCCATCGGACGCGGGCATAGAACTTGATACGCGCCAGATGCAAACTTCGTGTATCTCACAAGCTCATTGTAGACCTCCTCGGGAATACCATTTTCAGGATCATGCACTGTACCTGGGAAGTGGGGCCACTTCCAGAACGAGCTGGGAGGACGCGACGTGTCATCAGGCGGGTTTCTGTACCAATCGTTATAATGGAGTTGTGCGGCATGGACGACAAACATACTTGTGCATGATGGTTCAGGGTCAACTTGAAGCAGCTTAGTCTGAGACCGCTAGATCCGGCAAGCCATTGGTGGGATTGACTCTGAAGTACTGATAGTATCGAGTATGGATCAGCGAAATACTTTCCAGCCACATGCAAGCCTTAGAGCCATTCCATGTAGTCAGTCTGATATTCCGGAATCAATCAATTTTGTTGGTTTACTGTAGCAACAACGTCAAGGCTAACTCGTCTTCGAGCTCCGCGATTAATGACGATGAGTACCGGGTCGGGCGTTGCCGACGGAAAACGATGCTGACAAGTACTGTACAGTTGCTGTACAAGCGATACCAGGCGACACCGTGTATCACCGTGTATCTTTCTCAGACAATATTTTATGTTCCGGTTTACTACAGAGCCTTCACCATATGACACGGACAACCCTGAGAATCGGAGGAAGACTGGGTCCTGTGGAGGTCATTAATGTAATCAAATCAAAATGAAAGCACAAATGACATATGACGGACAAGTCAGATAATTGTGCGACCTTGCAACTTAAGCAAGGTTGTTGATCATGAACCTATATTGGCTATGTAGAGTGGGGGCATCAAGTACGTTAAATCATTACAATGCGTAAATGTACAGAATGAACGTGATGTATGTGAATCATTTATGAACTATTTAAAGGAATGTAACTGGACGCCAGCGCCCTTGAATAAAATATAAAATGTATGCCGGTCTCGGACAGGAGCCCGACGACTCTATGATGATGAACCGACAGAGCTCCAGTATACGCTCGGCCTTCAATAGGACGAGCGTCTCCCCGAACTGCGGTACTTCTCCGGTCCGCCCCTTCCATTGCCCGAGCCTGGTGACATGAACCCTAGCAAGCGCTTGAACAGAGGTTGCGGCTTCTTCGGAGCAGGTGTCTATATTTGTATGCGACAAAGATTCACGATACGAGAGCAAAACAAACGACAAGCATCAGCGTCGAGACAATGATGCAGGCAGGCTTGTAAAGGCGCACCCCATACTGATACTCCAAACGACCGTTAGGGATGTGGTGCGACTGCCCGGGTGGGAGGTAAACTGTTCGCTGGTGAGATCCGTGGTGCTGCGGAGGGTAATAATATGCCGGAGATGTGTGTTGCCGCACGGGTTGCGATTGCTTCTGCGGATAGGGATATGGTTGGGTGCGTTGGTGGTGGTGTGTAGGGGCCGCAGGTGGTGGATAGATGACTTGTATGGTCTGCGAGCGTGATGGTGGCTTGCGGGCTGAGCTAGAACGAGAACGTGATGTGGTATGCAAGGTGGTATGACTAGAGTGAGGGTACGACCATATTTCGACGGGCTGCGAGCGAGAAGCTGAATGTGAACGAGAAGATTTGTGCCTATATGGCTCTTCTTGTCTCGCAGGAGGCATATTGACAGTCATGGAGCGGCTGGGCGGAGGGCGCTGGCGTCTTCCATCTGGCTCGTAGAACGAGCGGTCACGCAATGTGGGCGACAAGAGGAATGGATTGGAGTAGGAATGAGCCTGAGCAGTTGTCTGGGAGACCCAGTTTGAAACCCGAGCCTGCTGAGCAAGATGGTTCTCCCATGCGGCGGGCGAATAATCATATTCAGTCATGTTAATGCCGATGAAAGTGGTAGACAGATGCAAAAAATCGCTGTTGGTATATGTACAGATGGATGACACGATATGGTTCCTGGAATGTGGCGCGTTGGTAGATGACCTCCGTGCAGCAGAACGACCAACTGGTGAGAGCTGGGCGATATTATCAAGTAAATCGATCTTGACCGATATAAAGGGACCACAGAGAAATGATGGCGTGTTATAAATTGGCTCCAATGGGCCGCCAGGCCACCGAAAATAACGCAGAACAACGTTTCCTGTCCACGAGGAGGCGCAAGTCACTCTGAAACGAACCTATTGTCCTGCTTATGTAAACAATACTAAACCCCCAGCCTCAACCCCTGGCCTCAACCAAGTAAGTACTGGACTTTTGGATTCAACTTGGTTATATTCATATGAATGGCAGGCATGAAAGCACTAGGGGAGTCCAAACACTAGTAGTATTCGCCTGTAGTACTGACTCTGGGAGGATTGCAACGAACAGGTCTTCTCATTTCATCCTCTTCACGATCCGACGTCCGACATTCGACGCGTTGCCCAACGCTATTGGAAGGTCGGCGGGCTCGCGCCTGCATAACGCAAATTGTGTACAAACTCCGGAAGATAACCGCGAGATTAACGAGAATCCGGAGATGCGCGCGTCTTCTTTGACCCCTAAAATCATTGCAGTAAGTATCGATACGGGAGATGATATCGATGGTATCGATTCATACCCATTTGACAACGATGATCCGCCCAGCATGTAGGGTCTGGGAACTCGGCAGTGCTCCCCCTCTACGAAACACTTGACTACGTGGCCGTTCTTGAACTTCATCACAGGCTTTCCCTTCGACATCATCATGATCATCTCGCCTCTTGTGCCCAGCTGCAACACCCTTATCTCCTTCACGCGTGGTTTACCTTTATCAATTTCAATTTTCTGCCTATCGCATCCCAGAACTCTGACCTTCTGACCTACCTTTTCAAGCGGGAAGAACAGGTCAAGCTCATCATCTCCCGGATGATTGACTAGCATTCATCCATCCTTCTGGCTTCGGACCGTGTATGTTCCTAAACGTTGCAAGATGCTGTTTTTTGATTGGCAAGAACGTGGTTGACGGCGATGATGGAACGACATCATACTTCTAGTATGGCAATATGGTTGATCGAAACATGTTACAGTCGTTGTTGAAACACTGCCAGGAATGGCCCGTTGTTACCCTTTTGGATTTTCATTCCTTTGTTGGCCGATATGGCAGGTACATAGGGGTGCCTCTTTCGTCCATATCTGAGTCACTACCAAGACCCTCCATCATTCTACTGTCCAGGATCAGGCAAGCTGTGTCAAGAACAATTGCCACAGCGACTAACACCAAAAACCTCCGTTCAGCCAAACGCATACGGTTCAATACGCCCTGTCTTACCCTCACATCGCCGCCCCCAGAGCCCTGATATCACCTGGCCCAGTTTTGCAGCAACCACCGAAGATAATCTTGTTCCAGGCCCTCCCTTTGGCCTCTTTGACGATACAGGCCAAATCCTCTGCCCACCGATCACTCTCCCCAGGCTCTTGGAATGCTTGAGTAGACAAATCAAATCCGCCTCCTCCATTGGGGTGCAAAACAAGGAACCGTCTCTTATTTCCATCCACCACCCGTTCAAATTCTCGTAGTAACTCCGGAATGAACCTGAGCGCTGTGCAGTTGATTCCAATACCGTTTGGTACTGGCATGTTGTCATCGCTGCGAATCATAGCGTTTGCGACTTCGCTAGCCGTAAAGTGGTGCCCTCCAGGTTGCCGAGTGTCTGGATACTTGCCCTCAGGAAAGGTCGCGGTAATCCACCAAGGTTTGGGACTGATGCTCTCCTTCATATGATTCATTGCTTGCCTGATCGCCTCCACCTCTCTCACCACCGGCACTGTCTCAAACGCAACAAAATCGACCTTGTCCCACGTCTCTTTATCAGACGTGAACACCCGAATTCGATCCTCGTGAAAGCGTGTCAACGCTTTTATAGAGTTGTTCTTCCCTTCGATATCATCGCCGAAGGAGGTCATATTTTCCTCCGAGTCGCTGTACGCACGGGGTCCGTAAGGAGGGGGGTAGATTCCACCAAAATCTTGCATAGGGGCAAGTATAGCGCCAAAGGGTCCAAGCGAGAGAGCGATATTGATGTCCTTCGGGCTGACATCAAGGTGTTCATTACAAAACTGACGTCTGGCTTTGTCCGCTATGTGAACGGCGTTACGCATGGCCTCGGTAGCGATTTCGTGGGAGTACCCTGCACGATCGAATGATTCGAATGCAGCCCGGTAGCTGTGGATGACTGGTGCACAACTTGCGACAAGGCATAATGGACACACTTACGTCGCTGTGAGGAGGACCCTCGATCCAGCCTCTAGAAATGCAAGATGAGCTTGTTGCAGGGTATCTGGCGCATCTAGGATGATACGAGCGGACCACAATGGGGTGTGCGAGATTGGGAGGTGGAAGCGATCCTCTAGAGTAGTGCCCTGCAAGAAATGAGCTCATATGTACAAAGACACCAGTACGATAACTCACGAGTCCTCCATCAGACAAAAGCATCGTATCTTCGAGCATCGTCGTGGCTGGTCACTGGTGAATGTGATTTAGAAGAAGAGATGAATTAGGCTACTCCGAGTCCGACACCGACTTGACACGAAGCGCCGCGGTGTTTTCTACCCCTGTCCACTGCCTCAAGGAGTTCTGGACTAAAATCGTCATACAAAACCCATAATTGTGTGTGGAAGAAAGACCTTGATCTCTCCAATGCCAAACTTGTCGATTCGGCCAAGTCACATCAATGATCAGATTCATGACATCAAAACTGGCCTGTGATGCGGAATCTGGATACGATGAAGTCCGAGTCCGAGTCGCAGGGAAGTCAAGATGCTGTTTGTTCTAATCCGCTGGAGTACGTAGTAAGTCACGGTAGCAAGCATGGTAAGTTACTATGGCTCCAAATTACAGCATCCCGCAAACAACTACAACAGCTCGCAACCTTGCGTAAACGTCGGAACGATGGACTAGGAGACCGGGAATCAGACAGACGTTCATTTAATGGGAAGAGCCTCTCGGAAGAGATGAAGTCGTCAGCAAGGGCCCTCAAAGCCTGGCGGTAGTACGTGTCGAGCTGCTGTGTGGGCGTCTTCAAGACGAGCTCATGAAATTGAAGGCCTAGCTAGCTCGCTTTCAAACTCATGGCTGCTCAAATTTCTGCTCGTTGCGTGCGTATTCGCCCCGATCTCATTTGATTTTGTACTCATCTTGTCTCTCAACAGCCTTGCCAACAACCTCGCAGAAAGACTGCGCCAGCGGGGTGTCCTGTTTGACTTGGATGAAGCCATTGAGCTCCATCGAGCTGCACTAGCACTCTGTGCCGCTGATCATCCTCGTCGATCCAGGTCTCTCAACAACTTTGCCAAAAGCCTTCGAGACAGATTCAAGTTGGAATGTGTCCTCTGACTTGGAAGAGGCCATCGAGTTCAATCGAGCTGTGCTGGCACTCTGCCCACTAGCTATCCTCATCGATCCAGGTCTTCCAACGACCTTGCCAACAGCCTTCACACCAGAATCGAACAGGATGGCATTCGGTCTGACCTGTCTGAGGCCATCGAGCTCAATCGAGCTGCATTAGCACTTCGTCTTGCCGGTCGATCGGGCAACTTTGCCACCACCCTCTCGACCTTTGTATCTCAACAATCTTGCCACCGCCCTTCCGGAAAGATTCGAGCAGCGGGTCGTCCTTTCTGACCTGGATGAGGCCATCGGCCTCGAGCGAGCTGCACTGGCGCATTATCCCCCTGGAAACACTGATCGATTCACGTTTCTCAACCTTTCCATCAGCCTTCGAACCTGGATGAGGCCATCGAGCTCAATCGAGCTGCACTGGCGCTCCTTCCCTCTGGCCATCCACATCGATCCTCATCCCTCGACATCCTTGCCAGGAGCCTACAAGGGGGTCCTACCAGCAGGGAATCTTGTCTGACCTGAATGGGGCCATCGAAGTCAATCGAGCTTTACTGGCCCTCCGTCCCACTGGCCATCCTCGTCGGGTCATGCCTATTAATAACCTTGCCGACAGCCTTCAAGGCAGATTCCAGCAGCTGGGCATCTTGCCTGGCCTGAATGAAGCCATCGAGCTTCATCGAGATGCTCTCTCGCTCCGTCCCTTCAGCAATCCTGATCGATCAACGTCTTTCAACAGCCTTGCCATCAGCCTTCTAGACAGGTTCCAGCAGCATGGCCGTTCATCAGACTTAAAAGAGGCCTTCAGCCCTCATTTACAAGTCCCCGAAGTATCTCACATGGCCTCTCGTGGAGATCTTCGTGTTGCAAAGCCACGAGCCCTCTCCGCCGAGTACCTGAAGCATAGCATTGGTTGCCTATCAGACCGCATTGAAATCACTCGATCAGCATGTTGCGGTTTCGTCATCATCTTCCCGCCATCTCGATATGGCCAGGGAGGCCACTTCAGAGTCCCTTGCCACGGATGCTTTATCATGCGTTGTTCGTTATGGAGCCTTGGAGACTGCTGTAGAATTGGTGGAGCAAGGCCGTGCAGTATACTGGACCCAGTTGGCGCACTTTCGCACCCACTGGATGACCGTGCTATTTCAGGTGATGCCGGCGGAGCCTTAGGAGATGGATTCAAGCAATGGAAGGATATCGTTGGCCATATTATTCAAGTGCTGAGGTAGTTCGTGGGCTCGTGGCTCACGCATTTGGTGATGTCCTACTGCCGAGTTCACGCTGCTCTATCTACATGCAGCAGGACCCTACGAGCTGAATTACATCTCCTCCTTACACCCCAACTTTGGCAGCGCTCATTCTTGCAGGACAGCAAGTTTCTCGAGATGCGTCCACTCAGAATTTCGTTGCCAACGGTCAAGCAAACCCAGACGGAGGGAAGGCACTTCGCTGTGTCGCTGCTGAGTTGGATGTCGTTGCTCAGCGTGTTAAGTCCTTCCTGTCATTTATATCGCTTGCGGACAGTGAAACGACAGTCTAGGGAGCCTTGGATCCGTTGAGCCGCAAACAGTGGCTCCACCTGGCCTGTCATGGCATGCCAAATCGAAAACAACCATTCGAGTCTTCGTTCGCCATGCACGACGGGCCTTTAATATCAGGGATATCATACGAACTCACTTGCAGAACCCGGAGTTTGCATTCCTGTCGGCTGGTGGCGATAAGTCGAGCCCCGATGAGGCAATTCATCTCGCTGCAGTCACGCAATTTCCTGGATTTTTCAGTTTGATAGGTTCTATGTGGTCTGTCGCCGACAGTGTCGCAGGCGAGAACGTCTCTGTCCTTTATCATGACAACTTGGTTGATGATTCAGGGAAATTGAACTACAGACGTGCCACAGGAGCGTTGCACAAGGGTTGCGCAAGAAGATTCCATTTGAACAGCAGATCGTGTTTGTTCACATTGGTGTCTAGTTTATTTGCAGTCACTCGTATACTTCTGTTAACCACTCCCTACAGCCGTCCCAAACGTTCATGTCTGTACTCCAGTGCGGTTGTTTATCTACTGGGTTCTTACCTCAAATCGCTGTACAGTACCAACTCATCGCGTTGAAGAACATAATTCAGTGGTTTCCGTGCCACGGCTGCCGCCCTCAGTGTCCAGAGATATCATAAACTAGCGAGCACAGTGATCTCCAGTGCCCCCAAGGCAGGGGACATTGCGGACGAAATTCCCATTCGAACTCTCGATCGTATTTGTTGACATAGGCGTTTACTTTGAAACCTATCGGCAGGATCGATGTGTTGACAATGATAAAGCCTGGGACTTTGTAGTCTACTATTCCGATTACTACCACCATTCACGCCCACAACCTCTCGAGCAAGGACAACGTTCTAGGCGCAATCCTCGCCCCGCTTGGCATGTGCTGCATTGCCTTGAATGCTATAACCGCTCATAGGATATTGTCTGGCTCGGACGATTCCTCCACGCGTTTTTGTCCTGCACACATCTCGGGCAGCGTCAGATACGCATGCTACATCCAACATCCAGATGCCCACCTGAAAGTTTGTGTGTTCGTCTCTGGACTGCCAGCAGCCACTCTGACTAGCAGAATTCTTCATGATACTAGTACTAGGCTTCTTGTGCCTGTGATACAATCAATGCCTCGGTGGGCGGGCATTGATCCGGATGGCATCTGCATGTAGATCTCCTTAGTATCACCTGGGGCAGGCATCGTCATATGCCAGCTCAGAAAAGTGGAAATATATTCGTATCAGCGAAATACGCCGCGACATATGGACGCCCCTGCTTCCTATCCTTCCGATTTGCAAGAAACCAGAACATGCACGTACATACTGATGATCAAATTCTTCATTTCAATAGGATGAGCGTCTCCTGAAGTTACGATGCTTCTTCGATCCGTCCTGTTCACTGCCGGAATGTATGAACAGCAACAGATTATTAGTGGCACGAACCCGAACAAAGTGTTTGAGCAGAAGCTGCGGCTTTTTGGGAGCGAGTGGCCATATTCGCATGTGATAAGCATTCAAGAAAATCCCTCGCCCCATACTGATACTCCAAACGACTGTAAGAGATATGGTGCGACTGCCCCGCCAACCTGTGGGCGTGAAGCTCGGTGAGATCTGAGAGGTGGTAAATCGGAGCGAAGGGTACGACAAAATGTCAACGGGTTGTGAGTGAGAATGTGAAATGAGAGTTCAGTTGCCTCGCGGGATCCGGGAGCACCGTGACGGCCTTATGTATGTAAAACGATACGTCACCTAACACCGGGCCAACTCCCGGACTTCGATTTCGAACGCTTCAAGTTGCGTCCATCATGATTAACAGGCCACGACACAAGCACTACATAGGTCCAAGCGATGTATAAACAGGCCTCGTTCTGTCACCAAAGTGGAGGAGACAATCAATTCAACATTTCTGCGGCTGTACATGCTGCAGTTCACTAAGCCGAGGTTGCGAGGAAACATTTTCTGGGTGGACCCTCTGCGGCATCGCAAAGTATCATACAGCTGCCAGCATTGATTCGACTACGCCAAGCTAGCAGTCGCAAGTTCGAAACAAAGGGTGCAAAAAACCTTTGCATTTCGATATGTAACATACTTAACGCCGCTGGCCTCAGCTACGAATGCCAGTGAGTGATACATTTGAAACTTGGTGCTTTCCCAGCTCAATTTCTCGTGGATGTGCGATTCCGCGCCGCTAGAGACATCGTAATAAAATTGGAGCTCTGTGACTGCACTAGTCGATTGCAGTACTTGAAAGACACCGTGCCACGGAGCATTGGCATCTGTTCCGGTAGTACATCGGACATGCGAGCATCAGATACACACCCCGGGCCGTGTATAAAACTGAAGATAGTCATGCGGACAGCAAAATACCATCAGCCATTAGCCCTTTGCTGAATCGCAACTATGAAATTCATCTCACCCGCAACTATGATCATGTCTGCCGCAGTAATAGCTGATACAGCTACCGCACAGATCATCGGCCACGCCTGCGCCCAAGCTAGTGAGTACCCCGCAGTCTCAGGCTAGTGGGTTCTGGACGCGCGGGTCTCAGACTGTATGCTTATGGCTCACAGATCATTTGGAGTGCGGAACGCTCGCAGGTCACAACAATGATATGCCATTCTTGTTTTTTTGTGGACCAGACTACACAATCACCGAATATAAAGATTGCTCATGTGACAGCTGCTGTCAGATAGAAGGTCCATATGGGTCACTGTGCGTTTGAAGGGTGAGCCTGGAGTGAATCCTATTCCTCCCGAGTCCTAGAGCTGAATCTGACGTGTTTGCTTTCTAGCATATGGTTGAAACGTCCGACGTCGCGTTTCCACGAGTCGACGTTGCATAAAGAAGTGTTAAATTTCCGCTGTTGGAGATTGTGAAAAAAGGTGTAGATGCAAGACTAGGACTGATCTCTCATTATCCATCCATCACTCATAGGTACGAGCTACGAATGAAGACAAAAGGAACGTTACTTGATGTGCTAGTGGATAATGTTGAAGCGGTGTCGAGTAAAGTGAAGTGTGGTGCCAAAGATACGTCTCGCTCGATCTGCTATACAGGTTCTATACACAGGCTCAGGAATCAGAAAGGGTCTGGTGGAAGACCTAGATCCTGATGCCATGAACAGAAGTGATGGTCGATCATCAACAGTTGATGACGCTGTGAGCTTGTCGAAGCACTGATTGAAACGCAATCCTTTTTTACAGGGATTTTAAAAAAGCCTAGCACACGCGCGCTCTATTCATTTTTTTGTGCTGGTAGATTGGATGAGGCAGTTAAATCATGCAGAAAAAACAGCATCAGCCATGGAGGGCTGCTGCAGTTTCAGTGGCGAACTAGTATTGGTAAGTCAAGCTCCACGCATCGTATGTGCATCTCTAATCTGCCCAACAGCAAATGAGCAACGAGATGACGACAGCATCAATGGCGCTGGGAATGCCGAAGGATGGCTGGGAAATCCACGTCAAAAATTGTGGAAATCAACATGCGCAAGAGCAGCCCTGAATGCGCGCCATTCAACCGTTTGTATGCCATTTTATTAACGTGCCTTGAAGCCAACCCAGAGTGCATTCTCTATGCAGCTTTTGCGCCCTGCCCGCAAACATTCAGTCTCCTGAAGTCTGCATGTCGGACATGGGAAGGCCACCTGCGGGCGCAAATCAGCATCTTATGCGAGGAGAAACAGACCGCAGATGTGATCAAACTAGGTAGTGGCTTCTGGGATGGAGGCCTGGCAGTATTAGAAAATGTGTCTTCGCCGCCATCTCAATTGCAGCAGACAACAGGGTAATGAAAGCAATCAGGATAACATAGAATGTAATAACATGAAGAATCAATCAAACTAGACACCCATGTGAACAAACACGATCTGCTGTTCTAGTGGAATCGTCTTGCGCAATGATTTTACAGCCTTGTGCAACGCTACCGCAGCCCGCGTGCAGTCCAATCTCCCTGAGCCATCGACCAGTTTGCGGTAAAAAAACGGACACAATCTGTCGTGCAACCTCATCGTCGATAGACCACATGGAACCTATCACACTGCGAAATCCAGAGAATTGCATAGCCGCAGCAAGATGTATCGCCTCGTCGGGACTCTTTTCATGGCCCACCATAGTGTGGCAAGTCGATAAGAATGCAAACTCCAGGTTCTGCCAGTTGGACCGGATGATTTCCTTGATCATCAACGGCCCATCGCGCATTGCGAAGGAAGAGTCGAACGGTTGCGTCCGATGCGGCATTCCATGGCAAGCCAGATGGAGCCACTGATTATGGTTTAGTGCATCAAGTGCACCCTGGACTGTTGCATCGCCATCGTCGAGTGATGTGAAGGCGACGACAAGCCCGAGACACTGAGCGACGATGGCTAACTCAGGAGCGACATGACGGGATTCATTCCCTCTGTACGGATTCGTTTGACCGATGGCAACAAATTGTTGTTTGGACACCTCTTGAGAAACCCGCTGTCTCGCCTGAATGAGTGTCGCCAAAGTGGGGGTGTAAGAGGAGATATAAATGTCAGATAAGTTGTTTTTGTTCTTCTCGTACGGTCCTGCTGCATGTAGAGGAAGAAGCGTGAACTCAGCAGTGGGGCACCACCAGATACGCGAGCCATGGTGGATTTCAGACGCCTCAAGAGCTCGGACAACGGGGTCAACAACACGATCCCAAAGCTTGCGGAGGATGCCGACAAGTCTGTATTGACAATCAGAAGCACCAAATTCCTCTGCGAGGGACTGAAGCTCCGAAGACAACTCGGAGACTTCGGTCCGCGCGATATCGAGTGGAACGTGGACAGGATCTTGTGCACTGAAGATAATCAAGGCGTCACAGCCATATTGGCTTGCATTGACGATGATGACAGGGCCTTCCTCAGAAGCCTTCTGTAGGTTGGAGAAAAGGGGAGGTAGGAGAAACCGAGAAAAGTCAGGCAGCATGCGGATACGGGAGACGACATCATTCCATTGCATGGTCAGTTGTCGGATTTGTGGGGACGGCTCTCCAGTAGACTGTTCAAACGCGCTACGAAGGCCAAAGCTGAGCTGCTTGAACTCTTTCTCCAAGGCTGCGCCGGTGTCACCGGACAGAGAAAGTTCATCGAGCGGTGAGCGTAAGCGTGCCAACTGGGTCCAGAAGACGGCACGGCCTTGCTCCACCAGTTCCACAGCAGTTGTCAGTTCGCCATGACGAATACTGCACGAGAAAGCGTCCATGGCAAGTGAAGCTGTGGCCATCCTGACGACATCAAATAGGTGTGGAGAAGGCGACAGTATAGTAACATGCTGATCTAGGAATTTCAATGCAGTTTGATAAGCAAGCAATGCAGAGTCATGGTTCGTCTTTTCGGCAGAGGTGGCCCATGACTTGGCGGTAGTAAGATCCTTACGAGAGACTGCATGGGATAGGTAGGAGAGTTGCACATACAGCCTAAATGCTTCATCCAGGTCAGACGGGACGCCCCGCTGCTCGAATCTGTTTTGAAGGCTGAGGGCAAGATTGTCGAGACACGCTGATCGATCAGCATGACCGGGGGGAAGAAGGAGTAGTGCAGCCTGATGGAGCTCGATGGCCTCATCAAGGTCAGACGGGACGCCCCGATGCTCGAATCTATTTTGAAGGCTAGAGGCAAGATTGTTGAGAGTCATCGATCGATCAGAATGACCGGGGGGGAGAAGGAGTAGTGCAGCCTGATGGAGCTCGATGGCCTCATCAAGGTCAGACGGGACGCCTCGCTGCGCGAATCTGTTTTGAAGGCTAAAGGCAAGATGGTTGAGAGACCATGGTCGATCAGAATGACCGGGGGGAAGAAGGAGTAGTGCAGCCTGATAGAGCTCGATGGCCTCATCAAGGTCAGACGGGACGCCCCGATGCTCAAATCTGATTTGAAGGCTGTCGGCAAAACTGCTGAGAGACATTGATCGATGAGGATGACCAGGGGGACGAAGGAGCACTGCAGCCCGATGGAGCTCGATGGCCTCATCAAGGTCAGACGGGACGCCCCGCTGCTCGAATCTGGTTCGAAGGCTGATGCCAAGATTGTTGAGAGACGCTGATCGATCAGGATGACCGGGGGGACGAAGGAGTAGTACAGCCTGATGGAGCTCGATGGCCTCATCAAGGTCAGACGGGACACCCCGATGCTTGAACATGTTTACAAGGCTGATGGCAAGATTGTTGAGAGACGCTGATCGATTAGAATGACCAGGGGGACGAAGGAGTAATACAGCCCGATGGAGCTCGATGGCCTCATCAAGGTCAAACAGGCCACTCCGCAGCTGGAATCTGGCTCGTAGGCTATCAGCAAGATTGTTGAGAGACGTAGATCGATCAGAATGACCGGGGGGACGAAGGAGTAGTGCAGTCCGATGGAACTCAATGGCCTCATGAAGGTCAGACAGGACACCCTGCTGCTGGAATCTATAAAGAAGGCTACTACCAAGATTGTCGAGACACGCTGATCGATCAGAATGACCGGAGGGATAAAGGAGTAGTGCAGCCCGATGGAGCTCGATGGCCTCATCAAGGTCAGACGGGACATACCGCTGCTCGAATCCGGCTTGAAGGCTGATGGCAGGATTGTTGAGAGACGCTGATCGATCAGGATGACCGGGGGCACGAAGGAGTAGTTCAGCCCGATGGAGCTCGATGGCCTCATCGAGGTCAGACGGGACGCCCCGCTGCTCGAATCTGTCATGAAGGCTGGTGGCAAGATTGTTGAGAGACACTGATCGATTAGAATGACCGGGGGGACGAAGGAGTAGTGCAGCCCTATGGAGCTCGATGGCCTCATCAAGGTCAGACAGGGTGCCCCGCTGCTCGAATCTGTCATGAAGGCTGATGGCAAGATTGTTGAGAGACGCTGATCGATCAGAATGACCGGGGGGACAGCTCTGCAATGCCGCTCGACACTCTTGCACCCTGTCTGCCATGCTGTTATAATCAAGTTACACGAGGACTGTCGCTGGTCAAGAACACGGGGAGGATGAAGCCGCAGAGCGCGATTCGGTGAAGACAACACCGTGACTATGCCTTTCATGAGTACAAAATCCAGGTGGATATGTTTGAATTGCAATACACACGCACATAGATATTCGAGCACTGAGACCTGGAATGGAAATGGTTTAGTGAGCGCTGAACTTGTATATGTAGTAAGAACTAGTAGCAAGTACTGAGGCTGAGGCATTAGTGAATTCACGATTACAGCCGTGTGAACTATAAAAGAATACAGGAACAGGAAAATCGCAGTGAGATGACGCTAACATCGTTGAGCAGAATATGGTAGGAAGCTTGGTGAAGAGACAATGAAATATGCCCGTCTATACTTGATCGTGATGTCCAGTAGCTAGACGTCATTCTTCAGACTGCGCTATCCATGAGGACGGTGGACTTGCTGTGCTTCATCAGGGCCCAGGTCAATATGGGGTCATGGAGGGTATTAGATTCCGCTCTGAAGATGTGACTATCGAGTCGCGCCCAGACCCAGCTTCGTGTTCTCGATTATGGCTGTCAAAGGCACATCAATCCCAATGGACGCATTGCCACCAATCCTGTCTCCTTCTGCCCACCCCATCGAAGCAAGCATCCTGAACCCAACATTCGTTTCTCCGATCTTTGGAGCAGCCTACGAACGGAAAATGTAAGAGCTGCATTTCATTGAAAATGGAGGAACCCCATACCTTGCCAACTTCATCTCCATCTTTGTGTCGAGGCACAGTATTAGTATTATTATCAAATCTGCCTCCGTGTCTCTTCATGACTTTCTTGACTTTATGTTCATCAACAGCACGGGTCTTCGTGGACTTGATGAGAGTAGTATATCTACCAGCTCCTTACCTTTACTCTGACTCTTGAGGTTAAACGGATTAGCAAGCTCGTGAACTTCCTTCCTCAATGACGCCTTGTTCATCGGAGGAAGTACCATGTTGTTCTTTCCGCCGACATAATACATCACCGATGAAGCGGCAAATCTGCTTCTCCAGTGACACCATATCGACGACAGCATTCCGAATGTCAGTGAGCTCGCTTGGATCCATTTGGGCAGCTGCCCGCATTGCCTTGCGCCCCTTATTCCCGCCTTTCTTTGGGAAAATCGGATCTACGGCATCGGCAAGGCGAGCCTGTTCGCGAGCTAGTCTGAGTTCAGCTTTCTTGGCTCGATCTTTCTTCCATGTCTCTTGGAGTTCGGCAGGTAAGTAGTTCCTTCACCTTGTCTTTCCTGCGCTCTGAAAATCGATTAGATAACTGATAGACACGACATGACAAGAGTACCCATTCGCTAGCTGAAAGCTGAAAGATCCGTCCAATTTCTCGTAGTCGTCGACGTGGTCAAATTGACCATTCTGGATTACACGGAACAGTTTCTTGCGCATTTTACGATCTTTACCGCTAGCTATGTCGCTGCGCATTTCGAGCTTTTCCTGTACAAGAGGTCAGCCCTTGTGGAGTGGAAGGAGGGGATATAGAGATACCTCTATTCCTGCGATGTAATCATCGTCGGAATCACCTCGATTCCAACGCGAGAAAGCAGCATCCTCCTGCTCATGCTCCTCTCAGGCTGAATCACCCCCAGAGGCAGCTGTCGCTGGCTTCATCGAGCGCGATTTCTCGCGGAGTCGACGGAGTTTAGCCGTGAACCTACCTCCTGGACTGAGCTCATTGTCCGACGAATTTTCCCCTTCATCAAAATCACCTGAGGGTAAAGCTTCACGAGATTTTCCACCCTCCAGTTCTGCGATAACCATCTCTTCCTCCACTTCAAGCACTGCTTTTCTTATTTGTTTTCTTCATCGTTCGTGTCGCTATAGGCGCCATGGAAGTCGCTTCCATCGTCTTCTTCCTCGTCCTCGATTCTCATCCGTTGCTCGTCCTCGGTGTCGTCCATCGTGCGATACCGCGATCCCTCCGCACTCATACTCTGAACGAAGCCTTTCATAGCCTTCAAACTGGGCTCAAGATCCGGGTCCAGATCCACCATCGATTGCCAGAACACCACTTCCACCTCCATCTCCATCTTCATCTTCGTCATCATCACCATAATCAATATCAGAATCACCCCTCCGCCTAGTCTCCACCTAACATCCTTCCGCTCCCGTTCATCAGCATCCCTCAATCTCGCTTCAGAACTGATATTCCAAATGACCGTTAGAGATGTGGTGCGACTGCCCTGCCAGTGGACGTGGAGCTCGGTGAGAGGTGGTAGGGATCGGAGCGAGGGTACAACAAAATGAAGATGTGAAATGAGAGCGACGAGAAGATGTATACCCATTGAGGCTCTCCGTTGCCTGCCTTCGCGGGAGCTAGCCCACGAGGCACATTTCTGATGGGCCGGCCTTATGTATGTAAAATGATACGTCACCTAACACCGGGCCAACTCCCGGAACTTCGATTTCGAACGCTTCAAGTTACGTCCATCAACACCGGGCTACGACACCAGCACTACATAGGTCCAAACGATGTATAAACAGGTCGCGGTCTGTCACCAAAGTGGAGGAGACAATCAATTCAACATTTCTGCGGCTGTACATGCCGCAGCCTGCAGTTCACTAAGCTGAGGTTGCGAGGAAACATTTTCTGGTTGGACCCTCTGCGGCGTCGCAAAGCATCATACAGCTGCCAGTATTGGCTCGATTACGCCAAGCTAGCAGTCGCAATTTCGAAACAAAGGGTACAAAAAACCTTTGCATTTCGATATACAACATGCTTGACGCCGCTGGCCTCAGCTACGAATGCCAGTGAGTGATACATTTGAAACTTGGTGCTTCCCGCCGCTCGCAACCCAAGTCGTTCTCGAGACTTACCTACAAGTATTGGAGGTGAGAGTTTGTCCTTGGTTGTTTTGTTCCGCACTAATTTCCTTGTCAGGCTGCAGGCCAATGAGAGTTGATTGCAATGTATGCTGGCGCACTAGGAGACAACGCAGTCGAGCGATATGCGATGTTCTTGACTTCGCTCGAACTTATCGCAGACATCAACGAACGTCGATTAGCATTGACTCGTGCGCCCAGTCTTCTGTCATTCCGTTGCAGGCCACTCCATCAGATATCGAGCTCCTGCTACTTGCGTTCCATAGCGTGGACAACGTCCGAGGATGGAATACATAATACTGCGCTGGAACAGGTGACCGTCATTTTGCGGTACTTCCTAGGTAAGCTTATTGTCGGGGTTCTACTATCATGGCTCAATATGACTTCAGGTGCCGGGAGTGTTTTGCTTGCAAAGATCCTTGTGGAGATGCTTCCGCGTGAACTCTCCTTCATCGACCAGCCTGAGCAACGAGCCAAAGATTACCTTCACTACAGGCAATTCTTTATTATCCAGGACAGTCTTGACCGTGTCGTGGAGTGCCAGAGCCTAGAGGTATCGATAATGAACCGGAACACCAGGGCTGCTTGGTTAATTGACCAGGCTTACGATACAGTCGTGAAACTGCTCACTTCGGACTGGATGGTGCCAGACGAGACAGGAGACCGTCGCTCCCGCGAGCTAACTCGCATTCGGCAGATATATCTCCCCGAGCTTATACTGCGGCTGCATGTCATGATCTACGCCTCTCGAGAGCAAATCCTATAACATATAACTTTGTATGTGGTGCCTGCAGATTTAACACATTTTGGACAGGAATATGAAGCGCGCATTGGAGCTTGCCAACACTGTTGCGGATTTGAGCTACAGGCTGTATAATGATTTCTTGCATATTGATGGCTGGAGGCTTGGGGAAGCCTTAACGCAGTGCGTCAGACAACGATAGTTGGCTTGGAAGGCAGTGGATCAGATCATTCTGTCGTAATTGTATGCATTCTCTTGATACTTGTTCACTATCGATATCTTTATGCGATGCCGCTGGAATTATGAGCCTAAATATTGGTGGGCTGCGAGATCGTGGCTCGTCCCCTTCTATCTAGAAAGGATGTGTAGGTTGTAGGATGCTCTGCATCCTATGCCACGCAAAATCTTCAGTAACCGCAGAGAAATATATTATCAAAGAAGAGCCATGCACCAGCCCATCCCACAAAGTCCTGTGTCGACAGCCAGCTGATTTGTATGTTTGACAAAGCAATGTATATCATTCAATGGATCGGTGCTTGCAGTACTAGTACACAACAAACAAAAAAAGAGTATCATGCAGACATGATTTGAATAACTGGGATCTAGGTGGGACAACAGGGTAATGAAAGCAACCAGGATAATATAGAATGCAATAACATGACGAACCAATCAAACTAGACGCCCATGTGAACAAACACGATCTGCTGTTCTAGTGGAATCTTCTTGCGCAATGATTTTACAGCCTTGTGCAACGCTACCGCAGCCCGCGTGCAGTCCAATCTCCCTGAGCCATCGACCAGTTTGCGGTAAAAAACGGACACAATCTGTCGTGCAACCTCATCGTCGACAGACCACATGGAACCTATCACACTGCGAAATCCAGAGAATTGCATAGCCGCAGCGAGATGTATCGCCTCGTCGGGACTCTTCTCATGGCCCACGGTAGTGTGGCAAGCCGATAAGAATGCGAACTCCGGGTTCTGCCAGTTGGACCGGATGATTTCTTTGATCATCAACGGCCCATCGCGCATTGCGAAGGAAGAGTCGAACGATTGCGTCCGATGTGGCATTCCATGGCAAGCCAGATGGAGCCACTGATTATGATTTAGTGCATCAAGTGCACCCTGGACTGTTGCATCGCCATCCTCGAGTGATGTGAAGGAGACGACGGGCCTGAGACGCTGAGCGACGATGGCTAACTCAGGAGCGACATGACGGAGTTCCTTCCCTCTGTCCGGATTCGCTTGACCGATGGCAACAAAATGTTGTGTGGACACCTCTTGAGAAACCCGCTGTCTCGCCCGGATGAGTGTCGCCAAAGTGGGGGTGTGAGAAGAGATATAAATGTCAGATAAGTTGTTTTTGTTCTTCTCGTACGGTCCTGCTGCATGTAGAGGAAGAAGCGTGAACTCGGCAGTGGGGCACCACCAGATACGCGAGCCATGGTGGACTTTAGACGCCCCAAGAGCTCGGACCACGGGGTCCACAACACGATCCCAAAGCTTGCGGAGGATGCTGACAAGTTTGTTGTGACGATCAGAAGCACCAAATTGCTCTGAGAGGGACTGAAACTCCGAAGACAACTCGGAGAGTTCAGTCTGCGGGATATCGAGTGGAACGTGGACAGGATCTTGTGCACTGAAGATAATCAAGGCGTCACAGCCATATTGGCTTGCATTGACGATGATGACAGGTCCTTCTTCAGCAGCCTTCTGTAGGTTGGAGAAAAGGGGAGGCAGGAGAAACCGAGAAAAGTCAGGCAGCATGCGGATGCGGGAGACGACATCATTCCATTGCATGGTCAGTTGTCGGATTTGTGGGGACTGCTCTTCAGTAGACTGATCAAGCGCACTACGAAGGCCAAAGCTCAGCTGCTTGAACTCTTTCTCCAAGGCTGCGCCGGCGTCACCGGACAGGGAAAGTTCATCGAGCGGTGAGCGTAAGCGTGCCAACTGGGTCCAGAATACGGCACGGCCTTGCTCCACCAGTTCCACAGCAGTTGTCAGTGCGCCATGACGAATACTGCACACATACTTCAGTCATTTCCTTACGTAGAACCCCTGCCCCGGATGTGCCAAAAGGTCGTAGAATCATGGCTAGCCAGTCCCCGGCCGGTGCATGTAGGATAAGTGCTGGCCGGTGTACTATCTTATTATCACTTCAGTATCATTATTTCATGTAGGATAGGTACTGGCCGGTGTACAGTGTATCATTATTTCATGTAGGATTGGTGCTGGCCGAGGTATTATAGGCCAATCTCTTGTATGTAGTATCAGTGCCGGCCAGTCTATAATACTATAACCATCTCTTTTGTCTTGTATGTAGAATGAGTGCCGGCCGATATATCATATGACATATACTAGCCATAAGATCAAGCTGGCTGGTATATGCAGAATATATCTACTGCAGTCTGATTTCATTAGTAGACTGGCCAGCTTGTATCTACGTGGGTAGGAGCATGGCTGGCCAGTGCATAGTCCTTAAGTTAATATACTGGCCATTGAGTGTACTAACCATAGGATCAGGCTGGCTAGTATATGTAGTCATTGGTGAACCTGCCAGTCTGTATATACATGTGTAAGAACATGGCTGGCCAATTTGCCAATATTTCACTAGCATGGCTGGCAAGTTTGCTTATAATTCACTAGCAAACCTGCCAATTTGCTTATATTTCACTAGCAAACTGGCCAGCTTGGTTTTACATGTGTAAAAGCATGGCTGGCCAGTTTGCTTATATTTCAATAGCAAACCGGCCAGCATGGTTCTACATATGTAAGAACATGGCTGGCCAGTTTGCTAATATGTCACTAGCATGGCTAGCCAATTTGCTTATATTTCACTAGCAAACTGGCCAGCTTGGTCCTACATGTGTAAGAGCATGGCTGGCCAGTTTGCTAATATTTCAATAGCAAACTGGCCGGCCTGGTGCTACATATGTAAGAGCATGGCTGGCCAGTTTGCTAATATTTGACTAGCAAACCGGCCAGCCTGGTTCTACGTGTATAAGAGCATGGCTGGCCAGTTTGCTTATATTTGACTAGCAAACCGGCCAGTTTGCTAATATTTGACTAGCAAACCGGCCAGCCTGGTTCTACGTGTATAAGAGCATGGCTGGCCAGTTTGCTTATATTTGACTAGCAAACCGGCCAGCCTGGTTCTACGTGTATAAGAGCATGGCTGGCCAGTTTGCTTATATTTGACTAGCAAACCGGCCAGTTTGCTAATATTTGACTAGCAAACCGGCCAGCCTGGTTCTACGTGTATAAGAGCATGGCTGGCCAGTTTGCTTATATTTGACTAGCAAACCGGCCAGTTTGCTTATATTTGACTAGCAAACCGGCCAGCCTGGTTCTACGTGTATAAGAGCATGGCTGGCCAGTTTGTAATATTTCACTAAGAAACTGGCCAGCCTGGGTCTACATATTTAAGAGGATGGCTGGCCTGTTCGCAGTCCTTAAGTTAATACTGCCCAGTAGGTAGACTTAGGGCATCTCATTCAATGTGCAATTTGCAGGAGTGTGGGTATAATATATCAAGGTACAAATCCACACCCATTGAAAGCCTTCTCAGCATCCTGAGCAAACCTTCCCCACATCAAGACCTGTTGATAAGCATAGGCTTGATGACCAGGTCTAGTCGCTTGCTGCCACCTTCTGTTCCATTCTTTCTGGTGATACTTGAACCAGTTTATGGTCCAACCCATTTCATGTCTTACCAGACTCAACTCCTCCTGCCATCTACTCCATCTAGCCTTTGCCTTCAACCAGTTGACCCTATAGACTAAATCAGAGTGAGTTGAAGTGACTTGCACTTGAGATGAAATTTTGTTCTTACATTCATCCATCCAAGCATCTTCTTGACCTTCGTTGGCATTATTCACCCTCCAAAACCAAGCCAGTCTGTCTGACCCTTGACCAAATCTATTTTCTTCTGTCACCTCTTTGTCTATACTCAGTTCGGTGGGCAATATTTCTCGATAAATACTGCCCAAGGTAGCTTCGTCCATGCCTAGATGTTGCATTGCTGACCTTGCCCTCTGATAGCTTCTTACATATTTGTCAATTTTGAGCTGACATCGACGAGCTTCTTGCTTCGACCTGGTGCCAGCCCATGTAGAATCGGCACTTCGAAAATACTGACGATAAATAAGGGCCTTGTGACCGAGAGCCATACGAAGGTTTTCTAGGCAGTCGTTGGCTTGGCCTTTTCGAAGTTCCAACTCTTCAGCTTGAAGGGGGCCCAGCCCAAGAGTCAATCTGTTGTGTCGAGAAGTCGAAGATGGCATCCAGATACCCATCTCTTCTGTGAGGATTTCTTCATCTATATCCTCTGAGATCTCTTCATCTGAAACCTCCACCCACTCATTACCATCGTTATCTGTACGACAGAATCTAGGATCGTCAGAATGCACTGTTCCAATATCAAGATCCATGCCAGCAGTCATAGCATCGGCAGTTTCATGAAATTTGGCAATCCTAGCTGCCAATCTCTGTCTCTTTTCTGCTATAGAAGCTTTCTGAGCAGAGGTTGCATCATTAGGAAGTTGTCGTATGTTCGCTCTCAATGCATCCCTAAAATAGCTCTTTGTCAAGCGATTCTGTTGTTCCAATCAAATTGATTACGTACTGTAAATCCTCCAGATTGATACCAGTGATGAGCCAAGATACTGTTCCTGGAAGTCTGTCGTCAACGTTCTCAGACTCGGTTAATTTGAGCCGAATCTCTGCCATAGTTGGGGCTGAACTCAGTTCCAGATTAGATGTCTTATAAGCCTCAGACAGAGCTCACTTACCTTTGTTGATCTGCAACTGGTAGATGTCAAGATACTCCCCACGTTCTTCCACAGCCTTTTTCTCATCAATTTCCCACATCAAAATCTTCCCAGGATTCAGAGACTGGGCCAGTTCATCAAAAGGAGATTTTGTCTCATCAACACCTTTGAGAGCACGTTTATACTTGGTCAAGAGAGTCTTCGCTAGAATTTTAAGTGTCAAGCACAGTTTTAGATATACATGATTGAAGTGCTTACTTATTCCAACTATTTTTTTCCAGTTTGAGTCTCTCATATGATCATCAAGAACTTCTTGGCGATGAGCATGACTCATTGACCGAGCAGTTGGGGAAATCTTATTGAATGGTGCCCATAAGGTCTCCAAAATCTCCCCATCAACATGTCCAGCGCCTTGAACAAAGTTGAGGCTGTACCTTGCAAAGCAAGCCAATTTGTGAGCGCTGAGATGGAATTTTCCAACCGCAGGGATGATCTGCATATTTTCTGGTACGGATAAGCCTTGGCTCTCAGCCACTCTCTGTAAAAAATTAATACTCCACTGACACCCCACATCATAAATAATGAGAGAGGAGTCTATACCAGCCGAATGATAATTCAAAGCATTGCATATTGAATAGTCAATGTTCATGTGTCTAAACATCTCATGAGCTCACTTGTTAAACATGCTGTTTAGGAGGATGTACAGACCTTTCGCCCTTCTGAAAATCAACTATGCTGTGTGGAACAAAGCATCCATGTCGGGCACAGGCAGTTGCTCCTACCCCTGTTGCTCGAAGATTACTCCTGCTGATATTTGCAGTGTTGATTGCTCGGTGATTGCTACAAGAAGAGCGCTATACAGGCTGTCAAGCAAAGTCAAATACCCTTGCTAAAAGTCAACTCACCTCCTTACTTTCGACAGCCAATGAGAGATGAGTCTGATATTCTCTCTCTTTCACCATATAACCAAGACCATCTGAAAGACTAATGTCTAACTGTGGCTTTTTCATAGTCATATGTTGAGCAGTAAAGTTTCCATCCACAACGAATCTTTGCGAAATGAGCCAACTGTGTAAAGAATAAGTATAAGTTCAATGAATGAGGTCAAATAAATAGAAGGTACAGCTAGCCAAGGCTTGCATACTTGTGTCTGTACAGTGTCGACTGACAATGTATTATCTGAGGTCAGCCGGCCGGAATGGTTCTACGTCCTGTCTATACAGTCCTGGCCAGCCAAATACAATATCAGAGTTTGGCCGGCCGGCCCAGGTCTACAGCCTGTCTATACAGTACTGGCCAGCTTTGTCGGAAACTAAGCCAGCAAGGCCAGAGTTTTTGTACAACACGAAGCACACAGCCGGCCGGTCAGTATAATGTTCTTGAATGTTGTATAGAAGAGAAAGCCAGCCTTCTTATAATCCGAACCAACAATAGATGACTTGCCTTTCGTACTTGTCTTGCCAGTTATCAGGTATGTTGATGCCAGGCTGAGGACACGAAGGGCAAAACCAAGCCAGATCACCCTTGCCAGGTTTCTCCCTAGTGTCATGGCCAAATCCGAAGCATTTTCGGCTCATCAAGTCTCTCCATAGACGAGACACCCTCATGAGTTCTCGATATCGATTCTAGCCAGCAAAGACATTTGATATGGTCAGTCCAACTGTTGAAAAGAATAACTATATGCTCTCACAGGAACAGTACCAGGGAATGAGTGATTGGTCATTCGTCGAATTTTCTCAAAGAAGCTTGATGCTGAAGTCTTGCACTCTAGTGCATCAATTAGAAAATGATCTAAGACTTCAAAAGTGAAGGCAGTTCGGGGTCGAGTGACGCTTGCAGGAAATAACCTGGCCTTCAGCAACTGCAGATGCTGCTGATGCTTAGACCCAGGACAACCACACCAAACAACATTGTGCAAAAACACTCCAGTTGAATGTATGATGGTCAGGGTGGATGTCGTAGTTGAACTGGAAAAGGTCTCCATTGGCACAGACCCAGCCTCTGCATCCAATGGCATATCCTCCCATGCCTGTGGGTCTTCAGAAAACGGACATGGTTGCCCCCCATGGCCCATATACCAGACAATACCCAATTCTTCGAGCGACTTGTCTTCAAAGCATTTTCCAGTCCACTGTTGAACCTTGTGAAAGGGCAAATGTTGGTGGGTTTTGACAATGCAAGGATGACAAAATGTCTGATCCCCACTGCATGTCAAACAATGGAATTTCCCTTCACCAATCTGACAAGACTGGCACTCCAAGACATCAGAGGGCTTCTCCAAGTCAAGGAGGATATCGAGATATGAGTCTCGGAAAGGCAGATATTCTTGGATAAAGTCGTTCTGAGTCTAGTTCATTTGATCTCGATTGAGTATAGAATTAAATTGCTATGCATCAATCTGGTCACCTTTGTTTTTCTTGATTGGTTCTCTGTATATGAATTAAAGTCACCGAGGACTTCTCCATCAAATTCCTCCTGAATGCTTGGCAACCCTTGAGTTTCCTCTCTGACCCGTTTACGAGGGCTAGAGGAAGGAGATGGTGTTGGGGCAGTGTCATAGAAGGCATCGGCACATGATTCCACCCAGGTCATCTTCCTTTTCTTTCCAAGGACTTGTTTGTGAGACACGTAATCGACATCTAGGTCTTTGCCTTTGGATAATCGACCTCTTCCTTTGAAGGAAAATGTAGCTGCCTTGAGGCGAGTTTTTTTTTGAGGAGACATACTGTTACTAAGGCAAAAGAGGATGTCCTTAATATTTTGGTTGTAGTTGACACAATCATTGATAGAAATGGCTAAACTACTACCTCATTTAGATCTAGTATGTATGCTCAAACACCTGACTTATCCCTTCACCCCCCCACCCCCCTCTGACATTTCGTACTTCACTCTCTTTTGGTTTGCCTTCCCACCATCTGCAAAAAAAAGTCCTGTGTTGGAAATGCTGGTCTTGGCACCCCCACTCTAGAATGAACTTTATCTTTCATGAAATGGGCAATGACAATCCTTTCTCCTTTAATCCATGGACCGATAGAATGCTCCAGAACCTTGCCTGAAATGAAGACCATGGTCCCAGGGTGATAATCCAGCTCCGCTCCGATATCTCGTAATGTCAACTTGGCCTCATGACCACTACCCAAACTCACTAAAAGATCAAAGAGTGAAGGTGCCCTACCAGGGTCTCTATGAGAAAATGTGACACGGTTGGCAATTACTTCCAATCCAGAGAAGATTGAGGGCCATTGAGACACAGGCACTGCATCTGGTTTACTCGCCCTCCTGACTTGCTGTACAACTTCCGAAATAGCAGTGGAACCTGCTTCAAACAGACCAGGAGCCGAGGCAGCGGTAATTGCGTTCCAAAAATATTCAGTAGTCGATAAGGCGGCGAGCCACTCTTGGACTTCTGCAGATGAGTATGAAGCAGATGTGACCAGTGGGTCTTGAATTCTCTGCAAAAATGAGCAAGAACTGGCTAGATGTTATTGATTAGACAAATACCTCATGTCTTTGCATAAAATATGCCGGAGCTACTGTAACTCTTCCAGCTCCGAAAATTCCCCCTCCCTCAGGCACAACAAAGCCTTGAGATCGCCAAGATTGTTTTGAGGCCGATGAAGTCGGAACAGTTCTAAGAAGCATATTTCGCAAACCCTTAGTGGCTGTGTTCACATAGTCCTACAAAATGAAATAATGTTACGAGAGGGAATCCCCATCAAATAACAAACTTACAACTCGAGATCTTGACAAGATACCAGGCAAGTACACCATCATTATTTACCATGTTTGTCCACAATGGTTGCTGGTGCAGACATTTTGCCTATTGCTGCTGGGGGGAAGTATTTCTGTAATCGTTCTATTTCTGGGGAGGGTGAACCGTCTGCCTTGGGTGGAGAGCACTTTGCCATTTCGGCATATCTCTCAACATCCCAGTCTACATGATCTGCCACTCAGATCAAAACCCTGGTAATACAGTTATTACATAAGTAACTCACAAGGGTTTACCATTGCATAAGCAATTGTGAGCGCTGCTCGAGTTATTTCATATTCGGATATTGAGGAAGGACACTTTGATGGAGCATCAGCTGTTGCCAAGCAACTGTTTAGTTGCACTCCAATTCTCAACCTGAACAGGTTAGCAAGTCAAAACATAATGTTAAATGATGAACTGTCATACCTTGCCTTGTGTAGAAGGTGAGATTGGTACTTTCCCCTCCTTGAAAACACTTGTGTTTGCAGAATCCCTCATAATTTGAGTGATCTGACCAGTCAGTGCAGCCCTTAGCTTTGTTGTTTCACTTCTTGAGTTGTCCATGTGAGGGAGGGAGAAAATATGAACCGACTGAAACAAAGAAAAAATAGCCGTCTGAATTCCCACACTGTCAATTTGTCCCAATTTAGGGTACATTGTAGATGATTATGAAATGATGGAAGCAACTGATAGAAAACAGTAGTGGCTAATTTGACTAAAATGGTATACATATATGAAATCAACAGTTCCACGAATTCGGAACTCTAATAGATTACATCACACATAAGGCCGGTCAGCTCGGTTCCAAGTGACAAGTGCCTTGTTACCCTTGAATTTTGAATAAGGAACGCGCTCTAAGTATGCTATGATTTTCAAAGTTGAAACATGTGGAATGATGAGCGGCTATAAGACTCACTAATGGTGTGGGATGATACTTCATGCGGTGGAGGGCATATGCGATGAAATGTGGAGCTTCACTTGAGAGTTAGAAGACAATGGGGGGGGAGGTAATTTGGGACAAGCAAACAGATGGGTTTGATGAACCTTGTGCACAACCACGAAGGCTGCTCATGACCATGAAATGGGTCAGAGTGTCTCGTGGAAGGTTGAGTTGGTTGGGGTTTGGGTGGCGCTTATGCGAAGTTGAACATGTGGAATGATGAGCGGCTAATAAGAACTTTCTGAAAGGGGGGTTGGGGGAGGGGGGGGGGTAGGTACAAGTGGACCATTGCACAGCAGCCATGATGGGGTGATGAGTTGACTCACCAACAGTGTAGGATGATAACAATACGTGAATGAGGAACGCTCTGGGCATTCTGAAAGGGGGATGGGGGGGTAGGTACAAGTGGACCATGCACAGCAGCAGTGATAGGGTGATGAGTGGGCTCACCAACTGTGCAGGATCATAACCCATACGTGAATGAGGAATGCTCTGAGCATTCTGAAAGGGGGATAGGTACAAGTGGACCATGCACAGCAGCTGTGATAGGGTGATGAGTGGACCCACCAACAGTGTAGGATGATAACAATACACGAATGAGGTGCTCCGGGCATTCTGAAAGGGGGGTGGGTGGGTAGGTGCAAGTGGACCATGCACAGCAGCCATGATGGGTGATGAGTGGAACGGGCAGTGTGGTGTTGTGAAGGGAAAAGTGATCTGAAAAGTCAAAGTCAAAGTCAACATTGGGGTTTAGTTAGAACGGGACTGGAAGTAACATCGAGTCTCAAATGTTACTGATCGGCACTTTCAGCACACCAAATGGCGGCACTTGACAAGGCAGAGTTGTCAAGCTTACCTTCTTGGAGTAGTAGTAAGTAATAGTGAAGGCGGCAGGTACTGCTAGTGAAATTATGCGTTGCATGCAAAACAAAGTGTTTCGATGGTGTTTCACATTGGTTACTTTTATTTGTGTGCTTCAAGTTGAATCAACCAAGC